TAGCTACAGATGTTACTATTTCAGAAGAGTGAAAAAAATGGACAAGAGGGTAGTGGGAGGGGCAGTAACCACACCCCCTTTTTGTTGGTTGAAAATGGCATTCGATAAGATGCGTGCCACCATCTAAATTCCATTAGAGGTAGTTAAATGCCTCATTATAGAGTTGCAATAAAAGCTATATATCTATAATAGTTATGTAAATCAACATATAAACAATGTTGATAATGTAACACATTCCATTGATATTCTCATTCTTATAGTCTCATTCTAATCTGATATCTGCTATGAATAAAACAATATGCTCCCTTATCTTTACATAACGCGCTTACATATAAGGTCATTTACACTGCATGTGCAGTCTTCAGTCACAAGCTTGAACAAGATTAGACTAGAAATCTGTTAGTCAGGCAGTTTAGAACTCGCTTGAAAATTTATGATAGAGTTTAGTTTCCAAAAATGCATAATTGCTTAGTTTATGATTACAATTTAACATAGCAAATTATTTGGTCGAAACATTACATAATTGAAAAGACAGAAAGGTTAGAAAAAAAAGTAGGTTATACAGAACTTAGCCTATTATCTAGGTAGTCTATAAATAAACCACAATGTAGTGTAAAATATGTATTTTTGTTTGGATGCTGAGGGCATACTCAAAAGCTGAACAATATTGATTGGTTCAACACTGATCCACATCCATGCCCTGATCTCATTGAATGGAGAGGGGTTTTTTAACTGACACACAGGTAAGTTATACGATGGTTGAATTATAGGAATAATGCCATATTCTTTATTTGGCTATTACTTTACTATGTTTATTTATTACTTATGTTAGACAAGAATAATAACAACAACAACAATAACAATAATAATAATTATTATTTTAACAGTAAATAATAAAAATGATACACATATATAGGCATATACATTACAAAACAGCAAATTTTATATTATCTTTTATCTTGAGCTCACAATGCTCTCTTGCCCTTTATATTGGTATAAAAATGCTCAAGTGAATCATGGTCCAATAAAATTTAACCTTCAGGTTGAGTAGTAATAGTAAAACTCACCTTTGTTATTAGTGAGATCTTTGTTATTAGTGAGCACTCTGATATTGTGCAGAGTTAGGGGAGTTGATAGGGTGGAGAAACATGGTCTGTTGTTCTGGGTCCCAAGGTCTTGCTGAATTGGAACCTCTGCCTAATTTTAAATAAAATTACTGCTGCCTGGCACGAGGCGTTAATTTCTTTGTGTGTCCATCTTTGAACATTGATGAGTTGCTTGATTGTTGTTTCGTTATCTTATATGCTTCCTGTAAAATGTGGTATTCCTCTAAATCTATTGTAATTTTTTTCATACAACGCGACAATTTGAGGCCATTTGGACTTACAGGGGGTAGTTTAAATGAAACTGAAGTTGTTAATGCTCTTCATGTTTTCCACTTGCGGTGGTAAAAGGCTTTTGTTTTCTCTGTAACCATCACTGGGGATAAGGGTTTTCTGTAAAGCCAAGGCAAAAGCACCATCCCCTGCACTAGTATATCACCTTGGGTTTCCTGTGAAATAGAAAACAGTAATGTATGTTACTCTGCTCTTATCTTCTGATTTTATTGTTGATTGCCATGTGTGTATTTTCGCACTGGAGGAGCTATGTCTCTCGGCTCACCTAGAAAAGCCTCGAGGTCCCCTTGGAGGAGCTGGAGGTGAAAGAAGTCTGGGAGGCCTTGCATAGACTGCAGACCCCACAACGCAGCCCTGGATAAGTGGAAGAAAATGTATGGATGAATCTACCAAACCACTGAAACCAAACTATGTTAAGAGAAGATGAAAATACTTACATTATACAAGTTCTCCAAATTTGTTTATATTTTGTATCAATTTAATTCAGCATTACCCCAGAATATTTTTTATATAGCATTCTTCATTCATAGATATAGTTCATGGAAGGATGTTTATATAGCTAGACAAGATGTTCATCATTACTAACTCTAGAAAACACATAAAGGACATGTAGGACCAGTGGTTAATCAGCAGATGGCACTGTTTCAGTTCCACAATAGTGGAGCGCTGAATGAATGCTGTTTTTTATTCAACAAATGTATTTACAAAAAATGTTTTTTACATCATTTGTCTGAAGAGAAAACATTAACGTTACACATGTTAATTTTCATTTATTTTAGTGCAATATCTTTACCGAAATGTATCATTTAATAATTTAAATAGGGTTAGGGTTATGTTATGTCTATTCATGGTTTTCAGCTTCCTGTTGTATGCATTTTTTTCCCATTCAAAAGATATATTTTGTTATTTTGTAATAATATATTTTATCATTCTGAAGCTCAAAGAAATAAATATCTATGTCTGAAACCCAGGGGTTACTGAAATCCATGAATATTTGTGTTGTTGCCTTTACAAATTTTCTTGGCAGACAGACACATCCTAACTTTTCTGTCACACCTGTGGATCTCTGTGTGTTACTGGCTTGTCTTGGTCCTCATTTGAATGAGACCAATTACACAGAGATGCTAATGATGCGCCTGACATTTCACTACCATGCTGCTCTTTGCCTCCTGCTGTTGTCTACACTACAGGAGAGGTGACGAGCCCATGAAGAGCATAACTGTTTCTAATTTATTAAAGAATTGGAGCGAGTTGGATATGAGAACTTGATAACCCAAATTCAAGGAATATTAATCAGGATGTACCAAATATACATTAAAATTATACTATTATCACTGTAAGAAAAGAAAACTGATCTGGGTTCTGTATCTTGTATATGTGCATACCATTGTACATGTTCTTCAATCTGTCAGGGCCAGTGAAAAACACACCACACTGATATATTTACAAATACAAAACTCTGTTATTTGACCTTTTTGATTGATGTTTTTGTATGTGTGAGTTGTAGAGAAATAGCCACACGGAGGATGAGGGCCACATGTGGAGCTGTGGAGGTTGAGCCTCATTATGTGAAGGTGGGAACCTGCTGAAGACCCAGTGACTCCACCTCATTTCTCCAGTCACCTCCACAAGACTGTTGCTGTAACACGGACCACGTCAAGACCTAAACCAAATCAGGAGTCAGTGACACTGGCTATCTGGTAAGTTATCTGTTTTTAAAATAACTGATGTTGCCTAATTGAAAAAGTAATAGCTCTTGAAATGATTTGCATGTTCATTAATTGTAGCATGGACAACTTGGGCACAACTTTACTTGAATACTTCTGAAGTTGATCTCTGCTTTGAAAACAGAAATATATGTAAATTAGTTTTGTTTTTCATTTCAAAGTCATTCAATTTACTAGATTTTAACTGAGGTGGGTACTCAGCTGTAACTTGCACTTTAAAGAAAATTAAAAAGCAAAACAAAAAAACTAAACAAACACAAGTTATTAAAGTAAAACTGACAAGTAAATTGTGTATCAAATGTTACAAAGTGTTAACATTGGGATAACTGTATTTACACTCTGCAGTAGCGGATGGTTCCCTGTGGAGGGCCCCTCCCTCTCCCTGGCCCTCCTCTGAGACCATCCTCTGCCACTTGCAGCTGAGACCCAGGGAGCACAATTAATAAGGCAAACTGAAACAGACTAAACATCATGTGATCTCTGGGCAATGGCCTCTTCAAAACAATATGCAGTTTTTAATGTTGGGGATGGCCACAGTGACTTGCCCTCATGTTTACCCTCCTCTTCTCTCATAGCCTACAACAGTTAAGTTTTTGGTACACAATCTCATAATAATGTTGCCTTCCTCAGGACTCGGGATCTTTTACTGACTGACTGGTCTAATGTAAAAATACAGTCCTAATCTGGTATCTCACAAGATCTATTTTTTCATTAATAAACAGTTCAGATGATGTTTTTACAATGCTTTCTACCTCCCAAAAGTAACAATAACCCTACTCCCTTCTGCTTTACCTCCTGTCTTTTCCTCAAGTGCAGCTGTCTTAACATTGCTGATCTAGCCTCTTTCTACTAATTTATTATGTTACAGTAAAATGTGAAAAAGCAACTAAAAGAAAACATGGAATTTTTTTTTTTTTTTCATGCCAGATTGTTCATATCAGTGCCATTGCCGTGTAGGATGTCGAATAATATGGCCAAGATTGCAGATGCCCGAAAGACAGTGGAGCAACTAAAACTGGAGGTCAACATAGAGAGGATGCTGGTAAGAAATCATATATTCAAATTAAAATAAATGACCTGTAAGCAGTTGGCTCATTCATACAGTGAATACATGGATTATGCAATGATATGTATTTCACAATATGTAATACAAAACTGTCTTTATCTTATCATTTGGCTTTCAATTGTGTATATGAATTACGCAAGTCTTAGTTCAGGCTAATATGCACAACTGTCTCTAGTAAAAAAAATAAAAAATCTATTCAACAGATTTGAGATTACAGGTAGGCTATTGCCATTTTTTGTTGTGTGCAGGTATCTAAGGCTGCTGCTGAACTCATGGCATACTGTGAATCTCACGCCAAAGAGGATCCTCTGGTCACTCCAGTCCCTTCATCTGAAAACCCATTCAGAGAGAAGAAATTATTCTGTTTGATTCTGTAAATCCACAACAACAGACAAACAAAAATAAGCGCGTGTTGTAAAGCTGTTGTTCAAATACTTTGATGTTTTATATGATGTTTAACCATGTAACCTTTACAAATTAGAACACTGGTTGTCAGTGGCTGAAACTGATACTAATAAAGTTTTTATTGTACAAAGGTCCGTTTTACTGCCTCCAACTACTTCCTCTGCCTAAGCACACTCTAGGTTTATTATTAACTCGCATAAATACCGACATTTTCAGGCCAATTATTGATTGTTTCTTTGTCTGCTTTTATGCTAGCCACTCACTGTGCATGATAGAGAATAGTCCTACATAGTTCTTATTCAGATGATTGAATCTCGCAGTAACTGAATAAACTACCTCTATAAACAGGATGTGGTGAAGTCTCTGCGGGCTCCGGTGACACTCCTTGGACCTGTCGCATGTGATGGGTGGGGCCATCCCTGTAGAGCCGGTTGGAGCAACAGGTGTATGCAGTTTACGCACGCTTCTGTCACAGACAGTGGATCAACGCACATTTTCTTCACATTTCGCTCAACCTTTGGGAGTTTGGGATATAAAATAAGGTAGGTCTATGTCAACTCTTTGATTCTATGCTGCTGTCAAATGCCTGCAGAGTTTCGTGTCGCGTATTTATTTATTTTAACACTGTTTATTGTGTTTTTGACATCCAACACACAGTGCCAGTCCATAAAACAAGACATCAGACATGTCAAAAAGATCAATCAGCCCCCCAAGCAAGGCATACAGAAATATACATGTCATTATATTCGTCAATATAACAGCTTAGTACCCTTTTATATTATTATGTTGGATGGTAGTAATAATAATAATAATAATAATAAATTAGTCTATTTTAAATTTCTTCAAAGGATTTTGAATTAAATAGGCTTAAAGCTTTAAAGCCATCTCGTCTTATAGATATAGGACACATTTTAAACTAATTGAGTAAACGATTATATGAAAGTGCATGTCTTTGGCTCGCTGATCTATGTAGGCCTTTGCTAGTGGAGCAAGTGTAATATGCCACATGGAGTTAAACTGGACGGATCAAGAAAAACTTGTCTGACCGAGTCCGTAAGACGCGTTCGGCACGATTATGAAAAACACAGATGCTTGAAAACAGAGAAGACATGGTTCTCCTTAAACGTCGTGTTTACACACAGACTTAACATGTACCGTGGACAATGAATCACGCTACAAAGTAAATGCCACTAAAACCCACAGGTTGTTTGAATTTGTCTTTGCAAAACAAATGACTAGTATTAGCATTAAGTCTACTGCCAATCCCCTAGGCCTATGGTCAAATGGATGATCTTAACTTATAAAAAGTATATATTTATGTTGGTGGGATCACAGATTGTTGGGCTATTTACGATATAAATATAATGTTTGCATTGTAATGCTTTACTACGGTGGTGTATTGCTCTCACTTCCCGAAAAATATTTTGGCTCAGTATCACGTAATTACGTGAAAAGTTTCACGTTATAACGTGATATTTTTCACGTTATAACGTGAAATTATCACGTTATTTCATGATATGAAATTATCACGTTATTTCATGATGTGGTATTTTCACGTTATAACGTGAAATTATCACGTTATAACGTGATATGAAATTATCACGTTATTACATGATATGAAATTATCACGTTATTTCGTGATGTGGTATTTTCACATTATAACGTGAAATTATCACGTTAATACTGATATGAAATTATCACGTTAATACGTGATATGAAATTATCACGTAATTTCGTGATATAAGGACCCTGATAGCATTAGGATCCGCAGCAGATTCGCTTTCGGTCCCCCAAATTCGCCCCACAGTCAGTCCGCTTTGCGGATCGGCTGTTCTATCAATGAGCGGATCCGCGGCTAAACCGGTTCAGATTCGCTTTGCGGACGCGTCATTGACTCATCAGCTGTTAGCGGGACCTGAGTGGAAAGGAGGAGCACTCACCTGTTGTCCGCGGATTTAACTGTAAGTAATAGTTTAAAAGTTAATTGTATTAGTCATCATTAATGTACACAACGTTAACGTTACATTGTGATGTCTGTACATCTGTGATTGTGTGTTTTATCAGTTTTGATGAGTGCAGTAGCAGTAAAGTTAGCGACAGTAGCAGCTAACGTGATGAAGCGAGGTTGGGTGTCGAGACAACTCCATCTCTTGAGGTAAATCTCAATCTAAATACTGTTTTTATATATCGCTGCTTATATTCATATATGTTTTTTACGATCATGGAGTTATAACTCTGCTCTGTGATCATTAGTTGTTGCTAACGGGCTCGGTTCTGGCTGGGCACCCTCTTGAAGCTCTCCCCTCGGCTGTGGAGCCACTGTGACACCGGTGTCTGAACAGGTTGTGTTTTTAACCACAGATTATTATTATTTGTGCAGTGTGTTGACTCTTAAGACTAAAGTGCAATCATGTCGGTGCGTTAATACAATAATGTAAGGCATAACTTTTAACAACAGATAACATTAGCTAACCAACCAAAACTTATGTTCTTTTCCCCAGATGACCGCTCTGCTGCTGAGTGTCCCCAAAAGGAGCCCTGCACATTGATCAGAAGTAAAAGTTAAGTTTTAAGAATAAGATATTTGGCTACTCTCATCTGTCCATGCTTTTACTCATATGGCTTATATTTGTATTTTTGCTTTTTTTTTTTTTACTTTGCTTAATATGAACTATTTTAGTTAAGACTGCAAATTGTAATTTTCATTTTTAGAACAATGCATTGGTTAACTCAAAGGGCATACAGTCCTATACCGTTAATAATAATTACTCATGTTCTAAGATTTGTAATAAATGAATAAAATAAACATTGTTTACATTGTAAAAAATCTGCTGCTTCTTTTGTTAAATTATGAGATTTAATGTTAGATTATCACTGATCCAACTTTGAGTTGTTGAGGTTCATGTTTTTAAATGTAAGCATCTACATCCTAGTTGTGATACTTGCTGTAAAAGGTGTTTTATGTACAGTTTCAATGCAAATGTTTCTGTGCGTATTTAGGTCAGTAGGAAGTGGACCAGAATTAAATCTGAAGCACATTTAGGTTCCTAACGACATAATAAACAGATCCGCGGCAGAACCGCAGCTTATCCGGGCCAGATAACCCGGTTCTGAACGCGGATCCAAAACGGGTCCTAGGCGGGTCCGCGAGATACGCAGCGGATCAGCCGCGCCTCCGCCGCGGATCCGGAAAAATAAGACAGTCACGCTTCCCTTCAGTCAACTCCAACGTGAGCATGGCCCAGGCTGAAAGTGTGGATTCTCCACTCTCGAGATTTCTTTGGGCTCGTGGTGTACCAGAACACACCAGAACACTATCTCCTTCCCACGGAGCAAGATCTTGTAAGAGTATTTTACTGTTTCGTCCTCAAGATAGCAGAATGTTCGGTAAGCAACTGGTGAACGAGTGCTGTAGCGAGTCGTTCGCTGTGGGCAAAGAGCTGCTAAAATTGCAATTCTGTTATAGCTCCATAGTTCATGACAAAAGCATTCGTTTGACACATGTCGGTGTTTCAAGTTCTTCATGAATAAAGACCATAAAACACCACGGCCGTCCTCATCCCAAGTTATCATCATAAACTCATAAAACAGCACATGTAGCCTACAACTTTGTACACAACTCGCTGCACATCAGCCCAGAAGCTCTGAGTTCGGGTAACAGCAGCAGCCAACAGCAGTAAAGACATCGCTGAGCGGTTCCCGTCCTCTGCGCGCTGGTTCCGTGCGGGGAAAGCGAGAATGCGCAGTGAACTGTAGGTCCGTGCGGTTTGCTCCGGTGTAGCGTTGCGGCTGGTTCTGAGGTGGAGTAAAGCATCCGGACAGAAGCGCGAATCCGGTCTGGTTCGTTACTGTTCTGAGCCTCCGTGCACTTGGTTCTTCTCGAGAAAAGCGCTTCTCAGGCCGAGGCACCTAACCACTCCCCGCTCCAGATCATCTGAGCCCGGCCTGAACCGGAGGAGCACAGGGACCTCTGAGCGCTGTTCCCCTGCCCAGGCCGGGCTCAGATGAGTTGAAGCGGGGCTTAGCTTAGCTAACTACACCACATTTTCTGAATAACCTTCTCTTACACTGTCTATGTCTGAGTGCAAACACTCAACAATGTTTTATGGTCATTATTCATAAATAACTGGAAACACCGAAATGTGTCAAATGAATGCTTTTGTCTTTAACTAATTCTTAGGAGCTATAACAGAATTGCAAACAGACTAGGTACTTTTAGCAGCTCTACCCACAGCGAACAACTCGCTCCAGCTCTAATATTCAGCAGTTGCTTACAGAACATTCTGCTACCGTACGACAACACAACTTGGGGACGAAACAGTAAAATACACTTACACGATCTTGCTTCATGCGAAGGAGACAACACGAGCCCGAAGTAATCTCAAGAGTGGAGAATCCACATTTTCAGCGTGGGCCATGCTCAGGCTGGAGTTGACTGGACCGAGGGAAGCGTGGTTTGGCTGTGGCTGATCTTATAATGAAATCACGCAAAACCATAATTGACGTTTTCACGTAATAACGTGAATATATCATGAAATAACGTGATAAATGCTTATCGTGTAATAACGTGATCATTTCATATCACGTTATAACGTGATAATTTCACGTTATAACGTGAAAATACCACATCATGAAATAACGTGATAATTTCATATCATGAAATAACGTGATAATTTCACGTTATAACGTGAAAAATATCACGTTATAACGTGAAACTTTTCACGTAATTACGTGATACTGAGCCGAAATATTTTTTGGGGAGTGAGAGCAATACACCACCGTACAATACACCACCGTAATTATGTAACCCCTAACATAAATGTCAGTTTACGGCAGGGGTCTCAAACTCAAATTACCCGGGGGCCACATTAGATAAAGTCTGAGTGAGGCTGGGCCGCATTGAGTATTCGATAAATAGCGGTTGCACGGGAAAAAAGGAGAGAGAAAGAACAAAACGCAACACACTTTCTTAATCTTTAATAACAGTTCAGAACATGAAAATGTATTCAGAACGTAAGTTTAAACTAATACGTCTACTCTTCTTTTGCCTACTTCTTGCTGGTTGGAACCTGGCTACGATTCATCTTGTACAGCTGAGAGATATTTGGCTTGCAGGAGGAAGCATATGAGATCCTCAGGATAGATTGAAGATGCTCATCAATGAGCCTTGACCTGTATTAGGTGCTTTCACACCGACAGTATTTGGTGCGCACCAAACGATCCATTTCGAACCAGAAGTGGTTAGCTCGGTTCGTTTGCGTTGGTGTGAAAGCGTCAATCGGACTCTGACCCGGACCAACTCAAGTGGACCGAGACTTCAAAAAAGAGGTGGTCTCGGTTCGCCACACCGAATCCACACCAAATGACCAACTTTGGTGCGGTTCTTCTGGTGTGAACGCGAACCCGGGTCCAAACCACAGACAGCAGGTCCAAACGAACTATTCTAGATGCATCATGGGAGAAACGCGTCTCCTGCCTGTAATGACGCGCTGTACGACTCCAGCGCAGTAACAGATTGTTGTCCAGACGCAGCCACGATTCATTTTCGAAATATTTTACCAACAATGGCCAATACAGAGAATGTAATACACGAAGATCAGAGCAAGTACGTGCGAACGTGTGGCTCCAGAGTGAGTCAAAAATGGGGGTGTGTACTTCTGTTCAGGACCTGCACAGAGGTCCCGGTGTTCCCCGTGATCATGTAGGAACCAGCATTTGTTATTTTAGGCTTTAATTAACCAAATAATTTTATGGCAATAGGCAATCGCCCATTCAATTGATTCACCTTTAAAAAATGTCCTGCTTTTAGCCTAGTGTGAGAAATACAGTCGGACTCGATCCAAACCAGAGTCCCGAACCAGCAGGAGCAGCTCCGGTTCTGTCCGGGCTCAGATGACGTGGAGCGGGGAGTGAAAAGCGCTTTTCCCCGGGAAGAACCAAATGCGGACACCAACTAAACTGGATTCACGTTCTGTCCGGATGCTTTGCTCCACCTCGGAACCAGCCGCGGTTCTTGAGCGCGGAGGACAGGAGCAGCACAGACCTGTAGGTGTAGTCCACAGCGCATTCTCACTTTCCCCGCACGGAACACGGAACCAGCGCGCAGACGGCGGAACGTACCCGCTCAGACCCAGTCATTGCGCACTGGTCTTGCTCGCCACCGTCTGGAACCAGCAATTGGAGGACAGAGCCTCCGGACCATCTGACCAACGCGCTTGTAGGACGACAGAAACCAAGGACCAGACTCCAGCACCGTCCTGAGGAGCTGCGCGCTACTGTGAACGCTGTTGGCTGCTGCTGTTAAATCCTTCCGCGGGCCGCAGTTGGCCCCCGGGCCGCGAGTCTGAGACCCCTGGTTTACGGCATTGTGCTAAAATAACATCTAAACAAACAAATGTTATGCAGACATTATTTATGCCATTTGGAATTAAAGGTTGCTTAGCCTGACTTATCTCAAACAATAAAATACGAAGTTTACTCAACAGCAAAAGTCCTGTAAAAGTCTGTAAATACAATATCTTTCTAGGCCTGAAAATGGCCAACTTTGGAGGACATGCCATCCCGGGGTCCTTCTTCTTTCTGTATGGTGTGTGGCTGACGGTGAAGCACATCCTCCATCACTACTGGAGGATGCATCAACCCAAGCACAGACAAGGGATGGCACCTTTTCTGAAGAAGATGCACTACTTTGAGGGAGGATTACAAATATTTGCTGCTTCTGTTGGTCGGTAACAAAAATATCAAAATGTTCAATGTGTCTAAAGATTTAGATCACATCAGCAGTGTGTTTTGTTTTGATAAAGGTATACTGGTGGAGCAGTTTGTCCCAGACGGCCCTCATGCTCATTTGATCTCGGGCAGGGAATGGGTGAAGCTAATGAACTGGCAGCACAGCACCATGTACTTGTTCTTTGGTATTGCAGGGGTCACACTGGTGGCCTCCACTGCCTCCAAACTGGTGCCTGTTGGGGTGGACCGCCTTATTCTGTCCATGGCTTTGTTTGTTGAGGGTAAGTCATGGAGCATATGGAGTTAAACATTAGAGTCAAGAGTCAAATGGCAATAATTAGAACAATAAATGCCTTGTATTACAAAACATATCCAACAGGTTCACTTTTAACAGACAACTTATTTGCATTTGTACTATTCTATACTATAAAAAATATAAATGATAATGATGGATAATTCAAATGATTCATGCTAATGCATCTGCCTTAAAGGTGTTTCCTCATTGAAAACCAAATACATGAAAAAAAAAATGTCTTCATTAAATAGTGCTTTTTACATACTTAAGGTTGGGTTTTACTTTAATATGAAAATATGATTCAAATTTGCTACATAGTTGAGTATATTACATCTTTCCGTCTGCAATTTTATTATAAATGAATACAGAGCTGATGTTTGACAGTGTGGTCTTGTATCTCAGGGTTTCTGTTTTATTACCACGTGAGCATGCGCCCTCACCTGGATGCACACATCCACACTCTGCTGCTAGTGGCTGTGTTTGGGGGAGCAGCTTCCACCATGCTGGAGGTCTTCAAAAGACACAACATCATCCTAGAGCTGCTGGGGGCAGGGTTCTTCATTCTGCAGGGCACATGGTTCTACCAGGTCAGCCATATCACACACTGTAATAACTATGCGACTGTGGAAATGCTCTTACCTTTGTAATCATTAAATGATTCTGTCCTGAGGCAGCCACACCCCCATGACTAATAAGAACTCAACTAAATTTACTACTTGAGAAAGAACTTTACCATGGCTAGTCAGTCTATAAAACTATATATATTTTTAAAGTGTGACAACTGTATTTGTGTTTTCATTTTAGGGTAGAACAGTTTGATGCTAAGAAACTTTAGTATACTTTTAAAGTCCTAGTTTTTGCACTTTGAACTCCAATTAGATTTATAATGGTGGATAGCTTTAAAAGTGACCTTGCACTCATGTTATGTTCCAGATTGGTTTTGTCTTGTATCCGCTGAGCGGGCCCCAGTGGGAGCTGGAGCAACATGACAACATCATGTTTGTCACCATGTGTTTCTGCTGGCATTTAGCTGTTGCTGTGCTTCTGGTGACCAGTACTTCCTTTGCGGTGTGGTTGTAAGTAGATACCTATCTATGTTTACATTGTAAACGTAGATTTATAATGAACACTGTCATAATAGGGTCAGTTTGCACTGTGTAATTTTTTTTTTCTTAAGCATGCTGAGGAGATTGTCCTCAAATGGACGAGACATTGAAATTGGAATGAGGAACACTTCGTCTGCATCTAATTCCCAGAAGTTTTTGCTTGAAGAATCAGAGGAGGAATAGGCTCATTTTACAATCATTGTTTGGCTTGAGAAATTCACTATTATATTTCACTATTATTCCTCAAGTTCAATAGAAAGTCACAAACTAATACAATCTAATAATGTATTTATGAACATTTTGTACATGTTGTAAAACTATTAACGTTAAAAGTGTATTTTTGAAAATAAAGGGTAAAAGAATGCATTTAAAAACAGCACTGTATTTTTATGCATGTTACATATTTTAAATTACACAACAGGAAAATATTAACACTGTAGAGAAACCAACAGGTAACTACATTTGTTGTGAGAAAAGAATCTCATCAAACTTAATTGGAACATAAAAAAACCCAACACAACAGATATATATACACATTAGTAATTTCCAGTTGGCCTAAGATCACTGTGGTGGGGCAGGGGGAGGGTCAGGGGGGCGACTGGGTGAAGGTGCTGTGACAACAACAGTAGAGACAGCTTTGGGTGATCCTGCTGAGGCCATGTGCTGCTGCAGTTGCTGGGCTGGGACTGTTTGGATTCGAACCTATGATAGAAAGTATCACTTAACCGACCTCTGAAAAATGGGAGATAAGCTCTTAACCTGTGTAACATGCAAAGTGCTCTCACCTGAGTAGCCTGGCCCTGCTGCTGAAGCTGCTGAAACTGTTGAGCAGTGACAAAACTGACTGGCTTATTTCCTGCAATCAGCTTCGTCCCAGCTGGCATTGTGGTCAGGATGATGTTCCTCCCCAGACCACTGATACTACACAGACCAGAGAAATGGTGAAGCAAGTTAGACTGCTATACAAACACTTAAGTAATTACTCATAAAAGTTGTCTCTTATGATAATGGTTGTATTATTAAGATTAATCTATGTGTGCGTAAATATATGTACAAACATGAAAAATGCTTACTTTGTGTTGAGGTTTCCTTTCACAATAGGTGTTGTCACCACACTTTTACTCTTAAGTGGTTGATTAAGGACAGAGAGGGGAACAGTGATCCTGGCAGGTAACTTTCCCTGTGATGTAATAAATAATTTATATTAGAAAAGACAGGTCATTTTTATGTTATAGATATTTCTATAGAGAATTTAGTATTTGTGTTTTTCTTACCGTTTGTGTAGAGACCACTGTCGCAGGGACCTGTCTCACAGTTGCCGTTGCAGTTCCTAGAGTGATTGGTGAACCAGAGGCAGCTGAGGCCACGGTGAGTCCTTTAGCACCGGCCACCACATTGGCAGCCATAGTGACCACAGAGGCAACTGAAGATACAGCTGGGGGTTTACTGCCAGTAGAGGGCGCCATTGTGATGGTCTGAGCCGGTTTGGGTGGAATCACACCAAGGCCTGGCATTATGCGAATAGTGGCGCTGCTCTTTTCAGGTGAGGAGACTGTGGTAAATGTCCTTGCTTTCTGATCAGCCACAGACACCGCTAAAGTTGGCATGAGACGAATAGCAGTATCACCAGTAGCTTTTAAAAGTGCAGTACCAGGACTGGCATTACTGGTGGGCACCTCTCCGGAGCTTGAAGCAGAGCTGGAGGCTGTGGTGGGTGAGGGGTGCGTTGGTGTCACATGGAGAGTGGCTGATATGCTCTTACTACCTGCAGCAGCAGCTTGTCCCAAAAACTCTGGTGTCAGTTTGACTGTTGCCACTGGAGACTTGGTCAGAGTAGCCATCATGTCTGGGGTAATTCTCAAGACTGTTTGGCCTTTAGCATCTGTGGTGATGGAGGATGGAGGGAGGCGGAGCACGTCTTTACCCTGTATGCGCAGGTTTGTTGCAGTTATAGGGATACCACCCCCACATGTAGTCTTTACACCTAATTGACCAGTGATGGAGACCTTCAGAGAAATAATGAGCAATGTTAGCAAAGTTTCTAAAACAAAATGGTAGCTACAACGATAGGTCAACTATAGTTTTTTTTTTTTTTTTTGATTGCCAGGGGTAAATAAAACTTAATAAAATATGACTACATTTTCACACTTTTCATTTACGTACTATAACAGCTGCTGCTTGTGTACAACTTGTGTACAAAGAACGCACAGACCCACCTGTTTGATGTTTGGGCTGCTGACTCCCTGAAGCACCGCGGGTGAAGAAGGAGCATTTGAAGGACTACCAGGAGATCCTGTTTGTGGTTTAGTGACTGTGACCGTGGACACAGAAAGAGTGGGCGGCACCTGGACTGGATTACTGCTGGGCTGGCTTCTCAATGGCACAGACACCACAGCCTGTACAAAACCGTAACCATTTAAGCTTTTTTTTAAATTTTTTAAAGGGCACTATGTAACTTTTCAAGTGGAAGGTCCACCACCTTTATGTCTTCATAGAAATTATATTGTTCAAAGCAATAAGGTGATGCCACTAGGCCAAGTTACAGATCAGATCAGTGAAGAGCTGCTGTTCCCAGAAAGAATACATGTTCTCAAAGTATTTCTAAGCTATAGAAACACTTGTAATATAAATAAAAGCAATAGATCTGTTTCATTCCATTTTGTGGAACATTCTACACAAAGTAATAACATCTCCATGGAGATAAGCAAGTGTCGGACAAGAAAAGTTAAATACCTTTAACAACAAATAGAGTCTCAAACCTGTGAGATGCCCTTTGTGGCCACAGAAACGGGCATTCTGATCTGGTGAGTGGGCTGGTGCATTATTGTGGCCTGGTGACCTCCGGGGGCAGCAGCGAGACCAGGCTGAGCAGAAACCACGCGGACCTGAGGAAGAGTACCAGCTGCAAGGTGGCTCACTAAACGTGCTGCATGCTGGGATGAAACCGTCTGTGAGGGTGGTGGGGCTGCCTGACTCGTGGGCAAGATGGTTCCCAACTGAGGTAAAGGTGGTGGAGAAACAAGAAGCACACTGAAAAGAAAAAAACAAAACATAAATACAGGTAAAGGCTATGTAGAATATACACAGGAGAAAATTTGGTCATGTTTTTAGTTGTGAAATGTACATTAACTTAATGTTATATCTATGTAAATTGCAATATGCAACTTTTGTGTCGTTGTACCCACCCAGGGCTAGTTTTAATAGTGTCAGGGACTGCAGATTTAGTTGGTGTTGTGACTGTGGATGGCAGAGGTGACATTGGGGTTCCAGGTGTGTTTGGGGTTGTGGCAATTGGTGACATCGGCGTGGGAACTATGTCTCCTTCCAAACATCCAAGTTTACTGGCTCCCTCTTTGCTGCCAGACTTCTGTCACACAAGAAAAGAACAGAATACATTTAGAAATTAAATAACTGAACATGTGTCCTAATCTTATATTGTGCAGACTCACAGCCTTTGGGGCAGGCTTGGGCTTCTGCTGCAAAGCTTTTCTTGCTTTGGCTGCTGCAGCTTGTGCCTGATGAATTCGCTCTGGATGTATCAATAAATGTTTTATTATACCCTACCTCTTTTTATTTACAGTATTTTTTATATTGCTTACCGAACTCTTCCTGGCTCCGACTGCGATGCAGATAAATCCACAGTTTACGGCCAATATCATATTTCACACAAGGGTCTTTCTCGTAGTGAAGTCGGTCCAGAGCTCCACTCACTACTGTATTTACCTAAGTAACAGAATATAAAACATCTTACATTGACTATTTATAAATTACACATGGCTGATAGTAGTGGGTTTCTGGTTATTGAAAATCAGACCTGTGCACTTGTGACTTCTGGAGCAAGAAACTGGGAATCCTTTAATAATTCACAAATCTCTGCCCTGGTCCCCTCTCCATTGGGTAATCTGGCTGCAGCATCCCTCACTGTTGATAAAACCAATGTACCAGTTTTATAATGTAAAGTGTAACCCCATAGTACATGTTGAATTAAATTGACCCTGTGTCTAACCTAGAGACAGTATGGTCACATATGGTGGCCGGTCTGATCGCAGCAGTGTGTGTTCCCTGGCTTTGTTCAGTGACATTTCTTTGTCAAATACTCCTTTGACTGGCCCCACCACAGACTCAAATCCATGCATCCGGAAAGTGAAAGCTTTATGAGGCTGGTTGTATCGTTGCTGTTCCTAAAAAAACAAACAGTTTAACCTGAACTTACTTATATACATTTACATACAGACAGAAATAGAGATAGAGAGATGGAGAGATATACACATGCATGCACGCACATACACACGCACGCACTCAACAGCAAAGGCTGACCTGGATTTGAAACAGCTGTTTTTCATCGCCAGTACTTGGTCGAACCACATAATCAGTTGATCTGTGGTAAAAAATTATTTAGTACCACAGTAAATAACATTAATATTAACATTATGTTAATCGTGCAGTACAATATAAAATACAGTATTACTTTAGATCTTAAATTTAATCTTACACTCTTGGTGTGGGTGAGATCATTTCTAACATTTCTTCATTTTCTGTCTAAAAGCAAAATAGAAAAATAATGTTTATTCTCTATAAGTTAGCTGGTTAAAGTTGATTTAAATTCTTACAGGTACCTTTATAACCAGGTCTTTAGAGTCAAGCCACAGTTGACATAACGCACTCAAATCTTTCTCTGTGTCCTGGGTTGGGCCTGAAAATTGTAAACATTGTTAATACTAATAGAATAAACCATATCTATGTAAAAATGGTTCTTACCAATCCATCTCCACTGTTGTGTCTCATCTGAAAACTCCACAAAAGGCAAGAAACCACTGGGTAATGCCATGCGTCCATCTGAGGAGGAAAAACATATCTGTTATAGTTTCTCAATCCCAATTTATATTCTACAATAACACGAACATACCTTTGGTCTCTCCAGCAAGAAATTGGAGTGCTTGAAGAACCAGGTCGGACCAGCAACAGGCAGAAGAAAACCAGGCATTTAGGGAGCTGGCTGGAGAAGACTGCCATAGCTGGATTTTCTCTTCAATCTAAGAGATTTGAAATGTCCAATAAGTTCCAAAGCTTTTAAAACAGCAAAGTAATATAAACTTTTGAACTTAATACACATATACCCCGGATGTGGTGAGGGCTTCTGTTCTCAAAATACTCTCTAACAAACTGAAGAAACTAATGGCAATTTCTTCAACTACAACAGGGCTGATCTGACTCTCATCCACCATTCTGAAATACAGTCAGTTTAGTTTAATTAATACAAAAATTATTATGAATTTTGCACACGTCTAACAGTAAATTTGGCTTACTCCTCTTTAATGTTGGCGAGTGGAGAAGAGGGAGTGTCTGGAAGAGAGTTGATCATGTTAACTGGAGGAGCTGAATTTGCGTCTGAACCAAGAGCTTCACCAGGATCTTCACACTCCACTTTAATTGGTCTCACTTTCTTCCTCCGTCTTTCCTCTTTGATTTTCTTTTTAGGGAGAGACAGCTCAAATAATGCTGTGGGAAAAATATAAATAAATACATCTAGCCAATTCCTTCCACCATTATTGATTATTTAGCTTAGCTTTTTTGTATTGTTTTACTCACGAATTGGTCCTTTTCGTCCCATGTTTGCTCTTGAGAGAATGTCTCCAAGGTGAACATCAGAAGTCACAAGGTCTGGATGATCCTACAAAAATATGTAATTACTCTGGTGCTTAATTATTGGGCTGCCAGTCCAATTCATAGTAAGCTTACTGGCTGCCTTTTCCTTTTCTCCCGATGACTGTGCAATATTCTCTTAAGGTCCTGTTCTCCAAGTTCTAATTTTTCTGTAAGGCAAAAACCCTTTTACAGTTTGTTTCTCCAAAATTACTAATAGTAGTTTAGATCATGCAAGATTACTCACCTGTTGTTTTCATGTCTTGAGTAGAGAGGCTTGGGAGGACCCGTAAAGATATGGTAGGTGTAGGGGATGAGGGCGACTGAGGCGCTGATGTCCACATTGACAACTCTATAATTATACCAAACCATATTTAGAATAGCTTGTTGGTCTATTAGATTTACAGGTAACAAAGTCTAAATTCATACCATCATCAGAGGAGGATGCATTGCTGTCACCACACTCTGCTTTAACCTCCTTCAATATACGGTTGAGTCTTCTTCTTACTCTCGGTTCCCGCATTTCAGCATGACTTTTACTCAGGGCCTTTCTTCTTGGTGGATAGTCTTGACCATTATGAACTGCATAGTCCAGAAGCTCCTATGGAATCAGATGGTTAGATATAGTGCTGAATTGTGTAAAGTTTGTATGTATAGAAAATTATACCTTCCGTGAGACAAGAATCTGTTTTAGGAGCTTGTGGTAATACTGCTGAAGAGAGTACAGCTGTCGCTTCCGCTGGGATTTAGCACACAGTTGTCTGTACTTGACCACTTCAGGGTTGAAATAACCATCTATAGAGGGAGGAAAACATTACTGATTTCTTGTCTTGAAGATTTTGTAAATATTATGCTATTTGACTTCACCTCGGAATAGCTTTTGCGCAAGATGAAGGGGATTTCCGAAGTGAAAGTTTCTGTCACTGAATAAATCACTGATGGTGCGGTCTTGTTCTGAAATATTCTGGTCAGGAAATTGTGGCAAGAACTGGCGTAGATGCTGCCTCTGTGCATCTGACAGAACTTCAGTCCAAGTGCTTCCACTCAGCACAGAGAAGAAAATGTCAGGCTGTCAAGAAAATTATGAATTATAATATATATTCATATGTAAATACATTTATAATTCTGAATGCATTGGCTTAAGTTGTGCACTGAACTCACATCTTCCAGTAGATCCTCTGGAAGACTCACTCTGCAGTTTCCCAGCAGACACTCCTCTGTTATATGGCCACTGTTCCCCTCTTTAGGGTCAAGAGGGTCTGTCAGCATGTGAGTGATAGGATCCATTATTTATTCCTATAGACAGACACAGCTATTACACAAAAATTATAATAGTAAATAGACTGAAATTGATTGCAAAGATCACCGCATTTAAGGCATAACTTTCTTAGAAGCGCGAGTTGTTTACAGAAATGTGGGTCATCTTAAAACGCGTTGAATCAAACAAGACTTACACATATGAAGCAAAGCACCATCATTTCTCATTAAGTTAGGTATAAAACATTTATTTTAAGTTTCGCCTTAATAACTGTTTAAATTGTGCAAATGCTTTAGTGTACAAAGCTATCATCTTACTCATAGAACACAGAGTTGCTTCTTGAGCAAAGCTATTTAAGATTTAGAGACAGACAATACATCATTATTAAAATGACACTTACCTTCTGTTTCGAGTTTAATGTGGTTATAGATCCATAGTTTTGTCCCTAATGTGTTTTGTCTTTTGCTGTAGGGGGAACTATTTTACTGTGACACGCTTTATTCTTCGTCCTAAACCATGTACGTACGCCACCAGTGCATCGCCCCCTGCCGTTCAAAGGTACATATGCTTAATTTAGGATTTACATCGCAAATGTTAACTGTTTCAACTGTAACTGTATTATTAATTTAATTTCGATTGAAGCAATGAACCAGCTCCTAGACATTAACCGGACCAAGGATCCGTCCAACTTCAAGTGTGCTGCTACGGTCGAAGCATATTGGACTTAAATTAGGTCATCGCGTTCTTTACACTTTTACCTATGATGTTGGTTATTGTGGATTATTTTATTGTTTTCCTTTATATTTAAAAATGTACTTTATTATTCACAATTCTGCTCACACCAAATAACGTGTATTCGGGTAGTATATGGCTAATTGATTTATTACAGGCCACCAAGTTAGTTCAGATGAAGGTTTTCTTTTCTTTCTTTTTTTTTTAGTTTAGTTTATTTGTTTGGGCAACATGTCAGTACAAAATATACCTATAAAAACATGTATTTTGCTTTGCTTAACTATGACTGGAAAAAGACACATAAGGATGACTAAATTCTTTCTTTCTTTCTTTATTTATTTATTCATTTTGGCTCTAATTCAACATTTACATTTGTGGAAATATACAATAAACAATGAAAGGAAATATTAAACTCTTAAGCCATACAAACTACTTGCATTGGTGCTGAGACACTGACTGACTCCACCCCCATGTGATATTGTATGGAAATGAAGTGGTCCATTCCTGTGGCTCCTAACAGTGAGGGAGAGGGAGGCACAGGAGCTACCAGTGCTCTCCCACTTACTTCCATCTGCTCTGTCCAGGAATAAGAGGGAATAATCCATGCATAGCTTAAAAACTTAACTTTTTTTGTTGTCATAGTGTGTGTTGAGTGTCTGGGAGCATGGCCGAAGGTGCAGATGGAGAAGAAGAGATCCAGTTCCTGCGAACGGTAAGAGATGCTCTTATGCCATTTATAGTCATTATACAGTTTACACAATCGTCTCTGTTCGGAGTACCTAGGGTGATAATAGACCTTTTGGTTGGTTGGTTGTATTAAACAGGGATTGACAGGGACAGGTGGTTTTGCCTGCATTGTTATCTATTTTTAGCTCTACGTTTGTTTGATATGTTTTTGTTTTGTCACTGAGGACAAAACTTCTAGTGACAGGTGGCACGCGTCCTCTGTAACAGTATAAATGTCATTAGTTCATACTGGTGGTAGTACAATCTAATTCGTACTACTTTCTGATTTTAATGGATGCAGCTCAGTGAGTTGGCCAAGTAAAAGTTGCTGAGTGTGTGGAAGTTGTAAATGTAAACGTGAATTTCCAAGGTCCAGATTTATCTGCTGAGAGATGTCTGTTCTAAAAATAATTATTAGTAATTGGTAACATGAACCAGTGCACTACTGGTGGGATAATCTACAATTGAGGTATTTTAAATGGATATCTGACCTACTTATGTAATTTCAGTTTGTTTTTAGCAGATTGTTTCAGACTAATTTGATGCCAGCTTTGGTCAGATATAAAGTGATTACACATAGAACTTGTCTATAGTTTCATCAGGACTTTATTTCACTGGTGAAGTAGCTGCTGGAGAACTGATCAGATTTCCTCCTTCAGAAGTCTGTGCCAAAGGCAGTGGAAGGGCATTGTGGCCTTCCAGCAGTGTACTATATGCAACACCTCAGAGTTTAAATCGAGACTGATGATGCAGGGCTATTGTTAATATTCAAGTGTAACTTGAGAATGTGTCAAAACTGTGACTCTCATCCCTGGCCACTTCATTAACCTATTTCTCAAAACTTGAAAATGTTTGGACTTGTTATAGCTTGATTGTTAACAACTATTTTGCGTTCATAACACACTGATGCCTCTTGTTGACCTAAATGTAAATGTCCTAAAAATCTTAAACATAATCTTTTGACAGTCTGGGGTGTAGGTTTTAAAAATGTCTCCAAATATCAGTTTGTTTTTCAGCCTTAACTTGCTTCAGGTCTATAATTACTATGTGAGGATTAACAGGCTCGGAGCTGGACCAATTTTACACCTGCTTTCTCTAGTCTGTAGCAGAACTCATAAACCCTCATATAACAGTAAAGTAATAGTAAAGTAATACTGTCTTACTTCTGAACCTTTTCGTTGTTTGAATTACTTATGATTACTGACATAGTAAGAAATCTGTTGTTTCATTCACGAAAGTTGCTTATTCATCTTGTGTTCACCTCTCATTTAAGCTCATGTCATCTGTTCGCATTATCTGTCTCCATCTGTGAGCTGGACTGTCTCTTATGTGTCTGCCTTAGGTGCGTTTTTGTTCTCACAGTTGTCAGAGGTGAGAGTCTGAGGAGCACATTATATGCCCACTGTGGTAGCTGTCTGTTTGTTGTTGGGAGACTTATATTTTAGTGTTTAACTGTTAGTAAGATTGTTAGAAGATGTTCTATAACGACGACGAGCAATCTGAAAATATATTGAAAGTAATTTATAATACTGTTTTATGTAACAAGATATCCAAGGTATGGAACAGAAGTTAACATTAGCTTAATTTGTTATGATATTTTAATGACTGTTAAGTGCCAAATTACCCATAATGCAACACACACTGCTAATTTCTGTATCTCTTACCACTTACCTTGCTATTATTATACTTATTATACTTATACTTATAATTATACAAAAGGTCAAATATGGTTGGTGAGTTAAAAACAAGAAAAACAGAAAATCAAAGTAAAGATTTGAAAGTACCTCTTGTCATCTGGGTTTCTAATTGTGTTAGTAGGTTGGCAATGCATTGTGAGGCGTTGATTTCTGGCCATTTAAACGTAAATATGTGGTGGTCTCCAGAAGGGGATGTGTGAACAGCAGGTGCAGGGGACCGAAATAGAGGCTGGTGGAGTGGGTTGTGTCCCGCAGCCAGAGAGGAGGCGGATTAACACTGGGCCTCTGACATGGGCCACAGAAATACAGTACCACATGCAGGAGGGCACATTGTTTTGCATGAGAACAACAGCTGTCTGGATGGCTTCAGCATTATTTCAGTTGTCATAACAAGAAAATATTTATTTAAAGTTACTGACAAATCAGTAAAGGAAGTTTGGGCAAAAGGAATTTGTGGTAGATATATTAATTATATTTTAAAGATGCACTGTGTAATTGCTACTTGCTTCCACAAATATGTTTTTGCTTTACATCGAATGTTCCACAGTATGGCATTAAATGATTGAAGCTGTGTCTCACATTGCCTGTTTTTTTTTTTTGTTTTTTGTTTTTGTCTATTTAAGTGGAAACACCCACAACTGCACATATTGTGCATATATCTGAGTAATAAATCAGTTACTTGAATGTATCAACCTACCTTTCTGTTTTTCCTTTATAGATATATTTCCAAACATGTACTGTGTAAAACATGTCCCTGGATGTTTTTTTAGGATGACCATGTGGTGCTCCAGTGCACTGCGTCCATCCTCAAAGAGCAGATCAAACTGTGTTTGTCCTGTGAAGGCTTTGGAAACCGACTGTGCTTTCTTGAGACCACCTCCAATGCACAGGTATATGTATATAGTACTTATTACACATAATAACTGCATTACTTCTATTAATATTATGTCAACATGTAGTTCAGTTTAAATCAGTTTATCAGTTACCACTGATTTTCCCATCATGGGTTGTGTTTTATTTCAGAATGTACCTCCAGATTTGGCTATTTGCACTTTCATTTTGGAGCAGTCCCTCTCAGTGCGTGCATTACAGGAGATGCTGTCCAACACCTGTGTGGATGAAGTAAATGACAACAGTTCAAAACATGAACAATCCAATGCATTTTTATGTGATCTGAATCTTACCAAGTATTTGTATATTTGTAGGCCGTTGATCTGGACAAATGGGTAAGTTTTATTCTGTTATAATTTTTACTACTTAACGTTTTATTTTACAAGTCATGGAGGTCAGCACAGATAAGTCACTTCACCCATTATTTATTATATTGACTGTTTTATGAACTTCCCATGCCAGTCTTCACAAGGTGGAGGACACCGGACACTGCTGTATGGACATGCTATCCTTCTCAAACACACTCATTCTAGCATGGTGAGATACTGTCATATGTCCTCCCTGAAAACACAACCTTTTTATTTCCATTCCTATTTCATTTTACATTATATGTTGCAGTACCTGAGTTGTTTGACCACCTCACGATCACTGACAGACAAGCTAGCTTTTGACGTGGGTTTACAGGAGGACTCCACTGGTAATCATTGCTGTTACCTGGTTTATATTTTACAAATTGTTATGTTTTAATTCAGTATATTCTATGTGCAAACTTTCTCTCAGGGGAGGCCTGTTGGTGGACCATTCATCCTGCATCAAAACAGAGATCTGAGGGTGAGAAGGTCCGGGTGGGAGATGACCTCATTCTTGTCAGCGTTTCCTCAGAAAGATATTTGGTAATTTGTTATATATTTTGCATTGTACATTATGAAAAGTGTTTGTATAAAATTAACTTGCTCTAAATGTTCTTTAAAGCATCTTTCATATGCAAGTGGTGACCTGATGGTGGATGCGTCTTTTATGCAAACTCTATGGACTATGACCCCTGTGATGTCTGGATGTGAGCTCGCTGAAGGTATTGCGTTTCATTGTTTAAGAAATAAACATATTTTTTTAAAACAGATTTCTTCTCTTCTCTTTATCAATACATTATTGCTTTGTTCGTCAGGATTTTTGACTGGAGGATACGTGCTCAGACTATTTCATGGCCACATGGATGAGTGTCTGGCCATCCCTGGAGCAGACCAAGGGGATGATCAAAGAAGGTGACAGGCTTTGAGTTGAAAAATGTGATTTAATGTGCCAGGATAATACAGTAAAAACATGTTTATTTGTACTGAATTACACCACCTAAACAAAATTACTTTTATTGCAGAGTTGCTCACTATGAAGGTGGGGCTGTTTGCAGTCATGCCCGTTCATTGTGGAGACTAGAGCCCCTGCGTATAGCGTAAGTAGCTCTTGTATCTGCATGTTAAGACTTTATAATGCCCATTTTTGTGGTCTGTTTTTAGGTGGAGTGGCAGTCACATTAAATGGGGCACGTCTTTCCGCGTTCGACACATCACCACTGGCCGATACCTCTGTCTGGACGAAGAGAAGGGGCTATTATTGGTCGACCCTGAGAAAGCAAATTCCAAGATGTCTGCTTTCTGCTTCAGAATATCAAAGGTCAAATTAAATGTTTGCTATGTTAAGTAGTGGGGAACTTGTGTTAAGTTATGCACACTAGTGTAACAACAACTGTTACAACATTTTTTCATGAAAATTTTTGATTTTGATACTAGGATTTTGCTACTACAATGATCATAAAAAGTTTTAGACAATAGACTGTAATTTTCAACACAAAATATTAATAGTACCTTAAGGTCAAATTTGGTTTGTTTATATTTTTTGGTTTCTATACTTGACAACCCTAATTATGACCCAATTATTTAATGTAATAATGTCCATTTTGGAGTTCCTGTAAAAACTTCTAAGCCAGAAAATGCACAAAAGTGACCACAGCAGCATATTTTAAACAAAAACTAAGGCACCACTCAAAAGGGTCTGAAAAACACTGTGTGTAACTTTTGCTTGAAAATGCGCTCTTGAACTACAGGAAAAAATTGAAGTGACCCAAAAGCGAGACGTGGAAGGAATGGGCATACCTGAAATCAAGTATGGCGAGTCTTTGTGCTTTGTGCAGCATGTCTCTTCTGGACTTTGGCTCACGTATGCCGCTGTGGATGCTAAATCTGCTCGACTGGGGCCTTTGAAGAGAAAGGTAACACATAAGAGCAAAATATAAATTACCCCATTTGCATTGTTTCCTTTTTAATCTCTGGTTTTCCAAAGGCTATTCTTCACAAAGAGGGCCACATGGATGATGCACTAACAGTAGCTCGGTCTCAAACAGAGGAGTCACAAGCAGCCCGAATGATTTACAGCACAACAGGGCTCTTCAGCCAGTTCATCAAGTAACTGTTAATCACATTTACATTTGTATTTATTTTCATTTAAAATGAAAATCCCTCTAAATACCACTACTATATCAAAACAACAGAGGCCTGGATGCTCTTAGTGGGAAAAACAAGTCAGCTAATCCATCGTCACTGCCCATGGACACTGTGGTGCTCTCCCTACAAGATCTCATCTTCTATTTCCGACCACCTGAGGAGGAGCTGGAGCATGAAGAGAAACAATTTAAGCTTCGTTCACTTAAAAACAGGCAAAATCTCTTCCAAGAGGAGGTCAGTGTGCCTACTAAAATATCGTGCATATTACTAATTGAATTTATATTATGTGGTTGTTTGTTTTCCCATAGGGAATGATCACACTTGTGCTTGACTGTGTTGATCGACTAAATGTCTACAACACTGCAGCTCACTTCTCCGAGTACGCTGGGGAAGAAGCTGCTGAATCTTGGAAAGAAATTGTTAATTTGTTGTACGAATTATTAGGTAGGTTTTCCAAACTCTTTCTTTATTGGAACACTTTGCTCTTCATGCCATAATCTTTGTTTACATTTTACACAGCATCTCTCATCAGAGGTAACCGTGCCAATTGTGCCCTCTTCTGTGATAACCTGGACTGGCTGGTCAGTAAACTGGACAGGCTTGAAGCATCATCAGGTAAAAAAAAGAATTACTGAAAAAAAATTTTTTGTATTGTGATCTTTTATTACAAAATAATGTGTTTGTAAGCAAGTGTAATATCTGCTTTCTATTAAATTTCACAGGAATTCTAGAAGTATTATACTGTGTCCTCATTGAGAGTCCAGAGGTGCTGAATATTATCCAAGAAAACCACATAAAATCCATCATCTCCCTTTTGGATAAACATGGACGCAATCATAAGGTAGGAAGGATACTATTACCCTATAGATTGGTGTATTTTTAATTGTCATAATGACCATAAGGACATAACCTTTCCCTAAATGTTTTCGGTTACTAGGTTTTGGATGTGCTCTGTTCACTGTGTGTGTGCAATGGTGTTGCTGTGAGATCAAACCAGAATCTCATCACAGAGAATTTACTTCCTGGACGAGACCTGCTTCTACAAACCAACATTATCAACTATGTAACGAGGTTAGTCATTTGAAATATTTAGTGTTTATAATAGAATAAACTAAAAACAACTTGGCTATGTTTAAATACACACCATATATCTGATCATTACCTGTTTTCTGGAGTTATCAGATTATTGAAATGTCATGTAAACCGTTACATCTGATCTGAGTAATCTGATTTCTTTATGCAAGGCAAGGCAAACCATGATGGCAAAGAGAAAAACAAATGTTATGAATTAAGTTATTTTAAATTCCTTTGTAAAATTATATCTAATTATTGGATTATCTGATTAATCACCAAAACTATGCAGTGTTTGTTGCTCTAAACATACTTCTGTTATTTTCTTTGATAATGCAATACAAATTTTGAATCTTACTCTAGTTATCTGTACTTAACTATTCATTTTTCTTGTGTCTTAGTATGAGACCCAATATTTTCCTTGGGACTTGTGAAGGTTCAACTCAGTATAAGAAGTGGTATTTCGAGGTTATGGTGGACCATGTGGAGCCGTTCCTCACAGCTCAGCCCTATCACCTACGCGTGGGCTGGGCTCTGACCGAAGGCTACAGTCCATACCCCGGAGGAGGGGAGGGTTGGGGGGCCAATGGGGTCGGAGATGATCTCTACTCCTACGCCTTTGATGGACTTCATCTATGGTCTGGTAAGGCAAACATACACGTTAAATATGTACAGTCTTTTTTTGTAACATATTGGAATACAGGTCAATAACATTCAACTGGTTTGTACAAAAATAAAGATGTTTAAATTGTTAATTCTGTGTTTCTCAGGCCGTGTTGCCCGTCATGTGGCCACGCCCAATCAGCATGTTCTCACTGCAGAGGACGTGGTCAGTTGCTGTCTTGATTTGAGTGTTCCCAGCATCTCCTTTCGAATCAATGGACATCCAGTTCAGGGCATGTTTGAAAATTTCAACCTGGATGGCCTGTTTTTCCCAGTTGTCAGTTTTTCAGCTGGAGTCAAGTAAGATAATATGATAAATTGATTTAAACCTATCACAAACCTCTAATGACTTTTTCCTCTTTCTAAGGTTTCGATTCCTCCTTGGAGGTCGTCATGGAGATTTCAAGTTCCTTCCTCCTCCGGGGTATGCTCCATGCTACGAGGCAGTACTGCCAAGGGATCGTTTGAGGATTGAGCCCATCAAAGAGTATAAACATGATTTTGATGGCGTCCGCAACCTGCTGGGTCCCACAGTGTCTCTGTCACATACAGCCTTTACACCGTGCCCTGTGGACACTATTCAGGTAACAAGCTTACTTTGAATCCAATATCAAGTACAAACTTAAATCAGCTTTTGCTTGTGCTAATAAAATGTTTTTTAGATTGTTCTTCCTCCTCATTTGGAGCGCATTCGAGAAAAGCTAGCAGAAAATAGTCATGAGTTATGGGCTGTAACTCGAATTGAGCAAGGATGGACCTATGGATCAGTGAGTGAGATTTTCATTGAGGGCATTATTTAAAGGTGTTTCGTATGTGATATAGTTGGAGAATTGCTTTATTATTATTATTATTATTTTCTTTTCAAGTTCCGTGATGACAATAAGAAGATGCACCCCTGCCTTGTGGACTTCCAAAGCCTGCCTGAACCAGAGAAAAACTACAACTTAGCCATGTCCGGGGAGACTCTGAAGTCAGTCATAAATATTGCTATATATTTAGCAATGTTTCAAAAGATACAAATAATGTTTTATATTCTTTAGGACTCTTCTGGCTTTAGGCTGCCACGTAGGAATGGGAGATGAAAAGGCTGAAGAGAATTTGAAAAGACTGAAGCTCCCTAAAACGTAACTGGCATTTTCATCATGGCTTTTTACTCACTAGCAAATGTTAACAAATCTGAATTTTTACAATTTTTAGATACACACAGTGTAATGGATATAAGCCTGCCCCACTGGATCTGAATCATGTGAAGCTGACTCCCAACCAGAACACACTGGTGGAGAGACTGGCAGAAAACGGGCACAACGTTTGGGCCAGAGATCGTGTTCGCCAGGGCTGGACTTACAGTATTGTGCAGGTATATTCCAATGCCCTGTCTGACTCATATTTGCTTTACATATTTTATTACATAAGCTTATTATTGTTTCTTGTTTCAGGATATTATGAATAAGCGCAATCCACGCTTGGTCCCATACAATTTGTTAGATGAAAAAACAAAAAAGACAAACCGAGACACCGTTTGTGCAGCTGTCCGCACACTGATTGGTTATGGATACAACATTGAACCCCCTGACCAAGAAAGCAGTAAGTGCATGTTTTAAAATGCACCTCATTGTACTTAAACATTATTGACCTAAATATATATTATTTTTATTTATCTTTTCAGGCGGACATGGACCAGGAACAACTCGTGGAGATAAGATCAGAGTGTTCAGAGCAGAGAAGTCCTATGCTGTCACACAGGGAAAGTGGTATTTTGAGTTTGAGGCAATGACTGTTGGGGAGATGCGAGTCGGCTGGGCTAGACCTTGTGTTCGTGCAGACACTGAACTTGGTGCAGATGAGTTGGCGTATGTTTTCAATGGTTTCAAGGTGCAGCAAAAGACACTGTTGAGTATTTTGTAATTAAATGTACCTGAGTAAAATGACTTCTGTGTTTTTTTAGGCTCAACGGTGGCATGTGGGGAATGAGCCTTTTGGTCGTCAGTGGCAGTCAGGTGATGTAGTTGGCTGCATGATAGACCTCACAGAAATGAACATCATGTTTACCCTCAATGGTGAGATGCTGATCAGTGATTCAGGCTCAGAAATGGCCTTCAAGGACATAGATATTGGAGAAGGTAAGTCTATATACTGAAGGTTCTTATAGTCATTTGTGTCTATTTGATTCACATTGTTTTATCCTTCACAGGCTTTATACCAGTGTGCAGTTTGGGCATGTCCCAGGTTGGCAGAATAAACCTTGGTCAGAACGTCAGCAGTCTCAAGTACTTCACCATTTGTGGCCTGCAGGAAGGATTTGAACCTTTTGCTATAAATATGAAAAGAGACATTACTATGTGGTTTAGCAAGAGCCTTCCCCAGTACATATCTGTACCAACTGACCATCCTCATATTGAAGTATGTTTAGTTCTGGGACATTCACTTTGAAGTTGTGAACATTTTGAAATGTACCCCATTTTTCTGTAGGTGTCTAGAGTGGATGGAACAGTGGACACAGCCCCTTGTCTCAAAGTGACCCACAAGACATATGGATCTCAAAATGCCAATACAGACCTGTTGTTCTTCAGACTGAGCATGCCCATTGAATTTCATGAGACATTCAAAGTCCCAGCTGGTACTACACTCCTCACTCGAGCCTTGACCATCCCAGAAGACGAAGTAGTAGAGGTGGACCCAGATTCAGATTTTGAAATACTCAAGAAGTCAGCCTCACGCAAAGAGCAAGAGGAAGACAAAAAAGAGGCATCAGTACCCAAGGAACCCCCTGCTATCAAAAATGGTGAAAATGAGAAGGATGCTTCCACTGAGAAAAGCAAGAAAAAAGGGTCAGTATTGTAATATCAGAATTTTTTAAAAACTATTAAACATTGAAGACTTGACAGCAACAGTCTCCAACCTGTCAAACTCTGTCTGTAATACTTTTACTTTCACTAAACTCTTTATCTAGTTGGATTTTCTGCACATTTGATTTAACCATAAAATGTATAGATTTAAGGTTCTAATATTTCTTCGTGATCAAAGTCTAAAAGTGTAGTGAAAAAAGTTCTAAGCATGAATAATCTTGTTGAAACTCTAGTCAAACTGAAAATGGTTGAAAAAGGCTATCCATAATTGCCCTAAAATAAGATCGTCCCTGTACATATTCTAACAAATAATTAAATATTCTGTTGTTTTTTTCATATTTACAGATTCCTCTTCAAAGCAAAGAAAGCTGCACTGATTACTCCTCCTCCTGTTGTTCCCACCATGCCTCGACTTGTGGAAGATGTGGTGCCAGATGACCGTGACGACGTTGACATCATCCTCAACACCACCACTGTAAGATCAACACTTTCATTTTCAATACTACCATCAAATATATTTATCTTGCATTGTCTTTTTCAGTATTACTATTCAGTGCGAGTGTTTGCGGGCCAGGAACTCAGTGGCGTTTGGGTTGGCTGGATCACACCTGACTATCACCAGTATGACTCCCATTTTGATCTGAACAAAGTCAGAAATGTGACGGTCACTGTAGGAGACGATAAAGGAAACATACATGACAGGTACATCAAGAGTGTCACCTGATTTTGTCAATGTTTCTAAATTTATAAATACTAACATATTTTTATTATTTATAATTAGCATCAAACGGAGTAACTGCTACATGGTGTGTGGAGGGGAGTTTAGCAGCTCCCAGCAGGCCCGAGTCAGTCAAGAGGACTTCATCATTGGCTGTCTGGTCGATTTGGACACTGGACTCATGACTTTCACTGCCAATGGAAAAGAGATCAACACATTTTATCAGGTCATATATTATAACAGTTTTCATTGTATTGGTGAACTACTAAGTAAGAGTAACTGTCTATATGTACCAATGGATTTAAGTAGGAGCAAAATATGATTTTATAAAAAACTTCTACTTAAAATGAATTATTGAATGTATAGGTTAAGGTTTGTCTGTGATTTAACAAAGTGCCTTCTTTTTTAGGTGGAGCCAAACACAAAACTGTTCCCTGCCTGCTTTGTTCTTCCTTCAAGTCAAAACATGATTCAGTTCGATCTAGGAAAGCTCAAGGTACAGCATATAATATTTAAATAATGTGTTTAATAATTATTTTCTACCAAATACCTGAATGTCTATGATTTCATTACAGAACATCATGCCAATCTCAGCTGCCATGTTTCGGAGTGAACGTAAGAATCCGGTCCCCCAGTGCCCGCCCCGGTTGGACATCCAGATGCTGACCCCTGTTATTTGGAGCCGCATGCCCAATCACTTCCTGGCCCCTGAGACAAAGAGGGCCAGTGAGAGAATGGGCTGGATGGTGCAGTGTCAAGAGCCCCTTACAATGATGGCGCTTCATATCCCAGAAGAAAACAGGTTGGATATGTCAAATATGATCTAATGGTTGATAACTGGGCAAAAACAAATACATAATTTGGCAGTAGATAGTGTGTGTATATCTACATTAGGGATGGGCAAGTAATCTAATTTGAATTGAGACAGAGTCAGTCATGCCTACAACCAATCCTCTGTCAATAAAGCATATAGTTTGGAGATGAGTTTGTACTTTGGAGAAGTAAATGCACTTTTTTGTCTTGCACTTGCACTGATTTATATTGTATGTATTGTTAATGATTATGGGAACAAAATAATACATCTGTCTCTATCTCACTGTTATTTTAAGTGTTCTTGTATGGTAACTTTATGTGCTGTTTGTTGGTGTTCAGGTGCATTGACATCCTGGAGTTATCTGAGCGCATGGATTTGCTCAAGTTCCATTACCACACCCTGAAGCTCTATGGATCGGTGTGTGCTTTGGGGAACAACCGTGTGGCCCATGCCCTCTGCAGCCACGTGGATGAATCTCAGCTCTTTTACGCCATTGAAAACACCTACCTCCCAGGACCAATAAGAAGTGGCTTTTATGACTTACTAATCAGCATGCACCTAGAGTCAGCCAAAAGGAACAGATTGGGAACGAACAAAGAATTTATAGTTCCTATGACGGATGAAACACGCAGTATCATCTTGTATCTGGACAAGGCAAATACTCTTCCTGGAGTGGGGCTTACTACATGCCTGCGTCCCAAACTGCATTTCTCCTCTGTTAGTTTTGTGGGGACAAATCAGGACATTTACACCCTGAGCCCTGTGATACCTTTAGAGGTGAGGTCAAGTTGTTTTTTTATGTTATTATTAAGAGTTGGATAGTTTACACAGAGCTTTTACACATGTATATAAATATGTTTATGTTTATACTTTGTATGTACAGTAAGTACATTCAATGTTTATACATAAAATGTACTTACTAGTTATCTTAATTTTGTATTGGTTTATCACTCATAACCTTTAATACCAATGTTGGAATTTTCTATGGTAACATTATTCTATATTACTATATTTGTAACATATTCAAATGTTTGTGGTTTCTAATGTTGTCTGATTACAAAATGTGACTCAATTGAGTGGTTAAACAGTAATAATAATGCATGTTCTTGTCGTTCAATAGACACTGAAAAATAAGGCTTTGAACATGCTGACGGAGGCTGTGCAAGATGGAGGTCAAGCCATGAGAGATCCTGTAGGGGGCAGCGTGGAGTTTCATTTTGTGCCTATTTTGAAGCTCATCAGCACCCTACTGATCATGGGTGTTTTTGATGATGAAGATGTTACACATATTTTGAAGATGCTCGAACCTGTGGTCTTTAGTAGTCAGAAAGTGGAGGAACCTGTAGAGGACAAGGCAAAAGAGGAAGAAGAACCACCTCCAAAACCTATAAAAGAAACTCCACAAGAAAGTTATGAGGAGGAAGAGGAAGAATATGAAGATGATGGATTGGGTGAGGAAGAGGAGGGGGAGTATGAGGAGGAGGAGGAAGAGGAGGAGGACATAGAAGAACCAGAGCCTGTGCCCACAGTGGTGGAGGAGACAGAACCAGTAAATGGAGAGAAGGGGGCAGAAGAATCAGAGAAAGAGACAAAACCTGGAGAGAGTGAAACTAAACTAGAGCATCTTGAACAAGGACTTTTTCAGATGAAGCTCCCAGAGTCTGTCAAACTACAGGTATGTCTCAAGCAGCATCCAGTGGTCTTGTATCACCAAACACGCGGTCTTGTATAACCAAAAAGAGAGTTTGAAATGGTACTGAGAGATTGCAAGATCACTCAAACATGTGCAAATGATTCAGAAAACCTTTGAAAAGTCTTCATACATGTATTACTGGTAATACAATATACATAATCCATCTTCTGTTAGGGCTTCTGTAAGGGTTTGAATACAGCCCATTAATTGTTTGGATTGTGTTATTCTTAAAATATCATTCATTTCCAAAAAGGATTACTAGAATAATCCTGCTTTAGGGTTATTGTGTCAGTGGTATAAAGTAGTTTCATTATTATTGTTCCATAGTATGTCATTAAACTTATCTGTCAATTATCCATTTAAGGATGTTTTATTGCTCAAAATATCTTAAAACGTGCAGTTTAACTGTTATCCTATTCACTGGTCTGACCTGTAACTTTGTCAGGTGGTCCCACCTGCTTGTCTCCATTTCAGACAAAGCAGAAACGTAAGACACAAGCTGACCTGTCATCCAAAAAGCTACATAGGGCGTCTTTAATTTTAGAAATTATTTACTTTCTTTATATTGAAGATTGTGTTGATTAGGTCTTGTATTTGTAGTTATATTGTTGTAGTTATCATGCTTCCTCTACCCCTGTCCTGTATGCAGTGTGTCACAATACTATAAATTTTGTATTGTTTTAGATGTGTACCCTCCTGCAGTATTTCTGTGACTGTGAGCTGCGTCACAGAGTGGAGGCCATCATTGCCTTCTCTGACCAGTTTGTGAGTCAGATCCAGTCCAACCAGAGGCAGCGCTACAATGACCTCATGCAAGCATTTACTATGAGCGCTGCCGAGACCGCCCGCAAGACCCGGGAATTTCGGTCACCACCACAAGAGCAGGTATGTACATAATATCACACAACAGTTCAAACTAATTACTCTTTATTATAATATGTATGATTGATTTGCACATAGGTTAACATGCTGATGAATTTTAAAAACTGTTCTGAAGATGAGGACTGCCCTGTCCCAGATGAAGTTCGAGAGGCGATGAGCAATTTCCACCGTGCTGTTCTTGCTCATTGTGGTTAGTTTAAATTCCCCTCTCATATTCATTTTTGCAAAGAAGAGTAGAAGAGTCATCTAAAATAAATGATTGAGAATACATTTTTAAAAATCTCCTGTAAAAAAATACCCAGATACTTCTAGTTTAGTGTCAAAGCCAGAAACTCATTTGTACAGGTATTGATACTGAATTTTTTTTTTAGCTCTACCTTAGAATAAGCCCACATGATACTATTTGAACAATTTCTACTATTGTGTAAAAAAATACTATTTAATGTCCAAAAAAGTGTTTTTATTTCTAACCATTTTATCGTGATAACTCTAATATCTGTGTTAGGTGTACACATTGAGGAGGAAGAAGAGGAGGAAGCAGTGGACACATCACTCAGAGGTCGACTGTTTCGTCTGGTGGAAAGGGTGAAAAAACTTCGCGAAAAGAAAGAGGAGAAAGACCCTGAGCCACAAGAGGACAAAAAGCCAAGTGGGTCTCAAATCTGCAGTAATATATTTGTTTTCTGCATGGTCTTATACAAGTTTATATATATTTTTTCTCAGGCACACTACAGGAACTGATTTCACACACTATGATCCATTGGGCCCAAGAGTCATTTATCCAGAATCCAGAACTTGTGCGAATGATGTTCAGTCTCCTCCACAGACAGTATGATGGACTGGGGGAGCTGATGCGTGCCCTGCCCAAAGCCTACACCATCAATGCAGTGTCAATCCAGGACACCATGGACCTCCTGGAGTGTTTGGGTCAGATACGATCTTTGCTTATTGTCCAGATGGGTCCAGAAGAGGAGAGGCTAATGATTCAAAGCATTGGGTTTGTAAAGGCTTTTCACAATTAGAAGTGGGCCATAGGGATATCAAAATGATTTTGTTAATAATAACTGATAATTAGGATTATTCAGGTCAGAATGAATACGAAATAATTATGAGAAAATGTAAGAAATATATTACTATTTGATGTGTAGTCAAAAAGTCAACCTAATGTAAAATGCTTTTTTATCTGGCTGTTTATGTCACATTATGTCAGATTCTACGAATAATGATCTAGACAAAGTGAATGAAAGAAAACAAAAGATTTCACTGTCTTTTGGCCATGGTGTCAATAATTGTGAATAATCATACAACTGTGATGTTCATAAGATTAAATTGTAATGTGGTGACTTCCCTAAATGTCTACTCGATAATATTGCAATTGTTGCTTTTGAGGAATATATATATATATATAGAGAGAGAGAGAGAGAGAGAGAGAAAGAGAGAGAGAGAGAGAGAGAGATTTTCTTACTTTTATAATATTTCTCAGCTTGTGTTTGTGCAAAACTTTTACAGCCATATTTTAGCATATTCCTTTTGGACTGTGGTTATTGTTATCAAGAGAAGAATCATTTTATTCAATATCGCCCACTACTACTTACTTTACAATATATATGATAGTGTGTTATTATAACTGATTATTTTTTACACATAGGAACATCATGAGTAACAAAGTCTTCTATCAACATCCAAACCTGATGCGAGCTTTGGGCATGCATGAAACTGTGATGGAGGTCATGGTGAATGTGCTTGGTGGCGGAGACTCAAAGGTTCTGTTTTAATATTCACACAATTGTGAACAGGTTTTCTGTGATTGCGCTATCCATCTGAATATTAAATTATACATTTCTGCCTACAGGAGATCAGATTTCCTCGAGTGGTGACAAATTGTTGTCGCTTTCTTTGTTATTTTTGTCGCATCAGTCGTCAAAACCAGAGATCCATGTTTGATCACCTTAGCTATCTTTTACAAAACAGTGGCATTGGTCTGGGTGAGTGTAATTAGTTAGTATTTTGTGTAATGCTCTATGGCTTGTAGTTGTATGTACTAAAAATAAAACATTCGTGGTAGGAATGAGAGGATCAACTCCCTTGGACGTTGCTGCTGCTTCTTGCATTGATAATAATGAGCTAGCTTTGGCGTTGCAAGAACAAGATTTAGAAATGGTAAAAATAAAAGGCAATAAAAATTAATTATGAGTTTAGTTTAATATCCTTGTTCCAATCATTATTTCTCATCTTTTCCCAGGTGGTAAAGTATCTGGCTGGATGTGGACTTCAGAGCTGCCCAATGCTACTGGCTAAAGGTTACCCAGATATTGGCTGGAATCCTTGTGGTGGAGAGAAATACCTGGACTTTCTCCGCTTTGCTGTCTTTGTCAATGGTTTGTTTTTACATACAGTTATATACAACCACACATTATTATGCGAAATAAATGTTAAATCTTACGTGGAAAAAATAACTAAATTGTGTGTTTTTAGGGGAAAGCGTAGAGGAAAATGCAAATGTTGTTGTGCGTCTGCTAATTCGAAGACCTGAATGCTTTGGTCCTGCCCTAAGAGGTGAAGGTGGTAACGGTTTATTGGCTGCAATTGAAGAAGCAATAAAAATATCAGAGGATCCTGCTAGAGATGGGCCATCTGTTAAGAAAGATAGGCGCTTTCCAATGTAAGAGCTTTTTTTTTAAGAGATTATTTGTGTAATTTCCAGCTCGCACACAACTGATTGCTTATTGATTATGGTAGGTTTGGTGGAGAGGAGCAGCATGAGGAGAATAGAGTACACCTTGGGAATGCCATCATGTCTTTCTACTCTGCCCTCATTGACTTGCTGGGGCGCTGTGCTCCCGAGATGCATGTATGTCAAACAGTATCTTTGTGCCAAAAAGTTGACTAAGAGTTGTTCACAGAAATATTAATTATATTCAACAGTTAATTCAGGCTGGAAAAGGTGAGGCTCTCCGAATCAGAGCCATCCTCAGGTCTTTGGTGCCCATTGAAGATCTTGTTGGGGTCATCAGCCTGCCTGTTCAGATTCCTACTTTTGGAAAAGGTAACTACTTTAACTTAATTGAGTACTACTGCAAAAAATATTTAGAATTTGGGATAGTATGTTATTATCTCTACATTTAAATACTGTTCTGTTTTTAGATAATAGTATAATTGAGCCGAAGATGTCAGCCAGTTTTGTCCCAGACCACAAGGCTCCAATGGTGCTCTTCTTGGACAGAGTGTATGGCATTGACAATCAGGATTTTCTGCTCCATGTTCTTGAAGTGGGCTTTTTACCTGACATGAGAGCGGCAGCCTCCCTAGACACGGTAAGTCTTCAGTATACAAATGAACCATGTATTATGATTAGGATGGGTGAGAGTTCTACTAATTACCAAGATGGAAATAACAAATTTCCACGGGCTGGAAGGAGGCCCTGAGGAAGACCCAGGACATGCTGGAGGGACTGTGTCTCTCGGTTGGCTTGGGAACACCTTAGGGTCCCCCCTGGAGGAGCTGAAGGAAGTGTCTGGGATGAAGGAAGTCTGGGAGTCCCTGCTGAGGCTGCTCCCCCCGCAACCCAGCCCGGATAAGCGGAAGAAAATGGATGGATGAATGGAAATAACAAAGTGGAAATACTTATATTACAGTAACTGTTTGATAAAGGACAATGCTAATTTAAACTTTTTTTGAAGCAGTTTTTTTATCTTAGAGAATATACTCAATGTTCTTGCATATGTTCAAACAATAATTTATTAGACAATATGTATATTATATCATTCCAATGACAATTTTGCACAAATTAACCTATTAATCTTGCTATTTTTTTCTCATAGGCTGCCTTTAGCACAACAGAGATGGCCTTGGCGTTAAACCGGTACCTTTGTTCTGCAGTATTGCCCCTCATCACCAAATGTGCCCCCCTCTTTGCTGGCAGTGACCACAGAGCCATCATGATCGACTCCATGTTGCATACAATTTACCGCCTGTCCCGCGGCCGAGCTTTCACAAAGGCCCAAAGAGACATCATCGAAGAGTGTCTCATGGCATTGTGCAAGTTAGTATAGATACAGCAATCTTTGATTGTGCACTGGCTTCAAATGGACTTTATATTGACAAATAATTTTGCATTTTAGGCATCTTCGTCCTTCAATGCTACAACATCTTCTCAGGCGACTTGTTTTTGATGTACCTATACTGAATGAATATGCAAAAATGCCACTTAAGGTAAGAAATACGGGCAATATTTATATTTTTTAACTAACAGAGTACAAAAACTTCATTGCTGTTATGTTTTATGTAGCTCTTGACCAATCACTATGAGCGCTGTTGGAAATACTACTGCCTCCCTAATGGCTGGGCAAACTTTGGAGTGGCTTCAGAGGAGGAGCTTCATTTGACCCGCAAACTCTTCTGGGGCATTTTTGAGTCCTTGGAGCATAAGGTAAGAGATATCAATCATTTTAAAATCATATCATCATAATTAATTTAACATGTCCTTTTTTGCTCATTTAGAAATTTGACGCTGAGATTTTCAAGATTTCAATGCCGTGCATATGCGCTATAGCAGGAGCCATTCCTCCAGACTACGTTGATGCGAGCTACTCCTCTAAAACAGAGAAAAAAGCCTCAGTTGATGCAGAGGGAAACTTTGATCCAAAACCTGTGGAGACCACAAAGTGAGACTAGATTTCTGAAATGTACTTTACTTTGTCCTTATTTCTTTGATTACTTCTGTATTAAGATGATGTGTTCTTCAATACAGCACTATTATCCCAGAGCGTCTGGATGGCTTTATCAACAAGTATGCTGAGTATACACATGACAAATGGGCCTTCGAAAAGGTATGGCATTACATAACAGGTGATGTTATTTGAGTTATGATTCAGAACTATGTTGTATCTTTCTATTCTGCAGATTCAGAATAACTGGTCATATGGAGAGGTGTTGGATGAAAATGCAAAGACTCACCCCATGCTTAGACCATACAAAACATTCTCAGAAAAGGTTAAAAAAAACAACTAACATTTTGTTTTTTATCTGCAAATATTTTCAATCATCCTGAATATTTGACAATTACTAGGACAAAGAGATCTACCGCTGGCCAATTAAGGAGTCCATAAAAGCCATGCTTGCATGGGAGTGGACCATTGACAAAGCCAGGGAGGAAGAAGAGTCAGAGAAAAAGAAGGCAGCATCTCGAAAGATCTCCCAGACTGCACAGGTACAGCTCAGTGTTCACTGGTTAAGCTTTTACTAAATTATCAATTTGTGATACAGATAAATTGCATACATTATCTCTTGTAGGCAACCTATGACCCAAGCCACGGTTATAGCCCACAGCCCATTGATATCACACATATGGCTCTCTCAAGAGATCTTCAGGTATGAAAAAACTTTTAAAAATATTTTAGAATTTCAGTTAAACCTATAGCTATACAAATATTTACCATTGTCTATTCAGTCTATGGCAGAGCAGCTGGCAGAAAACTATCATAACACTTGGGGTCGGAAAAAGAAACTGGAACTACAGTCCAAGGGTATGGTGAAAGCCTCTGTGAAAAACTGTGAAACAAACAATTGGCAAAGTTTGTTTTGACTTGAGTGTGTTGTGTAGGAGGTGGTACTCATCCTCTGCTAGTGCCCTATGACACTTTAACTGCAAAGGAAAAAGCTCGAGACAGAGAAAAGGCCTACGAGCTGCTCAAGTTTCTGCAGCTCAATGGATATGCTGTCACAAGGTCAGACCAGTTACTTCTTTGAAATTCTTCATTCTTGGTTGTACCAAAAACATACCATTGTGATGTTATATATTCCAGGGGGCTGAAAGACATGGAGTCTGACATTTCCTCTATTGAGAAGAGATTTGCTTATGGGTTCCTACAAAAGCTCCTAAAATGGATGGAGATAGCGCAAGAATTCATTGCTCACCTTGGTAAAGTCACTGTTGTAGCATTCATATTAATTATTAAGTTGTTTTATGTTTTTGTTTTTTTTCCAAAACCATTATTCAGAGGCCGTTGTGAGTAGTGGACGTGTGGAGAAGTCTCCTCATGAACAAGAAATAAAGTTCTTTGCCAAGGTATAGCTGATATTTTATTTCAAGTAAGGTATCACATGAAGACACAGTAGTTTGTTTTGAATTACCAAGTCTGTTGTTGCTTCATAATAGATCTTGATGCCTTTGATCAACCAATATTTCAAAAACCACTGCCTGTACTTCCTGTCTACACCTGCAAAAGTGCTCGGCAGTGGTGGACACTCATCAAACAAGGAAAAGGAAATGATTGCAAGGTAATAAATGAGTTTATCTTTAAACTGTTAAACTAATCTTCAAGAGAAGTATTTAATTGTCAACTTGTTTTTAATTACAGTATTTTCTGTAAGATGGCTGCTCTTGTGAGACACAGAGTGTCTCTCTTTGGTAAGATATGTTTACATTTTATGTTAGCTTTGACAGCTGCCAGTGAGATTTCACCAAACCTTTATTTGACCAAACAGGCACTGATGCCTCTGCTATTGTCAACTGTCTTCACATTCTGGCACGGTCCCTGGATGCAAGGTAATAATGCTCTTTTACCATATATATATATATATATATATATATATATATATATATATATATATATATATATATATATATATATATATATATATATATATATATATATATGATTATTTTAATATTTAATTTTTAGGACTGTAATGAAGTCAGGGCCAGAGATTGTAAAGGCAGGATTGCGGTCATTCTTTGAGAGTGCAGCTGACGACATTGAAAAAATGGTAGAGAATTTAAAACTCGGCAAAGTATCCAAAGGCAACCAGGTAAGTCAAATGATTAAGAGTGAACTTTCTTCTATTTTAAACCGATACACAATGCCAATAGCTTATATTGTATTTTTATACTTTGAAGCAAGTGAAAGGTGTGTCTCAGAATATCAACTACACCACCATTGCCCTACTGCCAGTCCTTACGTCTTTGTTCGATCACATTGCTCAGCATGGATTTGGGGATGATGTTATCTGTAAGTTCACTAAATAATGACATTCAGACAAAAAAGGGCACTAAATTGGATTTAACATACTTTGTTGTTTTCAGTGGATGATCTGCAGATGTCATGTTACCGCATTATGTGCAGCATTTACTCTTTGGGGACTGTGAAGAATCCTCATGTTGAGAGGTAAGGTACACAAGGTTATGTAGTACAGTAGTGTTGAGGTGAAGGTGAAATTGTAAATGTATGTAAAGTTAAGAGTTCATTTCTGAGCAATACATATCTGCATGTGAGTTTAGGTTATTTTAGTTTTCTTATTACATTTATAACACATTATTATTCAGTATTTAATTATTATATTTTGTGTACAGACAGCGGCCCGCTCTTGGCGAGTGCCTGGCTCATCTCGCGGCAGCTATGCCTGTGGCCTACTTAGAGCCACACCTCAATGAATTCAATGCATTCTCCGTCTACACGACGAAAACACCTAGAGAGAGAGCCAGTAAGTAACATTCACACACATTCACACTCAAATGGGATATCTGATATATGTTGGAAAATTACCAAATGTTTGCTTCATACAGTTTTGGGATTGCCTAATGAAGTTCAAGAGTTATGCCCGGACATCCCAGAACTTGACATCCTGTTGAAAGAGATTGGGGACTTGGCAGAGTCAGGTGCACGATACACTGAGATGCCTCATGTTATTGAAATCACATTACCCATGTTGTGTAATTACTTGCCGCGCTGGTGGGAAAGGGGCCCCGAAAACCTCCCTGAGATGGAGGGGCGAGTCTGCACTGACGTCACTTCAGAACACCTAAATCAGCTGTTGGGAAGCATCATGAAAATTGTAGTTAATAATTTGGGTATTGATGAAGCCTCATGGATGAAGAGACTGGCTGGTAAACACTAGTTCAGCACTACTAAAATACAGAAAAATACAAATTCAGTGATTAAGTGGATACATAATTGTTATGTTTTAGTGTTTTCACAGCCAATTGTGAGCAGAGCAAAGCCAGAAATGCTCAAATCCCACTTTATCCCAACAATGGAAAAACTTAAGAAACGCACATCGAAAGTAGTGGCTGAGGAAGACCATTTGAGAATGGAGGGCAAGTCAGAGGGAGACGAGGAAGATGGCACCATACGTGATGAGTTTGCTGTCCTTTGTAGAGATCTGTATGCACTGTACCCTCTGCTTATCCGATATGTGGACAACAACAGGTGATCTAAAATGAACGAGGACACATCATTTGTTTACTGGCAGTGGTTCTGGCAGTATAATGGCTTAAACCCTTGTTATATTTTTGCTTCAGAGCAAGGTGGCTGACTTGTCCAGACCCAGATGCAGAGGAACTTTTCCGAATGGTCGGAGAAGTCTTCATTTTCTGGTCTAAATCTCATGTATGTTTTAATAAAGCACAATACACAAGTAATGTATATAGTATCTGCATATTTTAATGTCTTTTGATCTACCTGCAGAACTTTAAGAGAGAAGAACAGAACTTTGTGGTGATGAATGAGATCAACAACATGTCTTTTCTGACAGCTGACAGCAAGAGCAAAATGAGCAAGGTGAGTCAATCGAGGGTCTTTTATAGAAATATGGTGGTAATGCATTGCTTCACATATTTAATATGCAATATATAAGCAGCTATTGGCCAGTTTTTTTGTTATGACATCTCTTATATTTATGAAGTAACGTGCGTCTTTTGTGTATTATCAGAAACAATATTTTCAGCTTTGTGTCCATATGTTTGATATTTGGGCCTTAACGTGATGAAGAAGTGGGTGTTAACATTATGTTTTCTCTGGCTGCCTCTTGTCCGTCTCTGTTGGGTTTCCAGGGCGGGGACTCAGAGGTTAGACTTTGTTTCTGCACGTCCGCTGTGCTGATCGCATGGCACCTCACTGTGGGGGAGCTTTTCATCAACCTCTCCAGCACACTGGCACATCTGATCCATATATTACATATAACTCATGGTCACATGATGAAGGCATGACTGAAGATAATAATAGTGCTCTTCATACTGCTTTGTATTTGCAGCTGTAGCCCTTCTTAGCCATGAAGACATTTCAATCCATGAGTAGGTCTAAGCCTTGTTAAGAATGTGTTATTGCTATAGATACAGTGTTATTCTTAGATATAAATAGAAGATAAAATCCTTTCAAGCCTTACTTCAGAGAAGTAACATAGTCAGTTTGTATCCACTTACATTGGCATTAGAGTCACACTATCATGTAATACTCTGATCACTACTACACTCAACATGCCCAGACACAAATAGACTGCACTGTAGTTCAGGGACAGTTGGACAGGATGCTGCCCCCTGTGGTCGCTCCTCTGTCCTGCCAGTGTGTGAGGGGGGGAGTCTGGAGGCGCTTGATGAAAGTACTCAGCTAAAGCTGGGCTCATGGCACTGGGCTCAGGCCGGACCAAATGCTGCCATGAGCACTGTGCCATCGCCCAGACACTCTGAGTTTGCTCTTTTTTCAACATAGCTGAGACAGTCTTTCAAAATGTCTTGTTTATTTTTTCAAGGATGGATGACATGTAGCTTTTGTAATGCAGCTTTTTGCCATTAGGGGGTGATGTTAGTCTTCTCTGTGCTCTTTCTTCTTTCCTCCCTGGAAATGCCATGGCATAACATGGTTTAGTTTCCTTAATAGATCCTGATAAACATACCCACTAACAGTCAAATATAAGGTAACATTTGCTAACTTACCTCTTCCACACAAATGTGCTTAATGACCCAATTCTAACCAACATATTAATATGTCGTTACACAAAGTGATCCACTAAATGTCCCCTGTTTTTTCTTTACTCGTGTTCAGTAACACACATGCACTGAGTAAGCAGCTCATGTGAAGATTTAAAGGCATTCCTCTTGCACACATTTTATTTTCACTTTCATTTTGCTATGCTACCAATACATAATTATTCCAGAAATTCATAATTTTACATCTAATTTACATTATTTTTTGTTTTGTTTACAGTATTTAAAGTACTTTGATTTGATTTATTTGCATTAAATATGTTGGATCTAAAGTTACAGCTTGTATTAACTAAACTAAATATACTGTATGAAATGTGTATGATTTATGCTAATTTTGGAGGACTCTAGAAAGAGCAGACAGCAGGAGGACTCAAAGTAAATATACTTAAGTGTGTGTGCAAATAACAGCCTCATTATTTACAAATAATGCAGCTAATGCTTAAGTTGTTATTTATCACTACCTAACTGACAACCTAACCCAAATGTATTGACCTTATACAATTTGCTTCAGTGATTTGCTCTGTATATGTCTTCTTTGTAAGAAGACCTTTGTTTTGCATGGGTATGGTTTAATTTACCCTGTTCCTTCCTCAAATTAGCTGTATCCTGTATTGTTTCCTTATAACATGGCCCTTACCTGTAACAACCTCAAACCATGGCAGTGAGGTAGAAGTCTACTGTATCAAGAACCTCAGGTTAAAGGTGCGGTCTCTCAGTGGATCAACAGCAATTATGATATTTTGTTTTTTCCACGTTAATTTGTTATCCTGGTTTTGAAGGGTTTTGTAATATGGTATTCTTTATTGCTTGATGCATAAAGTGCTTCACATTTGTCCAAGACTGTCCAAAAGGAATTTAAAAAACAGCTGATCTTGGTCACCTCTTTGACACATTATGAGGAAGTTTGAATGCTCTGTAGATCATCTCTCTGTATTTCAGGGGGGAGGCTCAGATGCAGAACGAACCAAGAAGAAGAAGCGTGGAGATCGCTACTCCGTACAGACCTCTCTCATTGTGGCTGCTCTGAAAAAGATGCTGCCCATTGGACTTAACATGTGCTCCCCCGCTGACCAGGAGCTTATTAACCTGGCCAAGATACGATACTCACTGGTAGATTTAACTAACATATCTATAACAATAAAGGACCTGTATTTGATGCTCTGGTCAAGGTAGATGACCTTATTTTGTCATAACCTATGGGTTTTCTAAATCACTTTGTTGGGCAATAACTAAAAGAGAAGCTTGCGACAGGGACACCAGTTTTTGTCTAATCAGGTTGTTCATCAAAAATCATGGGAAAATAACTGCCTGACGCTATTACAGACAGATGATTCAGTGTTGCAGAGCAAGGTTAACAGTAACAACTAAAGTTCTAAATCAGGTACAGGCCCTTTAATGTTATGCTTACTTTATCTCTGTTTTACAATATTAAGTGACAATCATATATTTTCAGTTCACTATGTCTGTATGTATTTTGTAGAGGGACACTGATGAGGAAGTAAGAGAGTTTCTGCAGAACAATCTCCATCTTCAGGGAAAGGTACAATCATCAAATCACCTTATTGAGTATTAAGTTCAGATTCATCCAAAATCACTGGATCTGTGTTGAAAAGGTGGACAATCCCTCCATGCGCTGGCAGATGGCTCTGTACAAAGAGATGGCAGGGAAGGCAGAGGACGCAGATGCTCCAGTAAAAGTTGTGAAGAGGGTCCAGGAGGTTTCTGCTGTCCTCTACCATCTTGAAGTGGTAAGTGGCTATCATGTATATTTTTATTTTATTCATACTAGTGAGTAATATGAACTAAAATTAATATCTTGATACTTTTTCCATAACAGTATTCAGGCAATATTTTTTACTAGGCATCAGGAATATGCAAAAATCTGTAAATGTCTTGGTTCAAGTCTAGCACAAAACCTGCCTGGGATCCAGAATACAGACTTCAATCAATGGTCAATGGTGAATCTCCCCATTTTCAAATCAGAGCGACTGACAGGTGGCTTAGCCAATTGAGGGCATGCATCACCCGTCTGTATCGAAAAACATAAGGGAAAAAAACATAACGGGGCAGAAAAGCATTGCAGATTTTTGCAGAATCAAAGAGTCAAGTATTAAACTATGAAGTGAGAAAAATTTTCTTTTTTTTAGCTCTCTTAGTAAATCATAGGTGACCAAGTTCTCCTCCTTCGTTCAGACTAATATCAATCTGTAGAAATAACACAGAGAGATCATTCTGGATTTGCGAAGCAAGCACAAAACATGAATGAACCATAAAATCAATCAATCAATCAATCAAACTTAATTTACAGAGCGCTTTTCATACAAAAATGCAACAGAAATATCCTTTATACCCTAGTTAATTTTTCTTTTTAATCAGCCCTTTTTGCTGTCATTTTAGTACTTTTAATAACAGATTATAAACTCAATATTAAAATTTTGCATATCTCCAGAACAAAAACGCAATATTATCTATTCTATGATATATCTCCCTCCTCTGTTCATACTTTTGGTACCTGGTTAGTTTCTTGAAAATGATTGTCTGAAACTGTGTGTAAACAGACAGAGCACCCATTTAAGTCTAAGAAAATGGTGTGGCACAAGCTACTGTCAAAGCAGAGACGTCGTGCTGTAGTTGCTTGCTTCAGGATGACACCTTTGTACAACATTCCAAGGTAAATTAATGACTGATGAGTTTATTAATTAATTGCATTACTATTTTAATATAAGAAAATTCACCTTACTTCTGTATGTGCATTTTGCAGACATAGAGCCTCAAATATGTTCCTTGAAGGTTACAAACGCAACTGGCTGTTTTCTGAAGGTTACGCGTTTGAAGACCGGATGATAGATGACCTATCCGTGAGTGCAGTCATCCAGTTCCATACTACTGTTTTTGTCAAATGTATGTTTTTGTTAACATTAGCTTTTTATCACAGAAAGCTTTGGAGCAGGAAGAAGTAGAAGAAGAAGAGGAAAGAGAAACAAAGCCTGATCCTCTCCATCAACTTATATTGCATTTTAGCCGCACAGCTTTAACAGAAAAGAGGTTACAAGTTGTCTTAAGATATGAATTTTGTAATTAGTTTAAATGTTTTTTTGTAATCACTTTGTTTCTATATGTTCTTGCACTATAGCAAACTTGACACAGATTATCTTTACATGGCATATGCTGACATTATGGCAAAGGTAAGTCAAACTAACGTGCTTTGAATGTGATGATCGTATTGAAAATATATTACTCATCCTTGTTTTATTTTGTAGAGTTGTCATATTGACGAAGAGGAAGAAGGGGGAGATGAAACGGTGGAAAGTACAGAGGATGAGATGTCCTTTGAGGTGCGACAGTCAGAACTGGTAATGGGCGGCGAGGGGCTGGGACCAGGACACAGCGGTAGCTTTCGACGCACGAGTGATCCATCATCAGACATCACTGCACTATCACATCTCTGTCTCTTCTCCCTCTGTTTGTCTTTGGTGTGTCTTTGTTTTGAATTATTTGGACCAATCCAGTTCACATCATATGGAGTGTATATTTAGTTATAGAGTATCCAATTTATACCTTACTATTTATGTAATAATTGACTCAATTGAGTTTTGAATTGGAAAAAGGAAAACTGCAATTTTGCCATTAAAACCTTAAAAATAATTGGATTGGACCAAATTCATTAACAATTATTCAATGCAAACTATTTACTAACACTAACATTTACTTTTGCTGAGGGGCTAATTTAGGAACTTAGTACTTACCTGGTTGGACTGTTGTAGAAAGACACCTTTAAATGCTATTGGCTGTTACTAAAGTTATTAGTGTGTTTTAGGTTTGTCAAAGAATTCCTACCTTTTTCAAAGTCCAGTGTTACTGCAAAATGTTTCAAATCCTGTTTGTTAGAAACTACACTGTAGTCAATTGCAGAAAATATTGTGATGCAGTTAAAATAATTTGAGAAAAAAGTGAGTGCCTCAAGGGATCTTATAGTGACAGATTCAGGTGCTCATCCAGGGTCCTTTGGAAATGTACAGTAAAGAAAGAGAAGAAAGGTTGAAACACTTTGGTATGTCCCTAAATAATGAGGATTTTTTTTGTCTAAAATCAGAGTACCTCATATCATTCTTCTCTTTTTTTTTGCTGTAGAGTTTATTGTATTGTTTGTAGTAAAACCTCCTGTATGTCTTAAGGCTCATATTAGACTGGGTTGGACATGTCATTAAGACATTACCTTTAAGACATCTACAATTTAAAAGCTAAAAACAAACAGATATTTAAGTTCCTCCTCCCAGTTTATATAGCTGTCTGTCTCTCCATCTCTCCATGTCATGTCTTACTTTGTCATAACAGTGTTTATTATTAATAGCATGAACTGATCAGTGTCCCTCCTCACTCACATAGTCAACTGACAGACTACAGATAAGAAAGCCAGATAGCCAGATAAGCATAGTACTCTCAATGCATACATAACAATCCCTCTACATTTATGATATGCTGCATACAGAATAGTCTGGAAGAAAAGGTTTAACAAGTTAGACCTGAGGCCCCTGCACTACACATAATGGGTAAACCAGGGCCAGGCATATGTGGGAGGGGGGAGGCTGGGTGGTATGGGAGGTGGGGTGTTTGAATGGGAAAGTGAATGAGTGAATCTCATATGATTATATTGTATATATATATTTTAATTATTATTATAGGCCTTCTAGCTGCATACTATATATAATGTATAATTATATAAAGTATAGACAAATGTGCATATATTATAAGAGAGGTGCTTTCTGTAGTCCAACGTTTGCTAAATGTTGCAAACGTGGAAAAGTAGTTTAAACACTCCATATTAACAAATGAAGTGGACTGAATGTGTGAAAGAGTGCAATAGTGTTGATGTTATTGAGTAACCCTAAAAAGTGATTAATAATTATAATGATGTTGGGCCAGAGGTAAGTAAATATTGAGAATATTTGTGTAAAAATATAATGGAGATATATATATATATATATATATATATATATATATATATATATATATATATGTAATTTATTATGTATTTGGATGTCTCAAATACATAAACAAATTCCATTTGAGATGTTAATTATATTGTTTGTTAATTAGAGACTTTTTTTATTTAAGTATATTAATTATGCATTAATCTTCAGGAAAAAGAGATGGAAAAACAGAGGCTGCTGTATCAGCAGTCAAGACTTCACAATCGTGGAGCTGCAGAGATGGTCCTTCAAATGATTAGTGCCTGCAAAGGTTTAAATTTCTCTAATTCTTTTTTCTTTTGTTTTATCTTTCATCTTTAATCATTATTATGTTCTATAGGTGAGACTGGCCCAATGGTGTCCACAACTCTTAAGTTGGGTATCTCTATTCTGAATGGAGGAAACAGTGAGGTTCAACGAGTAAGGCTCTGAAAAAATAGACTCAATGGGAAGAGGAAATAATAATTTTCTTGAAAATATGATTTATTATTTAATTACTTCATAGAAAATGTTGGAGTATTTGAAGGACAAGAAGGATGTGGGCTTCTTTTTGAGTGTTCAGTCCCTGATGCAGACTTGTTGGTGAGTTTGTTATTCAGTACTGGCTAATTGTAACACTCATATTGACCGTTACTTTATCTTGCAGTGTATTGGATCTGAATGCCTTTGAAAGACAGAATAAGGCTGAGGGGCTGGGCATGGTTTCAGAAGAAGGCACGAGTAAGTCTCAGTACACTCCATATACTTTTTCTGCTTTCCCATTACATTTCATAAAGTTAAATATGGACAAAAGTACATGCTAACATGTTGTTCTAAGCAACACCTAAAAAAATAGATAGAATATAAACTATTTATACTACTACATCACAGCATAATAAAATAAGATAGTATATAAATATATATATATATAAAACATTAGTAACACTGCATATATATTCCTGGTTGGGTTGTTCATATATCTTTAACTGAGAAAACAACTCATCTACTCAATGCAATTTCTGTCAATAGTTTTATTTCCTGGTTACGGATTGTCTTAATTGAATGGCCAGTTTTCTAACCTTAAATTAACATTGGAGTTAAGCCTGGTAATAGCTTGCTTTGTTGTACAGTGTAGCTACATTGGACTTGATTGAACGTTACCGACCATTTGTGACCTAATTGTGGGGGCCCATTGATAATTCTTATAATTTTTCATGGAGTGATGTTAATCCTCGTCCTCATCTTAGTCGTTTTCTGTTGTCAACAAACTGATCCTCTCTCCCTTCCCCATGATCACTGCCACCTCTCCCTTGTCCCTCGTTTCATGGTCCTCAGACATGAGCCTAGATCGGGGTAAATCACATTACTATCCACCTGTCTCTCTGCTTCTCTTCCCTCTCTCTCCTGCTCCTGTCCCTGTATCGCCATTTCTTCTGTCTAAACTAACACTTTATTTCTGCCAAAAGGGGACTGGCTCATCCTGTCCATCTTCCATCTCCATGTCTTCAATTCTGTTGTCATTCATTTGCAAAAGGAAATGAATGAATGATCTGGTCTAATCTCACTTAAAACCATTAAACTCATGAGTGGTGTTTTACTTATTTTTATCATTTACTGCCATTTCAACTCTGAAGAGGGAAAATCATCATGACCAACAATTTCATGGTCACTTGATTCATATTAGTCATGTCTTATGGTTTGATGGACACTGACCCAGTCTCTCTTATCTTAACTCTTAAAACTTTTGGATGTGCATGTATTTTTTGCTCACTCTGCCCATGGCTATAGAGCCAAAAACAAGAAGTGATTCTTTAAAAATAATGTGTGCTGCTTAAATCACATGAAATGGTTAGACTAGTTTGCTGACTAGTTGTCCAGGTTCATTGTGTTCTGTAGGTTTGTAAAAATACAGTTGCTTAGTGTACGTGTTATAATACCGTATTATATGTGTTGTATTGTCATATTTATGTCCTGTAGTGCTATTTTGTATGGTAGCATAATATTTAAGGTAAAAAGCATGGCCATTAAGTCATGAGAATGATTATTTTAAAATATTTGATTGGAACAAAAGATCTTTTTAAGTCATTCTTTAACAGTTCTAATTAGCCATTTGGATCGCAGGCTAGCTACAACAAAAACGTCCCAAATTCAGAAAAAAGTATTTAAATAATAGAGTTCTCGAGTTTATCACTCCAAGATCTATTATTTTAGACATTTTAAAATATCATTCTCTATTATTACCAAAATAATTAATACTAACTAATGCAATTCATTTAATTTTATGAGAAACCGTTGCTCTGGCGTGTGGTTTTGCAGTGTGGCATACTAAACCTCAATCAGAGATTATATGGTAAGTTACAATTAATTGATTTTATTTCTTACTTTAACTCACATTTTACATATTAACATAAAGGCTTTTTGTTCTATTGTTTAAACCTGAATGTAACATTTTCTTAATTTCTTTTTAGATGAAAAAGTCATGGCTGATGATGAATTCACATGTGACCTCTTTCGGTTTTTGCAGTTGCTTTGTGAAGGTCATAATAATGGTGCGTTTGATCATATCAAAAGAGCTGCCAATGATACATTCAAGTACAAAACACAATTTTCTACTATATCATTACAGATTTTCAAATTACTTGCGTACGCAGACGGGCAGTACGACCACCATCAACATTATCATCTGCACTGTTGATTACCTTCTTCGACTTCAGGTTCAGTTAATCATTTCATTGGTTTGCCAAATCGCAGGAGTTTGAATTGTTAAAAAAAGAAAATATTTGTTGCATAAAAATACCATGATATTTTCCCAGGAATCCATCAGTGATTTCTACTGGTATTATTCTGGCAAAGACGTCATTGATGAACCAGGTAAAAAGAACTTCTCCAAAGCCATGACAGTGGCAAAACAGATTTTCAACAGTCTCACAGAATACATACAGGTGAGTCTGAGAGGAATCCCTCTCATTTATACTGTTGTCCTGTTTGTAAATACCTTTTCTTTCAGGGTCCATGCACTGGCAACCAGCAGTCCCTAGCTCACAGCAGACTGTGGGATGCAATTGTTGGTTTCCTTCATGTTTTTGCTCACATGATGATGAAGCTCGCTCAGGTAAGAACTAAAATAAACTTTTATATTGTTTGTAAAACACATTTTTGGCTTCTCTGCTGATAATAAAGAGCAGTAAAATTGTAAAAAAAAAAAAAAAAGTTATTTCTGACACCAAAAAAATAAATCCACAGACCCACATGATGATGGATAATAAATGTTTTTGTTGAATGTGTGGCTTCAGTAAGATAAATGAGCCATAGTCCTGATGGTATTGCAACTAAGTTGTTTAGTGTGGCTCTAACATAGAAAAACAAACCCCTTTAATTACTATAGTTGCTGCTAGAATGTGCTTGTAAGTACTAAGTATTGTATAATCTTCTTAATAATATATAGTATTGACAGAATAAATCTCTTACATAATGAGGTTGACCTATTTGCAGTGGTGGAGACATAAGTCCCATAAACATGGGGCGTGATAGTCTCAGAAAGACATTTACTCAACTGAATAAAAATGTGAATAATACAGTTAGGACTTGACGGGCCACAGCTTATTACACGCGTTGTCTATTTGCATAGTCTTCTCATTGAAAATAATAGATTTATTGATAAAGTCACTTTGGTATCCCGAGAAGTATTCACACAGTTTGTTTGTACCACCAGTATGGACTGGCTTAAAAGTGCTTCCACACTTTTATATTTAATTAACATGTCAGGCATAAAATACAATGTGCATCAGTGCATCTTCATACACTGTTAGTCTCAATTTGTTTTAATGGATTGTATCAATGTGAAAGTGTGGAACCGCTGCAGATCATATGGTGAAACACCATACAAATAAAAGGTTAAAATACTTTGAGGGAGTTTCATAAGTGAAGTCATTCTTCATGAATGACTGTGGCCTACCGCCTGGTTCAGTGTACTGCATGTATAACCTTGTACAGTGTAGCGCATAGCCTTACTGCATCCTCAAGTCCCCAGCTCAGCAAACTCTAACTCATAATTCACCTAACACAGCTCCAGCGCTGTCAGCTTCACCCATTCACCCTTATACATACACACATTTAGACCCAAGGTTATATAAATATTTTAAATGTACTGACAAATACATGTACAATGTTCAAAAGCTGAATAATAATTATTTAAACTGTCTTCCACATGGTCATTGCAGGGTAAAGTATGTATCTATTTCATTATCTATTGATGTGATCATGTGTTTACTAGTTCAGTGTTGGTTTCTCTTATCAGGCTGTTTTAGCTCACCTGCTTCAACAATACAACTGTATACTGGTTAGATGGACTTATGTCAACAGAGCCATCCTCTGAGTCTTATTTTGTTGCAGGACAAAAAGCACTAGGTCACCAAATGGGGGGAATGCAACTTACTAAGCGGTGCCATTATTTTACATTATCATGACATATTCTGGGGAAATATATATATTGATATATATTGTTTCATTCTGGTCTAATGCTAATTTGTTGAGTGAATAAATTAGGTTTTTGAAATTGAAGCAGGTGATTGCAAAACTCCCTGAGGAAGGGTTTGACCTTTAACCTCCACTGTCGGTTGAAGTAAACATAATTTCTTATTCTTTAATACAAGATAATTTGACATCCACCCTGTGTGCACACGTTTAACTCAAGTCAGACTTAAGCTTCTCCTAACATCTAATGCAAATGATGTGCTTTTGCTTGTGGTGATGTGTTTGTAGCTACTGTGTTGCTTGAGCTACAGCATAAAGGACATTTTTTTTCTGAAATGTATTTACATTGTATACATTTAAAACCTGAGTAAATATCGTTAATATTGTCAAGTTCAAGTTAACAGTTAAAGGTAATACAGTAGTATATTTTGTCTCATTGGTCTCATTGCCTTTTGATGTATTGCAAAATAAATAACTAGTTAACTTTAAAATCAGTGTCACACATCAGAATTAGATTCTGAAATGAAACTATTTTCCTTTTTAAAAGTACTAAGTAAGGCTTAGCTTTCTGTTTTTTTTTCCGAGCATGAATTTGAATTCCCCTTTGTCCCAAATGTGAATGTTTTCTGAGCCCAGCATTTTAAATCTGTTATTAAATACTGCTATTTAATGTTCTGTTTAAATTATTGTGTGATAACCACACCTTCCCGACAGTTTGTTCCCATGTGACAAATGACCACTGCATCTTCATGAACGCTGTCTGTTTTTCATTTTAATGTTTTAATGCCCAGTAGAATGTACTGTAAAGCGATTTTCTCTCATCAGGATTCCAGTCAGATTGGTTTGCTCAAGGAACTTCTTGATCTTCAAAAAGACATGGTTGTCATGTTGCTCTCACTATTAGAAGGTAAAAAACACACACACATTTTAGTGTAGCTTTGACATTTTCAACAATGTTGTGTTGCTTTTTCAGGAAATGTGGTGAATGGTACAATAGCCCGGCAAATGGTGGACATGTTGGTAGAGTCATCTAGTAATGTTGAGATGATCCTCAAGTTTTTCGACATGTTCCTTAAACTCAAAGACATTGTGGCTTCAGATGCGTTCCGTGATTATGTGACTGATCCGCGGGGGCTCATATCCAAAAAGGATTTCCAGAAAGCCATGGACAGTCAGAAACAATACACTCCCTCTGAGATCCAGTTCCTCTTGTCCTGCTCTGAGGCAGATGAGAACGACATGATAAACTATGAGGAGTTTGCTAGCCGCTTCCAGGAGCCTGCGAAGGACATTGGCTTCAACATAGCAGTGCTGTTGACTAACCTGTCTGAGCATGTACCTCATGATACAAGACTACAGAACTTTCTGGAACAAGCTGAAAGCGTGCTCAACTATTTCAGACCGTTCCTGGGCCGTATTGAGATAATGGGTGCGAGCAGAAAGATTGAACGAATCTATTTTGAGATTAGTGAGGTCAACCGCAAGCAGTGGGAGATGCCTCAGGTGCGAGAGTCTAAGAGGCAGTTCATATTCGACGTTGTGAATGAGGGCGGCGAGTCGGAGAAGATGGAGATGTTTGTGAACTTCTGTGAGGACACCATCTTTGAAATGAACATCGCATCACAGATCTCAGAGCAGGAGGAAGAGGAGAAAGGTGAGGAAGACGATGAGGTAGAAGAAGTTGGAGGTGAGGGAGGACAGGCCGCAGGAGCTGGAGGGGGTGAAGAAGAGAGTAATGGAGAAGAGATACCACCAGAATCCAGCTCTGCTTTTGCCGACTTCATAAACAGCACTTTAAGCTTCTTGAGCATTTTCACGTTCCGTAATCTTCGGCGTCAGTATCGCAGGATCAGGAAAATGACCCTTAAGGAAATTGTGGTCGCTCTGTCCGTGTTCTTCTGGACCATTCTCATGAGCATCCTTCACTTTATCTACAGTGTGTGCAAAGGCATCTTCATGATCATCTGGCAAACTCTGTTTGGAGGTGGACTAGTGGAAGGAGCCAAAAATATTACAGTGACTGAAATCCTAGCAAGTATGCCTGACCCGACTCAAGACGATGTGCACGGTGATGGTCCCGGAGAGTTGCGGACAGGAGAGGAGCAGGACACAGGTGGGGTTACAGACACAGGGGAGACTGGCAGTGGAGAGGAAGAGGAAGAAGATACTCAGGAGAATGAAGGAGGAAGGATGCCGGGTATGGATGCTCCAGGTGGGCTTGGAGACATGGGCATTGAGGCCACTGTGGAGCCTCCTACACCTGAAGGCACCCCCATAACCAAGAGGAAAATGGCAAGTCTTTCAAATTAATTGCTATTTTAGTGTAGAAAATGTATTTGTTTGATTAAAACTGCATGTAAATTTTTTTCAATAAATGTTGTCTTTTTATTTGCAGCAACCAGAAGAGGCTGATGGTGCTCAGAAACCTCCTGAGCCTGTTCCGATTGAAGAGCCCCCTCCAGAGCCTGAGAAAGCAGAGTAAGTAACCATTCAGCTGCTTTTTCAGTTCTGAACTGAAGAAGCAGCTTGGATGAGCTGCAAAACATCTTCAACCAAACTAACTTTTGTCCAGTTGACAAACTGAATTTTCTCCTCATGGATTCTACCTGGACGACTGAGGGATTCTTCACTAACCATTAAACGGCTATTTATTTAGAAGCATATGCTATTGTTTACTGTCTGTTTATTTTGTTTAATTTTTTAATTAAACAAAACCCGGCTCCGGATAAGCAGAAGAAAATGGAATGGAATGGAATTTTTTATGTTTCTTACAGTTATGTAGTCTTTTTGTAGTATTTTTTATGGTGGTTGTTTGTGTTTTAGTGCTGAAAGTGGTGAAAAGGCGGAAAAGGAGTCTCAGGCCAAAGAAATCAAGCAACCCGAGAAGCCAAAGACATGTACCACCAAAAAAGAGAAGAAAACGAAAAAAGGAGGTTTCCAGATCTGGACTGAGCTTGAGACTCAGAGGAATAAATTCATGGTATGGTATTTGATTCTACAAAATTTATATATATATGATGTCTCCCAGATGATGAGAAGATGAAGTACAAGAGGCATCGTTGTGGAAAAAATAAAATAAAATCTCAACTTTTATTTACATTTGAAAAAAGTAACATGTCCAAAATTATTCATGCCCTTTGCAAACTGTCACAGTCTATGGGAAAATCCAAAGTTCTATACCATTCCAAAGAGCCCAAGCTGTCAAGCAACTCAACAGGTGAAAAATAGCAGGTCTCTGCAGTTTGTGAACAGTCATGGCTAAGATAAAGGAGCTCTCTGAGGATCTGCTGCTGCGTATTGTGAATACTCACAGGTCAGGAGAGGGCAATAAGGCCATATCTAAATGTTTTTAATTTCCAGTGGCTACAGTGCAAAGTATTTTTAAAAAATACTGTGGAAAATCTCAGAAAACGTGGTCAGAAAAGTGACACCTGTGTTGGCCAGGAGAATAGAGAGAGAGGTGAAAAAGAATCCAAGGATCACCACCAAGGCCATCCAGGTGAATCTGGGCTCTACTGGTTGCAACATCTCAATGCAGGCAATCCATACATACTGCTGGGTTCCACGGGCGCAGACCTAGGAGGACTCCACTTCTCCAGTGAAGGCACACAAAAGCCTACTTGGCCTTTGCAAATGATCATCTGGACAAGGAAGACTTCTGTTCTTCTGTTTTATGGTCAGACGAAACAAAAATGTTATTGTTTGGCCACAAAGATGTATCCTTCATTTGGCGTAAAAAAGGAGAAGCCTTCAACCCTAAGAACACCATCCTCACTGTAAGACATGGTGGTGGGAACCTAATGTTTTGGAGATGTTTTTCAGCCAGTGGACTGGGGAATCTAATCACAGTAAACGGCACCTTGAACAAAGAGCAATATGTCAAGATTGTACAGTCTGCAGAGGCCTTGGGCACTAATGGACATTTCAACACAACAGCGACCCAAAGCACACTGCAAAAGTGATGAAGAAATGGTTATTGGACAGCAACATTACCATTTTGCAGTGGAGCAGCCAGAGTCCTGACTTGAATCCAATTGAGAATCTGTGGAGGGAGCTAAAGATTAGGGTGATGGCAAGGAGACTCTCCAATCTGAAAACATTGGAGCTCATTGCTAAAGATAAATGGGCAAAAATATCAGTGGAGACATGCAAAACACTGGTCAGCAATTATAGGAAGTGTTTGATTAGATAATAAAGGCTTTTCTATTGAGAAGGGTATGAATAATTTTGAACATGCCACTTTTTGTTCAAATGTAAATAAAAGCTGAGAAATATTTTTTTCAAACATGTTTTGCTTCTTGTACATCGTCCTATCTTCTGGGAGACACCTGTGTCATTTCTAATCAAGAAAAAACTAGCTGGTTGAATAAAAGTAACTTTAAGTCAAACTTTGCCAGGGGTATGGATAATTTTGGGCTTGACTATATATATAACAGATGTATTTCTTATTTGCAGAACTACCTGTCGAGGAATTTCTACAATCTGCGCTTCTTGGCTCTCTTCATCGCATTTGCATTGAACTTCATCCTCCTCTTCTACAGGGTTAATGACATTTCCAGTTCATATTAGTTGCTCTCAACAAATATATTTTACTTACAGTTATATTTTTGCAGGTGTCTGAAACTCCCCCTGAAGGAGAGGAGATGGAGGGCTCTGGATTCTCCGAGGGTAGTGGTCTTTTTGAAGGGTCTGGTTTGTTTGAGGAGTCTGGAGACTCTGAGGGATCAGGACTTGGTGAAGATGAGGAAGAGGAAGATGTGCCAGTTTATTATTATTTAGAAGAGAGCACCGGATACATGCAGCCTACTCTGTCCTTCCTCGCGATTTTGCACACAATCATCTCATTTATCTGCATTATTGGATACAACTGTCTCAAGGTGAAGTAAAAAAATATCACAAAAAAATATATAGTCAAATTAAACAAAAAACAAAGGGTTGGCAGTAGTTAGGAAAGTGGTTAGGTGTTCACACTTTCATTATTTTCACTTTTCATTATTTAATGTATGTATGTATCTCAATGTATTTATTTTTTATCTTCCATTTAATCTTTTTTTTAATCATTTTTACTTAAATATAGTACATTAAATATTTACTTTATTATAATTATGAAACTGTATAAATGATTAGCTAACACGGATTTCAAACTGTCTTTCAGATTCCACTGGTGATTTTCAAAAGAGAGAAAGAACTTGCCCGAAAGCTGGAGTTTGATGGGCTTTACATAACAGAGCAGCCAGAGGACGATGACATCAAAGGCCAGTGGGACCGACTGGTCCTAAACACACCGTATGTTCTCTGTCTCATCTGTTTAAAATAGCTTCTCTTACTCTGGAAAAAATTATAATGGCAAATTTTGTTTTACAGCTCATTCCCAAACAACTACTGGGACAAGTTTGTGAAACGAAAGGTATATTAGCATTTGTCTCATATTTAACTCTTCATTGGTCCACTTAAAAAGATTAAGACAAGTGATCGACCCTGTGTTCATATCAAGGTCCTGGACAAGTATGGTGATATCTATGGCAGGGAGAGGATTGCTGAGCTTCTGGGAGTAGATCTTGCTTCTCTAGATGTAAGTCAGCAGCATGGGAAGAAGCAAGAAGAACCAGACAACTCAGTATTTGCATGGTACAGTACATTCTTTACATTTCAAACTTATTATACACACAGACAGAACATTCTTTCTCTGATCTTTACTTATTTGATCTCAGGATGACCTCTATTGACCTCAAGTACCAGATATGGAAGTTTGGTGTAGTCTTCACGGATGGGGTAAACACGAGTTACAGTCATGCTCGATTTTGTAATAATTCTAAGATATGGCCTAAATACTTTTTTTTTTTTTTTTTGCCTTTTAGACCTTTCTTTATCTGTGTTGGTACCTGATTATGTCTTTGCTGGGGCACTACAACAATTTCTTTTTTGCCTGCCACCTGTTGGATATTGCAATGGGGGTCAAAACCTTGCGTACAATTCTGTCATCTGTCACACACAATGGCAAACAGGTACTACATAATAAAACTGAGTTTGTTTTATTTTTATACTGTGATGTTCTGCTGATTCTTGCGTTGTTTTTATACACAGCTCATGATGACTGTGGGTTTGTTGGCTGTGGTAGTCTATCTTTACACTGTAGTTGCGTTCAACTTCTTCAGAAAGTTTTACAACAAAAGTGAAGATGAGGATGAGCCTGATATGAAATGTGATGACATGATGACTGTAAGTTATTATTTATGTAATAATAAATAATATAATAATAATAATAACCTGATAACATTCATCAATTTAGAATTCACCAGAAAAATGCTCAAGTGTGTCTTTAAATGTCTTAGTTGAAGTATTGCATCACAAGTAAATGGACTGCAAACTCTAGATAGCTAACCTTTTTATATCAACTTTTATATCAAACACAAAACAAAATATTCTTACGTAGCTTGAATAAAAAAATAATTTCACTATTAAACTGTGCCTTTCCTGTCCCAGTGTTACCTGTTTCACATGTACGTGGGAGTGCGTGCTGGAGGCGGCATTGGGGATGAGATCGAGGACCCTGCTGGAGACGAATACGAGTTGTACCGAGTAGTCTTTGATATCACCTTCTTCTTCTTTGTTATTGTCATTCTGCTGGCCATTATTCAAGGTGAGAATATTACTCCTAAAATAAGATCACAACTGTAAACACTTGTTAGAAATAGATGAAATATGTATATATTTCTTTACAATTACTTTAGGTTTGATCATTGATGCTTTTGGAGAGCTGAGAGACCAACAGGAGCAAGTGAAAGAAGATATGGAGGTATAATAGCACTGACAAGTTTATAATCTTTCACCGTTGGTATGCAAAAAAATATATTGTATTATTTTCTTTTGGTAGACAAAGTGCTTTATATGTGGCATTGGGAGTGACTATTTTGACACTACACCACATGGCTTTGAAACCCACACTTTTGATGAACACAACTTGGCCAATTACATGTAAGTCAACCTCTCTTTTTAAAAGCTCCTTATCCATTTTGGACTTGTGACCATGTTTTATATATATATTTCCATCAGGTTTTTCTTAATGTACCTTATCAACAAAGATGAAACTGAACACACAGGCCAGGTCAGTCATATGTTTAAAAATGATCATGCTTTTTCTTTGTTTTAGCATTTATCTCTGAACTCATTCTTGAATATATGTAATTTTGTTTTATTTAGGAGTCATATGTGTGGAAAATGTACCAGGAGAGATGCTGGGACTTCTTCCCTGCTGGAGACTGTTTCAGAAAGCAATATGAAGATCAGCTTTCTTAATCTGACCTTAGAGATATCTTTGTTCAACTGGTTAATCATTCCTGGCCTTTTTGTAACAAGAATTCAAATGTCAAAATTTCAAATCAATGATTATGTGAGCTAGAGTGTACTGTATGCTCTACTCATTAACTATAATAATGTCAGTTGTGGTGTCTCTATGTAGTTTATTTTAAGTGTCGGTGTCAGTCCATGTTATTTATTCAAAAGGACTTTTTAGTGAGTGGTGATTGAAGCTACTGATTATTTTTTGTGTATTTATGTGTCTGATTATTATATATGTATTAGAATAAATTTTACTTTGACATCAGTATCTGCTATGTCAAAAGACTGACTTTTTACAGACATGAAAAGGAGCTGAAATCAGTGAAGAGTTGCATTGTATATTGTTATGTGCTGTAAATGAATAACATGCACCTCGTTTCACTTTCTAGTTTATAATTTTACAATGATTGCTGTATTGTATCTTAATGGCCTTCTATTCTTAAAAGCCTTCTCTGAACAGGTGTTGAAAATAAGTGTTTTTGCTCTAACACTTGAACGGTGCATCTGGTTTATCCAATGTAAATGCTATGTCTATATCAAATAATCACCTTACCATTATGTATTTAGCATTTTAGCAGGTGATCACGTCAGGCAGTAGTAGATTTGATTTCAATTTCATACAAATACATAGACTGGATTTAACAAGTTTTCTACTGAGACTAGGTAACACAGTTGATAATTCTTCAATAATAAAATTATTTTATGTTTATCATGAAGCTCTTTCAACCATTTGAATAATTAGAATTATTGAATTTGACAAAGATGAGTACACATCAAACATAAAACACACTGCAGTCAAGGCTAATTTACAATGTCCATCCCAAAAAGGCCTTTTGGCGACAGTGGCTCAAAGGTTTCTGCACTCTTCCAACAACCTAAAGGGTAACAGTTCAAACGCCACCAAGCATAGGATACTGTTTAATGTGTCCTTTGGCAAGACATCTCATTCACACTGTCCCCATACACCTGTATGGTGATGGTCAGAGAGGCTGAAGGAGAAGATTGTCCTCTCTTCCATAATTCTATTTGAGGACTCTTATGTCCCTCTGACTTCTATCTAGGCCTACTTGTTTTAAGAACCTAGTATATTTTCTTTCATTTTATGTATAGCCCTACATGTTTTGTATGGACAAGGAGACATGTTGCTTTAACAGATAAAATAAACTAAAAATGTAAGATTCAGGGGAAAGTTTACTATTGTCACTGTGATAGAAAACAATGAAATTACATTTAGAGCATCCAAACACTGTATAGTTTTGATGGAAAGTGCAATGTACATGTGCAAGGGCCCATCAAACAACCCCAGTGTAAACCAGAGGGTAAACATTAGCACAATAATGAAATTCAAAATCTTGAAAGGTGCCATACCCTATAAACTCAAGGTATTAAATTTAAAATGTCATTAAAGTTTTAAGTTCATACCCTAACTACTTGCATTACTGCAGCCATTCCCCAAACGATTCCTATATTTTTGTGTATTAAGCAGCTAAACTGCAGTTTCTGTATAGCACATCCCATCTGAATGAGGATTAGCAGTGAGCATTAAAACTCACATTGAGCCTCATGTGCTTCTGCTCAACAGAACTCAGGTTTCGCTTTGTTTCACCACTGCTAACATGAATGTTACAGGGATACACCAGGGGATGCTTCGGATGTATGGTGAGTACTATATTTACAACAGAAATTTCTATTAAAAAATGTTAACTATATTAGGCATTATTCATAATAAAAGTTTTTCTGAATAAAGATTTTATTGTGGGCTACTTGTGGTTATTGCATGAACATAAAAAAGCAGACTAATTACTATCTATACAAAATAATCAATGTACAATCAGCATACTAGGTTTTCATTAAAGCATTTCAACAAAGCAGCCACAAACATTATAAGCTATATGCACTATTGTATATTTTCGAATTTTATTCTTTAAGAGATTTTTTTTTCTTTGTAAGAGTTCATTTGGTTTGTGTCCAGATGTGTGTGCGTGAATGGGGTAGTGTAGTTGGTTGAAAAACCCATATCTAATCTTTCAACCATCTGACTGCCTTTAATCTTTACAGATGATAGAATGGCTCTAATTCTTTTGCATGCTGCTACCAATGCTATGATGTCTGTAAGGATGACACTTAGTAATGATTTTGTATCACTTTCTTGAATACTATTTAAATTTTGCTGTAATAATGTATTGTCTTTGGCATTCAGGTGGCTTCCTTTTCAAGCAGTGGAAGAAAAGGTTTGTGCTCCTGACTCCTGAGGGCAGCCTGGTGGTCTGCCATGGTACTACAAGTCCCCCTGATCAGCTGGTGTCCTTGCAGAGCGACTGATAGGCCATAGCAGAGGGCAAAGACATCCTCAATCTGCCCAAGTTACCCTCAAGTGGGAGCCGGAGTTGCTGCTTCGCTCTCATACTGAAAAAGTATCTTCTACTCCTCACAGACACTGCTGCAGACTGCAGGTAGCAGTGGACATGACATAATTGTGATGGATGAATCATAATAATTGTGCTACATGATTTATTTATTTATTTTTTTCAGTCCGTGGCTGAATATATTGAAAGAGGTAAAACAGGTGTGTTTTGATCTTGGTTATAACCGTTGTATTATTTAAATATGTGCATTAACATGTGAACACACATTCCCTTCAGACTGTGTCATCCACAGCCATTCCCTGTAGGAGGCATCAGGTGCCACTGTACATCACTCTCAAAGAGAAAGAGAAGCAGCTCTCAGACAGGGATTCACCCACTCCTCTCATAGGCAGCAGAGAGGCTGCCTCCTCAGCGGCAGGCACCTGTGGGTCACCAAGAGAGGGGGGTGGGTTCAATGAGTGAAAAAGTTTTTTTACTTTAATTTGTTTGTACAGCAGTAACTTGTGTGTTCATGTTACAGGCAGGAATGCTCTGCGTTCTCAGCAGTTCAAGGGATGTACACATTCAATGGGATGTCTGCGCCATGGAACGATCAACAATGCCCAGGCCATGAAAGCTGTTTATTTGCTGATGGGAGGGACTGCTGCCGCCTCAGTTTTGGGTTACCTTGGTGCATGCCCCCCGTGAATATGGTTATGCCTTGGCTCTATTATGAACCCATAAAGCTAGCATAGAACATGGTAACAGAAGTGCTGCTGTTGATTTTTTGGAGAAGAGTCGAAAAGACGAGCATGACTCACCCACGGCAGAACATCCAAAAAGTTAAAAATAAAACAGTCGGCAGGAGCTAGTGGTAATTAGCTAGTCACAGCACTGTAATTCCATATCAAGATGGTACAGTATTGTAGAAACTTATAAATTTGGCCGCAATGCTTTAAGGGAAGTTTTTTTTTCTTTGGGGTTAGCTAAGTGAAAGGGAGTCATTTTCTTTCTCTTTTGGGTTCGGGCCACAAGTTAGGCAGAGGTGTTTGAGACATAACCCTGCACAGTCGTTTAAACAAAACCGAAATACAAGCAAACCTGTTTCCACGAATTCTTTGATCGTCACACTGGTGTCATAGTGGAATTTCTACTGAATGACAACAACTTTTCAAGAAGAAATAAACTCCTTGATTGCCTGCTTAGAAGGCGTAATGGAGCGAGAGACAGGGGCGCCATGAAGAAAAGAGCCAAAGAATTCTGTCATTGGCCATCCCAAAGGAGCCAGCAGCCTGGGCGAGCACAATGTCAGAGGCGGGAAGAACAACCTGCAAATAAGCCCAGACTGGAGTGGGAAAAGGAGCACCTGTTCGAAGTGGATGTGGCATGCAGGCAGCACATGTCTCCAGTGCACATGGCAATCAGAGTCGAGAGGCAAGTCTGGTGTGTTGGCGGGATCCAGAGGACTAGATGTGCCGCGGAGCTGCTTCGACGTCAGTCCACCATAAAACTCTGCCACAACAACGGAGAAAAGCTACCTACCTGCTACAGGTCCAGCTCGCTGCACAAATTAACAGATGGTCTGCTGAGGAGACAGCAGGACATGTTGCTCTTTCCATAGAAAGATGAGCTTTACAAATTCTGACAGATCTGCAGCCAGAGAAGTTCCAGGATTGACCAAAGCTGAGGGAAGCTATTCAGTGCTGCTTTGACCATCACCTTTATGTTGAGGACGCTAGAGATTGGCTAGCAAAATGCCCAAGAGAGAAGAGAGAAAGCCTGTGTACCCTGATTGAGCAAGAGGGTGCAGAAGATAACAGTCCAAGCTTTTCTAAAGGGACTCCAGCCAGGACAGCTTCGTGAACACATGCGCTTGTTTTCCTCCACCACTCTAGAAGCAGCACCAATCAAGGCCGAGCGGGTAGAGCATGTCCTGTGTCCAGAAGGTTATCACCACCATGAAAACGTTTGTGTCAATCAGGCCAGGAGCAAGGATCACGATGTGCAGGAGGAAACAGCAGAACAGCCAACCCCACAATGCTGTCGATCCAGGAGACGGCATTCAGTCAAAAACTTACTAAAAAAGTCTAGTGATCCTTACCTAGCTTTAATGGCTTACCGTGCCTCACCCATAGCCAATGGGTATAGTCCTACTGAACTGCTTATGGGTCGAAAGATACGTACTACTGTCCTTCTGTCATTCCTTCTCAGCTCCATCCAAACAGCGCAGCCTTATATAAAGTGAAAATAAGAGTACAGATTTACAGACTAAAACAGACACAAAACTACAACAAAAGGCACAGAGTTCACAGCATGCCTTGTGTGCAGTCAGGTGAGCATGTGTGAGTCAAGGACATGCAGCAGACAGGAACTGTGGTGTCCACTGCAGGCACACCCAGGTCCTATGTCATGGAAACACCATGTGGCAACCTGCGGAGAAACTGGTATCATCTGTCCTGAACACCGGTGGCTCCACAGCTGAACACTGCAGACATTCAGGAAAGAGTCTCAGGTATGAAAAACTGGACAGCACCAGAGCACCAGGCCCTGACATGATCCATGCATACTGGCTAAAGAAGCTCACTGCTCTCCATGAGCGCCTGGGAGCACAAATGAACCTGCTGCTAAAAGATGGGACATACCCTGAATGGCTCACCCAAGGGCGTACAGTCCTGATCCTGAAGGATCCCTCAAAGGGTGCAGTCCCATCCAACTAACGGCCAATAACCTGTCTCTCCACAACATGGAAGCTCGTGTCAGGCACCATCGCAGCTAAGATAAGTGGGCACAAGGATCAATATATGAGCACACCACAGAAGGGCATCAACAAAAACACCAGGGGAACCAAACAACAACTCCTGGTTGACTGAACAGTTGCCCGTGACTGCAGATCCCGTCAGACCAACCTGTGCACTGCCTAGATTGATTACAAGAAAGCCTATGACTCAGTGCTACACACATGGATCACTGAGTGCTTGGAGTTGTAGAATATGAACAGGACTCTAAGGGCCGTCATTAAAAACTCGATGTGGTTGTGGAAAACCACCCTTGAGCCAATGGGAAACCACTTGCACAAGTGTCCATCAAATGTGGCATATACCAAGGAGACGCACAGTCCCCACTGCTGTTCTGCATAGGTCTGAACCCCCTCAGTCAGGTCATCAACTGCACTGGCTATGGATACGGACTCAGAAATGGGGCCAACATCAGTCACCTCCTCTACATGGATGACATCAAACTGTATGCTGAGGGCGAGCAGGACATCACCTCACTGATCCGCACCACCGGGATCTACAGCACAGACATTGGAATGTCATTCAGATTTGAGAAACGTAGTAGGATGTGACAAAGAAAGGGAAGGTAGTCCACACAGAGGGGGTCTCACTCCCAGAGGGAACAATAGTAGACGTTGAGGACAGTTACAAGTACCTTGGTATAACTCAAGCAAATGGCAACCTTGAAGAAGCAACAAGGAAAGTGGCTATGACCAAATACGTGCAACGAATGAGACAGTCCTAAGTCCTAAGAAGCACAATGCCAAGGTAATAAACAGCTACACCCTGCCAGTGATCAGATACCCTGCAGGAATCGTAAGCTGGCCAAAGGAGGAGATACAGACCACAGATGTTAAGACACGAAAGCTACTGACCATGCATGGAGGGTTCCATCAAGCTGGCTGAAGGGAAGCCGAGGACTAGTGAGTGTGGGAACCACTGTCCAGGATGAAACATCCAAGCTCCATGAGTACATCAAGGACAACAACAAGGCTCTGACATATGAGGTGCTCAAAGAATGTCTCAGACAGTGGGGTCCAAAGGAAGAGGTACTGGAGGGACCATCATGGCAAGACAAGCCCCTTCATGGGGCGTACCACCGGAACATAACTGAAGTGGCTGATATCAAGAAATCCTACCAATGGCTTGAGAGGGCTGGTCTGAAGGACAGCACAGAGGCACTCATCCTGGTTGCTCAGGAGCAGGCCCTGGGCATTCGAGCAATAGAAGCCCAGATCTACCACACCAGACAAGACCCACGGTGTAGACTGTGCAAAGAGGCTCCTGAGACAGTCCAGCACATAACTGCAGGGTGTAAAATGCTGGCAGGGAAAGCAAACATAGAGTGACATAACCAAGTGGCAGAGTCTGTGCAGAGTATGGGCTGGAGACCCCAGGGTCAAAGTGAGAAACACCTCCAAAGGTTGTGGTGAATGACCAATCCAAGATCCTGTGGGACTTCCAGATACAGATGGACAGGATGGTGGCGAACCAACCAGACATAGGTCTGACATAGCTCATATAAGCAACAGAGCAGAGCCGTGGTGGTGGACATCGCGGTACCAAGTGATGGTAATATCAGGAAAAAGGAACATGAGAAACTAGAGAAATACCAGGGGCTCCAGGAAGAGCTGGAGAAGGCCTGGAAGGCGAAGGCATCAGTGGTGCCCGTGGTGATCAGAGCACTTGGGGCTATAACCCCTAAACATCTTAGTCCAGGAAAGTGCAGTAATAGGAATAGCAAAGATACTGCGCAGAACTCTCAAGCTCCCAGGCCTCTGGGAAAGGACCTCAGCTAGATGAGGGGATATATATATATATATATATATATATATAATATATATATATATATATATATATATATATATATATATATATATATATACAGTGTATACTATGCAAAAGCTATACAGGTTTTAGGTAGGTGTGAAAAATGCTGTAATGTTGCTGCTTTCAAAAATATAAATAATGATTGTTTTTATCAATTTACAAAATGTACAAAATGCAAAGTGAGCGAACAAAAGAAAACTCTAAATCAAATCAATATTTGGTGTTACTACCTTTTGCCTTCAAACCAACATCAATTCACACAAAGGGGTACACATAAACTCTGTGATTTTGTAAAATTATAGTCAGGTGTGTGATCATCCAATTATACCAAACAATCGCTAATGATCATCAATGTCACATGTAGGTTGGAACATAGTCATTATCTGAAACAGAAACAGTGCTGTGGGAGGCTTAACACTGAGTGAGGAACAGCCAAACTCTGCTACCAAGGTGAGGTTGTAGAAGATAGTCTCATGTCACAGGTCATACACCATGGCAAGACTGAGCACAGCAACAAGACATAATGTAGTTATACTACATCAGCAAGTTCTCTCCCAGACAAAGATTTCAAAGCAGACTGGGGTGTCAAGATGAGCTGGAAGCTGTCCAGCAGGGCCATCAGCTCAGAACTGGCAGAAACCCATGGGACCCAGGTACACCCATCTACTGTCTGGAGAAGTCTGGCCAGAAGTGGTCTTCGTGGAAGAGTTGCAGCCAAAAAGCCATACCTTCGACATGGAAACAAGGTCAAGCAACTCAAGTATGCACAAACATAGGAACTCGGTTGCAGAAAAAAGGCAGCAGGTGCTCTGGACTGATGGGTCACAATTTTAAATATTTGGCTATAGCATGAGGCAGTTTGTTCATCAAACGGCTGGAAAGTGGTAAAATGACAAGTGTTTGCAGGCAACAGTGAAGCATGGTGGAGGTTCCTTGAATGTTTGGGACTGCATTTCTGCAAATGGAGTTGGAGATTTGGTCAGATTTAATAATGCTCTCATGCTGAGAAATACAGGCAGCTACTTATCCATCATGCAATACCATCAGGGAGGCCTATGATTGGCCCCAAATTTATTCTACAGCAGGACAACGATCCCCAAAATACAGGCAAAGTCATTAAGAACTATCTTCAGCGTAAAGAAGAACAAGAAATTCTGGAAGTGATGGTATAGTCCGAACAGAGCCCTAACCTCAACATTATTAAGTGTGTCTGGGATTACATGAAGAGACAGAAGGATGTGAGGAAGCCTACATCCACAGAAGATCTGTGGTTTGTTCTTCACGATGCTTGGAACAACCAACAAGCAGAGTACCTTCAAAAAATGTATGCAAATATAGTAGCTAGAAGAATTGATGTTCTATTTAAGGCAAAGGGTGGTCACACCAAATACTGATTTGATTTAGATTTCTCTTTTGTTCATTGACTGCATTTTGTTGATTGATGCAAATAAATGATTAACACTTCCATTTTTAAAGTCATTCCTTGTTTACAGTATTTTTTCACACCTGCCTATAACTTTTGCACAGTACTGTATATATTTATATATACAGTGTATGGTCTTTGACTTGAACATGGCTGTGCCTCATCTCTATTATAAACCCATAAAACTAGCATAGAAGAACTGTCTCTCAAGTTTATAGCCTACCTAACACAGTTTATAAACAACTATCTGGACTTGATTCTATGGATCCAAACGTTGCCTTTTAAAATGGGTTTGTTATTCCACTGAGAGTCCTCAACAGACTGAACAGGACAATAAAACATTGTTCATAACCTAAAGAATGCATGTTGAAATTCTTTGATATCACAGATTGTCTTTGGTGGAAACTGTTGATGGGAAAATCAACAGTAATGTTGGCCTGCAAGAAAAAGTAGAGAGCAGGCTGCAAAACGGGAATGAGCAGAAGGCGTACGTTTTACACATACTTCGTTATTTAGGTAAGTAGGGACTGGTTGACACACCTGCTCCTTTACTAACAACTAACATTACTAACATTTACTAAAATTGGACAAACAGGATAACTGTATCCTTTGAGTTCCCTTATATCCTTGTATCCCTTGGGATACGGTTGCCTGTACCTGTCAGTTATGCTTACCCACACCCTAACCTCCACTTCAGGATCAGGGCTGATTGTGCATATTTGTGACCAAAAAACATTGCTGGTAGTGGATGGGCGCTGCGGGGACTTCCTGTACTCTCGGAGTGGATAGGCTGCTGCTCTGCTCGGGTTACACTGCAGGATTTTTGTCACCGCCCCCTGCCGCAGTCGCCTGCGGCTGTGCTTCGTCCATTCAAAAGCCAAGCTAAAAACACCTTACGGACGACTCCTGATATTCCCCAGCCCGTCTGTCCCAGGCATGGATGACGGCTACACACCGACATGGCACTGCAACATTACACCCTCGACGTCTGTCTCTCCACGCCAGGTAGGAGCTTGGAGGACGGGCACCATCAGGGCAGCATGCTAGCTGCTAACTAGCCTGCTAATATTAACCTGCTAGTGTGACTTTGTCCTTCAAAACAAAATCGTTTTATTGATATGGGTTTAGGTCAGCTGACGGTGTTTGCATGTCCATAGGAATAAAGGATCACCATTAGTGTTAACGATTGGGCATTGTTTATTTTTTTTATTTTGGAAAGCAAATAGTAAATGTACACTTAGTGGCCAACATCATTCCCACATCATACTGTACGACACAACAGTCAGTAGAAAGAGCAGGCATCTGTTCATTGAAGCTGCACGTGTGAGAGGAATAGTCTTAGTAGTGAATGCACTTCTTAACTTTCAAGTGGCAGATATCTTATTTAAAAAAAAGTTACTTTGGGATTAGTAGATTACAATTGTTGTTAACATGTCAGTGTTATCAAATGATCTGTTAATGATAGCCTGTAATAGCGTGTGAATAAACCAACAGTCCTGTGTGCATATTTGTCTTCCTTCTAGTTGACTGTGCCTCCACAGTGCAGAGCCTCCTATCCATATTTCATGAACAGGAAATGACAGAGACTCTTCATGACACAGATGGACATGGTTGTCTCGCCACCTTTGTGGGCAAGAATGGCCGGTGAGTCTTTATTTATTACCATAATTTTAAGAGGTTGTAAACATGTGACAGTGAGGTCGCTAGGGTGACTGAACACATTATATAAATATGTGTGACTGTTGTGCAAATATAAATTAATGCATTTAATTCCATTCGAGATTAGCTACTTAAGGGTTATAAAAGTGCTCTGGATAATTTTGTCATTTAAGCAGTTCTTTTGAGCAGAGGGATTTCAAAGTTTGTTGTTTCAAATATGGCAGGGCTGGCCAGACTTCATGACAGATTAGCTTTGGTGGAAAGATATGACAACTAGCCTAACTGTTAGGGATGTACCAATGCAGCTTCTTCTGTTCCAATACCGATGTCGTTATTTTGGTTTTAGGTATCTGCCAATACTCTATATCAGCTGATACTAGGGCAGAGACTGAAAATATTATTTTCCTTACACAAATTTAAATATTAACCAAATGTATTTTGTAACTGTCGTATATCATTTAAAATAATTTCAGAATAGCTTTGAAAAAATACAAGTTTAATAATATAAGACATTTTGAACCAACATTGGCCAGTAAATCATCTTATTACACCAGTTTATGAACCAAAATAAGATATAGATTGAAACGATATCTTGGAATTGATATCTGATCCATCAAAATGTTCAATATCAGCGCCTTTATCTGATACCATTATCATATTGGTGCATCCCTACTAATTGTTGATGGGAAAATCATCAGTAAAGTTGACTTGTACAAAAAGGGAAGAGCAGGCGTGTTCACCGAGGGTAAACTGACAGTTTGGCAGAAACTTACCCAAGACAGATGATGTTTGTTCTTCAAACAGCTTTCTTGCTCTAGTCCTCTCCGCAAATATCTGGGTGGATTCAAGTCTGGTTTGTGGCCAAGGCACGTTTTCACACCGCTAGTTCGATTATTTGGTCCGCACCAGGCAATAAAATTGTTATTGTGTAGCAAATGAGTATGTAGCAAACGAGTACAAACAATTAAACCTAACCCTATTAGTATGAAAATTTAGAATATTGTTTTCATTTTTTTGCTGCAGAGTTTTGATGCTTCGTGTGCACTCCCAAGGCTTAGTCACCATTGATCTGCAGTGTTATGACGATGATAACATTGTGCAACTAGACAATGTAAGTGTAGCATCAATGAGAATGCTATTTTCTATTATACAGCAAATGTAATATATTTATGTCTATGTTTATTCACAGCTTTTAAATGCACTGGAAAAGAAACTTAAAGTTCTCTTAGATGGCAATATAACAAGGATTAAAAGGTAACCTAGAACCTAGAGTAATCCGTAATATGCCATGTATTTATTTATTTATTATGTTTATGTGAACACTGTGCTTTTGTTTATAGACTCCCTCCCCTCAGACGTGGAGCAAAGGTGGACAGGTACTGGCCCACAGCAGATGGCAGGCTCATAGAGTATGACATTGATCGCGTGGTGTATGAGGAGGATTCTCCATACCAAAACATTAAGATTCTCCACTCTCAACAGTTTGGGAATATTTTGGTCCTCAATGGTGACGTTAGTAAGTCCAGTTACAATATTTAATCTAAACAGATGTTCATTCTTAAATGAGTGGTTAAATTAGATGTTTTATGCATCCTTGATAAGTGAAAATTTTGTTTTCATTGCAGATTTGGCAGAGAGTGATTTGGCATATACACAAGCTATTATGGGAAGCGGAAAAGAAAATTATGCTGGAAAGGAGGTGTTAATTTTAGGAGGTGGTGATGGGGGAATTCTTGCTGAAGTAGTGAAACAAAAGCCAAAGATGGTCACAATGGTAGAGATATCCTTTAAATAACTATGATAAACTAAATCTCAATCCTCTGTAGATGTAACTGTAATTGTATGTGATATTTTCTTAATGAAATGTAAACATTGACCAGAAAGTTATAGACGGGTGCAAAATGCACATGAGGAAGACTTGTGGCAATATTCTGGACAACTTGAAGGGAGACTGTTACCAAGTAAGTACTTTCTTGACTTGTGGATTTTGTCAACTTTTAGTGGTTTTAATGTTTTCTTTTTTTTACTTTCTGTACTTACTGTAGATATTAGTGGAGGACTGCATTCCTGTGCTGAAGAAATATGTTCATGATGGAAAGACATTTGATTATGTTATCAATGATCTTACTGCTGTCCCAATATCTACAGAGCCAGAGGAGGGTATGTATCCATTGATTTTATTTCTCTGCTTTACTCTAATTTGTACACTCTTAAACATGTTTGGCTTATTGTAGATTCGACATGGGAGTTTCTGCGTCTCATTTTAGATCTGTCGATTAAAGTCCTTCATTCCACTGGGAAATATTTCACACAGGTAAGCTTTGTCTTTTCTAAACTCTAATAAGGTTTTCCTCAATATCCTCACCAAAATGTATTTTAATAAACTGTTAACTTGTCAAAATGTGTCAAACAGGGGAACAGTGTGAATCTGACAGAGGCACTGAGTCTGTATGAAGAGCAGCTGGGGAAGCTCTCGTGTCCCGTGGGTTTCTCTAAAGAGGTGGTGTGTGTGCCCTCCTACCTGGAGCTGTATCCTTTAAGCACTTAATCATACTCATTCATGCATGAGTTTGATATAATGTATAATATAAAGTAAAAGTTTAACAATTTAGTTTTCTTTAATACTTAATGTCAGATGGGTTTTCTACACCGTGTGGAAGAAATAATATTTTACCTGCTTGAATCCCCGCCGCTCAAATGTGAATGCTCCTGTTTCTGCTGTGTCCGAAAGGCATGTTCAGACTGCCAAAGACTGATCTGCAGTGTACAATTTTATTGCTTTGAAATAATACAACATATGTTGTAAACCATTTTATTACAATTGTAGCTAATGCACAACCAGGTTTATTCCAAACTAAAAACAGTTGATTGTCACCCCAGAGTTTCCTGCAGCTCTTTGTCAATTAAAAAGTTTTGAAACTGTCTGAACACATCTTAAGCTGAAGGTGACTGTTTTACTTGCCTCCCCCGTCATCCTCTATAATATGCAGTATGGATTATGCTTCCAAGTTTTACTGCTTTTAGTTGTTTTATTTTGATGCAGCTCATTGGCTTGTTACGTTACTTGATAATGAATGTCCATTTGCATGTACTTGTACTCTTGCTTATAAACACTGATAAGACACAGATGTAGCTCATCTCACAAGTGTTTACCTTTTTTACTTTTTACTTATTTTTGAAAATTTGACATTACTTGAGTTGTCTGATAAGGCCAATTACTACTTTCAACCCAGATGATGTGGGTTATTAAGATGTTATTGTTTCTGGCACTCAAATGTGATTGTTTGGGGTGACAAAAGTGATGATGCCCAAAAAGACTGTTGTCCGAATGTGTTTTAAAAGGGAAATGGTTCCACACTTTAATGCCGCCTTTGTGTTTGTGCTATTTTATGTTTGTTTTGATTTTGTTTTACATTTTTAAAGACTGTTTTAGGTGCATGTAAAGGACGGTGAATGTAGCTGCATATACAGTACTCAATTAAGATGGATGAATCTTGTGGGGACATACTTTTATTTATTCATTATGGTTTCACCAAAAGCTCTGTTGTCCCACTTTAGTGGCCATTACATATTAAATTGTATTTTGATGGAGAAACTGTGTCTAGTGTTTTTTCCCCTATATCATGGTTATGATTGAAAATGTTTTTGTTGGATACTTGTTTACTAGTTAATTTGTTACTATTTATTTAAACAATTTATTTTCATCTAAAAAACAATGTTGTATACAGCAATATTTATTCACATTTAAAATGTATGTACACTATTGCACCCGGTGCTTTTCAGAGCATACATGTCTAGAAGTAAAAAGAAAATAAAATCAGCCAATATTTGAAATAAATTTTCCTCAGTTGAGACTCCATGAGTGGGTATTCAATTATGAACCAGTTGCATTTATCTTGTGGATGATTATGTATGTTTATTATTTTTCCTTTCCATATAAGCTTTGGACCTTAATTTTTACTTTACAGTAACAATAATATAAAAATAATTTCTAAATGAAATACATTGCATTGATACAATTTGTACAAATATAATTTTTCTCATAGCAAAGAAGTGCATGTTCATAAAGTGATTTCGGTGTTTATAATTTGTTCAAAAATAGAATAAAAATAATACTACTTTTACTTCCAATCTGCACATAGTACTGTGGCTATAGGCGTCGGTACTGACTGTTGATCTCATTGAGTACCACGTCCATATTCGGGTCTTCATCTGCTGTAATTATATGATCAGCATGTGGATTCCCTGAAACACAACAGTATTCATGGAGATCAGTTTGCTGGACTTTTGTCTGTTCAAAAGATGAAATTAGATTGAAACCTAAACTGGTGTTACATACAAACTGTACATTCTGTCTCTAAAAAGTATGAAAAGTATCACTTAGGTTGTGTAACCATATAAAAGTCGTAGGAGTTAAGATAGAGCCCATTGTCACATATACACATGAAGACAGACAGACAATAGACCATTAGCGCTCACACACCATAGCCATTCATGTGGTCAAAGCTGTCACTGACGAGGTATGAAGAAGAACTGGAGTTGTTGGATTTGGATGAATGAGATGTAACTCTCTTGGTTAAGTTATTTCCTTTTTTCTGTGTCGCGGTACGGCTCCATTCTGACAATGGAAAAATAGTGATGAAATGAAGAAGTAAATAATCAAACAATACACAAAGATAATAGGTGAGTGAGAGTGTTTCCCCCAATCAGTTCAACCTCACCTGAATTTTCAGCTAGTCTCATTCTTCCACAGCATAGATAGGTTCTCCACTGTCTTCGCACATTTTCTTTTATAGCACAGTGAAATATAAATATAAAAAAACCTACAGGACAAGGAAGACATAATGTAATAAAAAATGTTTCACCTGCCTCGCATTCAGTCTAAAAAACTTGGATCACTTTTGGTAGCCAGTAACCAGTGGCCACTACTAACAGATATTACACCATCACATTTACTCCTTGTAAAACTTTTTTTCCCTGCTTTTAACAAATTTGGTCTAAGTCCATCCAACACAATAAAGAAGAGACATTTCTCATTATGTTATGCCTGACTGGTGTATATTTATCCCAAAAGGCACTCACCTTGTAAAGAGTTGAAGATCGCAAAGAGATACATAAAGGGAAGGTTGAGTGGTCCCCATGCAAAGAATGCAAAGCCCCAGGTGAGGCCAAGGAGTATAGTTATTCCCAGCACGCTCCGGACATCCTGGAGAGTGGTCCGATGCTGTAGGTTCTGTGGGTTCTGCCTCTTTATTCGACACAACTGAACCAAGACCACAACGAACATGATGATGTTGAAGAGAAAAATGACGCAGAAATAGGCCACTACTGCCACATAGAAGGCTATATCATTTTTTATCCAACAACTGTGGAGTAGAGAAAGGACAGAAATTAAAACGATAACACTAATAGTGTAACCATTGCAAATATCACAAGGGAATTTTATGAATATGTACTTATCTATAGATTTTTTTAATGCATTCTAAATGTATACATTATGTGTTTTTAGACTGTGGCATGATTTGATGATGGAATATGTTGGAGGCAATACACGGCAATGGCTAATAGGGATTCTCATAAACATACATACAGACAAACAAACAAAAACAAAATAAATGTGTAGAATATTGTATATCTCTGTTTGCTTAATCTTTATAATAACATTTAAATGGAATTATTCATTTTTCATGTCTTACAAAAATATTTCCTGAAATCCATAGCCAGAATAAAAATGAATAATAAAGGAGAATTTTACAAAACACTCACAATTCATCCGTAGACCCATCTGGAAACTTCCCATAAGACACAAGGCCATAATTGTCTTTGTTGATTGCGATTACAATGATGACCACTATCATAGGTATTCCCCATCCAGCCAATGAGAACTTGAGCATGTAGCGGGATATATAGCTGTTGAACACTTTTACGAGGGCTATGTACATGTGAACAGCCTCCAGCCCCATCCACGTGAACGCCACCAGCAAAAAATAGTGCAGGAACCAAGCAGTGGAGATGCAGAGGCCCACTGCAGCGGGATAGAGAGCCAGCCAAGCATCTACCAGGAACACCAGGTTTAGAAGGAGTAAGGCCAAACACAGCTGGATCAGGATTTTAGAAGGAATGTCTTTACGAAGTTTTCTGCAAAGTGCAATAAGAAAACAAATTAGAGAACATTATTCACAGTATTTAAAGAAGCAAAAATAAATCTTATGGTGCCTTGTATTAATAGTCGTGATTGTATATAATTTCAGTAATATTTTTTCTTGGTCAAACTGACATGCTTACACTCACACTACATGCACCCTGATCTTTATTATAATGTTTCCTCCTTACAAAGTTGAGTTTTGTTTCATTCACACATGTTTAACACACAAACTGAGCATATTTAGATTGAGTTCTTCTCTCAGATTGAAAACACTCTGTTCCTCCTTGTGATGTCATGTGGTAATACAGGCATTGGTTCACCGTGTTTTAAAACTCCATACACCTTTTAAAGGTAGCTGTTAACCTGAAAACTACCACTTCATGACATCACAAGCTGAAACAGAGCATTTTGAGCTACTCAAACAAATGTGAATGAAATAAAACACAACTACAAGTGTATTTTTGATGAAGTAATAATATTATAACATGGCTTAAAGCTCATAAGGGGCAATTTTGCGTAATATAGGACCTTTAAAAGTATTGCATCGCACTGTTTGTTGTTTATGGGTCTGTGGTATTGACATGTAATATTATGACATTTTGATCAAAAATAATGCAGACAGACAGTCGTATGGCACTTACCCAAATGCTAAGTAAGTGAGGAGGGTAACAGCCAGGAATATTGCAGAGATGCCACAGCCAATGTATGTAATGAAAGTAAGGATCGTGGCCTGAACTCGACTGGTAATCTCCCCCCTGGTAGGATCCTATGACAATAAAATACATAAATAATGTTTCATAGTGTCTTTTCATTAAAGCCTTTTATGCGGTTAGGATTACTTACCAGAAGTATTCCGAAACTTGTTAAATGGTTGCAGCCACAAATGGTTTCAGTGTCTGTACTATTGAGGACAGAACATCCTTTTGAATTCCAACCCCCTGATCCACCTGGAAAATAAATATGACTAATATTGTTCTTCTGTTTTTTGTCTATACATGTTCATTAAGGCTATACCTATAATAACCTACCATTAAATGTGAAATCCCAAAAGACACATGAAGCCGCATAATTGGCCTGGAATTAAAAAGAAGAAATTGGAGCACTTAGAGTAATACATGCACAGTGCACACCACCACACAGACATCAAAGTTTACCAAAGGCTTATGTATTTGAAAAGCAACTGTTATGTAAAAAGAGCAGATTGCTATGCTATTTATGTTCTTCCATTTATAAACTACAATGATTGTCAGTACTACTAGTAATGGCAATTTATACACAGATGCACAAATAAAAATAACTTACAGGAATAGGCTGTATGTTTCTTAGGCTAACAATAACTTTGTCCTGCAGTCCAGAGATTGTCACATTGGAAACACTTGCTCCAATTATCCCACTGTTGAGTATTCTTTCCCCCAAATTTTTGTCCTGTAATGAAAAACAAAACAAGACAAAACAAAACAAAAACTGGTTATTTCTGATAGTCTATGTCTGTCACTATTAGCCTATCTTGTTATATCAGGTTGGTGTGGTAGTTTATTAACCTAACCTTCTTGTAATGGTGAAATGTAACAAATACAAAATGTGTCTTTACTTACCTGAAGGACATGAATGAATAGACGTAATATTTATTTTTATTTATTTATTTATTTTTGTACATGTTCCACAGTTGCCCTGATTCTGTTTTGAGTCATGCATTGAACCAGTTTTATTCATGATTGTGGCAGCTTATTTGGTGTGAGTGGTGGTATGGCTAAAATAATCATCAGTGAAATAGTAAACCTGAAATAGTGTGCTCTTTTGGTAGAAGTTGAACTGGACCCTGGAGACCATCTGTCGTTCCTCAGCTGAGAGGTTTTCAGTGAGGTTCTGGGGCAGCCTGACGGAGCCTTGAGGGAGGGAGGAGTCCTGTTTCACAGCACGTGTGCCACTGGACCCCACCTGCAAACATGGGACAGGAGCAGCGCTTATTATAGTTACGGGATGTATTTGTGGAAATAATTATAAAACACTGACAACTAAACATAATATTAATATATACATGTTTATTTAGCATTTATTTACCTCTTAGTGTTCAGGTTAGTCAGAATTTCATTAGTGAAAATGTTGGTACAGTTAAAGTTTTCAGTTTTTGCTAAGATATTTTGTCTATAGGTTTTATGTCCCATTTAGTGGGAACTTCTAAAATAGCTTATTACTGAAATGATAAAAAATTTGAAACATGTTATTACATTTCACATAAAGTTGCCCTGTGTTCTGGTCAGCTCTCCACAAATATGACATTCATCACAATAAGAACAAATGTTTTTCCAGGTTAAAAGAATGGAAGATTATTGTTAAATGAATGCACCAAAGATAATACAATACTATGGAACATTATAAGCAAAGCAACAGGCCTACCATTGCCACAGAGAAAAGCAGATGGCATACCCCACCAGAAAAGTTGCTGTTGTGTGCTGTTGTCAATATTATTTATAATATCAAATAGCCTACCTGCACATTGTTTGGATTTGAGATGGAGAAATATGTTTCCTCAAAGTTTGCCCCGTTTGCCTTTTGTACAGAAAGGGCCACAGCTTCACTCAGGAGGGACTCTGTTGAATTTCTGAGGACCAACTTCTGACCAACTGTATCAACTATTCTCATGATTCTAAAAGAGACATGAGAATAGTTGATACATATTACCTTATTATTGCCTTCAATATTGTCACAAACTCTTGTACATGTATTGTTCAGAATACATAATAACCAGACCTGTTTTTGGAGTTGAACACTGCTTCCAGAGTTGCATTTTGAAGATTGCTGACGATTTTTACACTGGTGTTTCCTAGTGCCACACTGACATTTGGCCCTGAAAGAAGATTTTCTAGTGCTGACACTAGTTTGTCAATTTCACTGGAGGTCAGCTTAGAGGCATCTTTGGTCTGTTCCAGTAGTTTATTAGCTTCTGCCAAGTTGTCTGCTCAATAGATAATCATATAAAAAGGGGGACAGAAGATTAAAACATAGGCCTAGTACAAAGACCATCAAACAAACTAATGCAATTAAAAGTAATTTAAGTAAATTAAGTAATAAATGCACATTAGTCTATAAGTGACAAGAAATGTGGCTCAAATGACCAGAGGAAAATAGTAATAATTGTGTTGATTTGTTGGATAATGAATTTAGTTAATTACCTGTACTTGGACGACTCTCATATGCATTACTAAGAAAAAAACAATAATCATAGTTAAAATGTTTATCACAAATTCACATACAAATGACATTTACAAATCTTACCATGTTTGACTTGTTGGTTCTGTATAAAAGCAGACATCTTCTGTAGTATTACGGCATGTGTCATTTTGATTTGGCAGAAGACCTTACATGGGAAAAGACAATATTATGGACCAGTTTGTATATATTAGGAGACTACAATATTAATTATTATTAAAGTTATGATATACAATAGCTATTTAAAATATTGTGATGGTATCTGTGCTAGTTTTTACCTCCTCTTCCTGCGCATTTCCATACCATGCTGAAGTTGGAGGATGATATATTGGCTGAACAGAGAGTCTTCAGGATGCAACAAGGGTCAACATTCTCTTCCAGTGTCAAAGACACAAAACAAGTGGTCTTTCTGAACAAATAAACAAATAATGGTATGGTGGGACTATTATAGCTTAACATCATTTAGTTAAAAAAAAAGGGAACAAATCTTACACAATAGATGTTTTGTCAACACAGTCTAGCTCAAAATCCTGCAAAAAATCCAAAGAGATATTGATTCATTTGTTATAGGTGCATTTAATATTTTCTTATAGGTGCACTATGGAGTGTCCATCACCTGCTTGTTTTCATGGAGATGTTATTACTTACCTAGACTGTTCCACAGTATGGCATTAAATGTTTCCATCACCATGGAGACAAACATATGACACCACTAGACACCAGAATTTAAAGATCAGATCTGTGGAAAGGTGACCTCGACTCAGTAAGCACGCATTTCTTTCAAGTAGAAATGCAATGAAAAGTAAAATGCCATACTGAGGAACATTCCAGGGAAAGCAATGGCATCTCCATGAAGGCAAAAAGATAACCGAACCCCACCAGAAAAGTTACAAGTGTACCAAAAATCCTGTTGTTGCTCGAGCCAGCCGTACGAACTTCACAGAGTTTGAGTTGGGATTATTTGATGGTTTCTCCTTTGACACACCTGTAACTGCTGTAGTGACATCCGACATTGAGGTTATCACATCTGTAATTGATGTGCCAGCAGTAGTTGTGTCTGGTTTTGGCGTTGCTGAACTTGTAGTAGGAGTAGTACTGGCAGGTGCACCTGTAGTAATTATACTTGTAGTAGAACTGGCAGGTGCACTTGTAGAAATTGTACTTGTAGTAGTAGTACTGGCAGGTGCATTTGTAGTAACTGCACTTGTAGTAATACTGACAGGTGCACTTGTAGTAATTGCACTTGTAGTAGTACTGCCAGGTGCACTTGTAGTAACTGCACTTGTAGTAGTACTGGCAGGTGCACTTGCAGTAACTGCACTTGTAGTATTACTGACAGGTACGCTTGTAGTAACTGCACTTGTAGTATTACTGACAGGTACACTTGTAGTAACTGCACTTGTAGTATTACTGACAGGTACGCTTGTAGTAACTGCACTTGTAGTATTACTGACAGGAACGCTTGTAGTAACGGGAGTTGTAGCAGTGTTCTCAGATGTTCTCACTGTAGTAACTGCACTAGTAGCAGTGCTACTAGTATCATTGGTAGTTGTATAATTTGTTATGTTTGGTTCTGATGTGGTCATCATACCAGTGCTTGTAACCAAAGTACTTGTTGAGATGGTGGGTGTTGTTGTATTGACAGAAGTCCCACATGTTTGTAGATTGCTTTCGAGCATTGGCTGAAGCTGAAACAAATATACAACACAAATCATATGACTATTATTATATTTATAAAAAAATATATATGTTACTTTGATTTACATACCCAGGCAATAATGTCCTGTTGATTTGTTTCTGATGCTGTTGATTCCACTGTGACTTCAATAAAATATAAATTTCCTGCAATAAAAATACAAACAGTTACATAACCATAAAATAAATGAAATGTTTTGTATTTGTATTTTACTGCTATCTGTCTATCTTTTCTGGCAGTTTTACCTTGACTAGTCTCTGCAGAGACAGGAACTGCAAAACCTGTGAGGGGGAAAAAGCATCATCAACAAGACAAATTCTACACAGGGTTTTAGAATGATAAAAATTTGCAACATTATCATGGCAATAAACAATTCAAAACTAAATATAATTTGAAGGGTGAAGTGAATAAATGGGAAGCTGAACCCTTTGAATTGCACTATCCTGCAATGACAAAAGTACACTACCAGTCAAAAGTTTGAACTCACCCTTTCATTCACTGTTTATTCTATATGGTGACTACTTTCAGCATTTGATATACATACAGAAGACATCAAATACTGTATATGAAGGAGAAAGTATGGAATTATGTAGCAAATTAAAACATTTTATATTTTATGAATCTTCAAAGTAGCCACCCTGTACTTGAAAAATGTAAAGAGAAAAACCCTGTAGATGAAAAATTGTTATTTAACTTTTTCTCTTTATTAAATAATTCCATATATTTGTCATTATATATTTTATGTCTTCTGTATGTACCTACAGTATAGAAAGTAGTAAGAGAAAAGGAAAAAAAAAAAAAAAAAGAATGAGACATTGTGTCTAAACTTTTGACTGGTTGGTTAAACAGCAGCCGTCAAAAGTTTCTAATTTGACAATTTGGTTATAAAACATGAAAACAAATATTTAAAATAGAGTTATTTAACTTTTTTCTTTTTTGCATAATTCCATATATCTTACTTCATATATTTGATGTCTTCTGTATTTATATCAAATATAGAAATTCATTAACAAATAGAAAAAAACATTGAGTAAGAGTGTGAGTCCAAACTTTTCAGTCTATAATCAGCTTTTATCTACTCATCAGATTAAGAGTGTCTTGAAAATAAGACCATCAAAAAGTACACAAACACACAACACAAAATCTTTACAGCAAATTTGGTCTGTCAATTACACCCTCTCTTCTTGTTAGCAAAAGACAGTATCAAACAAAAGCTATATTGCATATGATACAGTAATAATGTATTGTTATGTGGAGTTACCTCCACATGGAAACTGTATTACTGTGACGTCTATGCTTTAACAACAGAGACTCGAAGAACAGGTTGTGTTCTCTTAAAAATTGTAAGAGCATGGATGAATGCACACATTACAAAGCTGGGCTGGTATGTGAGGGATGAGACTTTTAAAAATAGAACTTGTTTAGGCAGAGGTAAACTACCTTACCTAACAAGCACGGTCATAGGACACATTTTACCTGAACATAGCACGAGAACCAGGTGTATCCACAAATACTGTGGGAAAGAAAATCTAGAAACAACAAGGAAATAAATTAGTAATATATCTGGTTTGTACCCAAAAAGAATAAATAAGATAAAAGATTAAAAAAAATAATAATAAAATAAAATATTTTGACTTGTTTTTATTTGCATTTATATCTAATGTTAGTCACATTGAATCTAGAATTTTAAATGTTTTAGCATTATCAGGGTGGTAGACTTGGTCACACCTAGAGATATAATGTATTACAGAAGGACAAACACAGGTCCCTGAATAGAAAGACAAATATTATCGTAATGTTTTTCATTAAACTGCAGTTACACACTTTAGACTAGACTGTATGAAGCTTTCACTAGTGTTTCACTAAATGTTGCATAATATAATGTCTATGTAATATACTTTTAGCATTCAATTACAAATCAGCAGAATTGATTATGATTGCATATTGAACAGATAACCATATAAATTAACAAATTTATCTTTCTATTTTCGTATATTATGATTCAGTGCCTATAACATATTGATTGATCCACATTCATAGAGAGAAGGCTCTACCTGAGAGGCAGGACCACCGTGTGCTGGGAACGACCCACTCGGGATTTGACATCTGCAGATTTCATGGCTTTCTTCTCATTTTGGTGAAGCATTAAAAGGTAAAATCCAAAAAGTAAAATCCACAGACTAGAAGTCTAGCTTCAGTTTTTTGCCACAAGAAGTCAGTCTTCACACCTGTTTAGTTTGCTCACAATTGTACAACTGTGATTTTCTCTTGAGATTGTTACCTGTTTAAGGTCCACCCCCAAAATGGTCAACAGGTACGTCAACTTCTTCTGTCAAAATCTGTCTCTATATTCAGCTTTTGTGTAGGATTGAATTTATTTCAAAAGCATTTGACGCATAGTACGCTTAGTATTTTGTATGATACAAACACATATTAATTCAATAATAGTTGGTTAGTATTTGACTTTATTCACACGTCAAGGTGCGCCGCAGGGTGTGTCTGAATAGGTTTCCACGGAGACATTCAGAAATACTTCAAAGTCTGTGCGTTGAGAAATGTCTGTGTTGCGTCACAAGTCACGCACCAAACTCTTTGTGTGGCTGTCCTCTCCTGCACCTGATGCCCGAGTTTGAATAGGCGGAACTGGTCATACCAACTAATTGCAAAGCCTATTATTACAGATCCTTTTTGGTAATTGTTTCACATGTAACTACCTCATACATTTGGGCTACACCCTATAATCTGTACTGATCTAATCTGTGCAAATAAAGCAAACTAATTATGTTTCCTGTGAAATGAAATGACCTAAATTTAAGTTCAGTGGAAAAAAATATATAATTTGACTATGTTGTTTTTAAAAGAGTATTCAGCTTGTGTTTTGTATATTGTATTGTATTTATTTTTCCATCTGCACATCCGTCCAGGCGTAGGCTGGTAGCTTGTGTTTCTTCGTGTCAGTTTCAGTCATGATGAGTCATGGACTCGTTAAAAAATGGCCTTAAACAAGAACGTTGGCATGTAGTTATATGCATGCACACAAGGGGGTGCTACACATACACAAAAAACACTAAATAGCCTTTGTGAGAGGCCATGCTATTGTTTGCCAGTGAATATTGTGACATCTGTAAGTGACAAAATGTACTGTATTAACCAGTCAAATGTCATATATTTTTAACAGGTGAAATGAGCATGTAGCACCTATAGAGCATTTCAAGATATGACAAAGCCATCAAACTACATTTTCACCTTTTCTGTTTTGCAAAAAGACCTAACCCTTCTGGAGTTTCAGTTATATCTCTGATGTAGGAACAAAGCTTAACCAGGAACAAATGTTATCTAGTGCAAAGGCTGTCTTGGCAGTTTGGTAAACTGTCTGCTCCCTTTGAGCTATAAAATAGAACATATTGTGACCACCAATTTTAGGGAGGTGTGTTAATGTTCCCTGACCATAAAAGGTCAGTAGAGTTCTGTCCTTGTGCTCCCCCTGATCAAAGCTGTGCCTCTTTATCACATTATTCATCAATCAGTTTTGATGAAGTGAGCATTTGTCTGGATTTACAAAAGCATATTGTTATGCAACTCAGTTTAACTCAATATATGATGTCTAATCCCCTCTTCCCATATTTGGTCTCCCTCCAGCATTCACTAATGGTTATTATATTATGCAAAATAAGTCCATTGTCTAAATATAACCCCTAAAGATTAATTATATTTAGGAGTATATATTTATTACAGAAGTTGTACACAGTAAAATATTTACAGTAGAAGACAAATAAAATACACAATCTTATTCTTATAAAATTCATGCTCCTAATGAAATACTTATTTGATAAGAAAATAAGCAGAATATCACAGATAAAATGTCCATACTGTGCAATCCACTGTGTACATTTGTTGTTAAGTTTTCCAAACATTCCAAACTTCAGGAATACTGGCCCCACAGGGTTGTCCTATGAGTACAAGCTCCAGTAAATGATGTTGAAAAGGAGGTAAGTGAGGGGGAAGATGACTCTGGAATAGGAGTCGATCATGTAGCTGTTGCTCATGATGAAGCTGAGGTGGCGTTTTAAAGGTGGTTTACAGCGGAGCCTTGTGCCCTCTGTAGGGGTGGAGACAGTGGAGTTACGTGCCCGAGTGTTCCTCTCTGTGTTTGGGCTACTCTCTGGGAAAGAGGTCAAGTCTATGTCATTGTCATGGAAACAGCCATCAAAAGCCATGGCCTGTGTGTTGTTGAAAGAAGCAGGCACCTGTGAGGGAAATCATCTCAGTCATACACAATCAACGCAATGTAGACAATGAAATATACTTATGCCATAGGATGAAGTGCTACAAAATGTAGGTGTAATCTGACAGTAAACAGTACATCTGACAGTACACTATACTGTGAGAACACAGAAAGCTTCCTGACTTGGTTTAGGCCTTAATGTAGTTTCAACCTTGTTAGGTCTAATCTTGTCCATCCTTGTTATTCTGGTGTAGTCCTTGTTTAATCCAGTTTCACAGGATGTTTGAACAAGCTTTAGCTGTGTATTAAAAATAGAATACTACCTGATTCTGAATGATTGTTTAATCTCTTGATAAAAGAAAACTTAAAGCAGTTTTAATAACTTAACTGCATAGTTTTTTGTTTTGTTTTTTTGTACATGTTACAATCACCATATTGACAAATAGTCATCATATTTGCCATGTTTTTATAGTGTTGTTATTTTTGTGATAGACAAACTGATTAACATAATCTTTCCAACCTTTGCTCGTTTAAGTTTCTTCATCTCTTCCACTGTTGTGAAGTAGTTGACTGCTGCATACTCGATGACAGACAGGAATACAAACAGGAAGCTGGCCCAAAGATAAATGTCCACAGCTTTGACATAAGACACCTGTGGCATGGAGGCGGACACACCAGTAATGATGGTGGACATGGTCAGGACTGTGGTGATGCCTGGATACACAAAAAAAGTTTATATATGTGTGTGTGTGTGTGCGTATATATATATATATATATACACACACACACACACACACACACATCTTACATCTTATATACATCTTACAAAGACCATCTTGATTAATATTTCATTAATTGCAGTGTCCAACATAGCAGTCGACAGTATCTAGTAACTTGCTATTGCAACCACAACTACCATCTTCATTGTAATGAAACACGTTTAAAGCACTAGAATACAACACAATGGTAATACTATTTTATTGACCACATATTAATTGTTAATTAATAATAAAAGCATAACAAATGCTTAATGACTTCTCTGTTAGTACTTATACTTTTTTTGTTTAAGGCCATTATTTTTTCCCCATTAAAATGTTTCATTAGCATTATCATTAAAAGACGCTTTTGAACATACACAATAATCTTAATAAGCATGAATAAATATTTTATAATTAATAGCTGAGTAATCATAATTAGCATACTATTTAATACTAATATGTAGACCCTAAACCAACAAAATGTTAATATATATTTTATAAAAGGCTGTAAAATAACTAGTTTAGTCTACCTAGAGAGACTCGTGCCGGTACAGCCCTCCGGTCAATCCAAAAGGACACCCAGGATAGCATGACCATGAGCATTGTGGGAAAATACGTTTGTAGCATGAAGAAGAAAATGTGCCTCCTCAGAATAAAGTTTATATAGAGCCGATTGTACCACCCTGCAACAGACAGAAAGACAGCAGAGCAGTGAAATAGATGTGAAGGACATATGTAAACAGATTACTAGTCGCCAATGTGTCTTGGGCTGGTGTTATGTAATAGATGGCCTGATGACACATGTTCTTTGGAGATTATTTCAGACTCACTTTTCCTTCCATAAGACAGAAATGTGACAGCAAAGAGGTGGTGTTTAAAAATAAAAAAGATGAAATATGCATTGCTAAAAGAAGTGAGCACAATATACTTGTAGATAAGATAACTTCTTATTTACAGGTACATCCCAAAGATTAGAATATCATAAAAAATTTAAATATTTTTTGCCTCTTATTTAAAAAGACCAAACCCATATATTATATAGACTCATGACATGTAGAGTGAAACATTTCAAGAGTTAATTTCTTGATTTTTTTTTATGATTATGGCTAACAGATAATGAAAATTATATTTTAAACAGAAATGTCAGGCTTCTGAAAAGTGCTGTGGCTACCACATTTTTTCTTCTTTCACTCAAGTTTTTATGAATATGCTTGGATACAGCATTCTGTGAACAACCAGCTTCTTTAGCAATGACTTTTTGAGGCTTACCCTCCTTGTGGAGGGTGTCAGTGACTGTGGCTCCGGAAACCATTGCAAATGTTTTGAGCTAATGAGCTTTAGTAAGGCTAATTAAGATAGTGGATTAGTATAGTACAATTAAATGTTATGAAGTTCTAAACCCATCATTTAATTAATAGTAATAACAAATTCAGTCAGTCAGTAGTGAAATATTATAAAATGCAATTTCTACTATATACAGTAATTTTGAAAAATCTATATTTTTCTAGGCTATTGCTTGATTGCTTGAGTAAATAATATGATATTGTTTATCCCAGAAGCAGAGGCGTCATACATACCAGTGCTGCTGTAAAAGGCGAGCCCGAAGGAAGGCTGGAAATCTTCTATGAAAAACTGTGACAGCACCATCTCATCCGTCCTCAAGGAGTCATTCCCATTCTTCCAGTAGAGCATGAGGTCGTTCTCATTGTAAGCATCTTTAACAACATGGGGAAACAAGGTCAGACTTTGTAACGCAGCTATTCAAGTAATAATTCTTCTCCTCCACATGGATCCATGCATCATCCAGTGTTAGATCAGATCTCTTTAAATAACAATCAAAAATAATCAGATTTACCCATCACTTGTGTAAAATGGTAATGTGGGCCACACTAATGGGGTTATTAGTGTGGCAACACAGTATAGTGTGTTTTATAAGAGCAGGTACACGCAACTGATAGTAAACATTATGTGATAAAACACATACATAAATGAAGTAGCTTTTTACTTACAGCTTTCCAGCTCCAGTGAGCAGTTCTGTGTGTCCAGTGGGAAACTACTGAAGTCCATTGAACACAAAGCAGTCACTGTGATCCTAAAGAGCAATGCAAGTGGACAGTTAATATTGTGGACAAGAAGAAGCCCTTAAAATCGCATAGAATAGATTACCTGCAATATTTATGAAACATTTACCAAAAAATGTACTTAGTGTTTGTTTATCCTTTGTACATTTAATATTAGGATATGAGCATATTAACTAGATTTTAATATTTTCTATATTTTGGATGTGTATATATATATATATATATATATATATATATATATATATATATATATATATATATATATATATATATATATATATATATATATATATATGTGTGTGTGTGTGTGTGTGTATATATATATATATATATATATATATATATATATATATATATATATATATCAGAATGATTGCAATATTGACTGATAAATTGTATAGAACTATGTTTTTCTGGTCCACAATGTGATGGCAGGCTTTCCACAAGCTGTCACTGAGACGCCATATTGTCAACATCTGTGGCTGAAAGAGACCTATCGGCTGTGGTGGGTCATGTTACAGGGGCTGGTAAGCTCTTCTAAATGCACTGACCGCTCTGTGTGCTTTTTAATAGTCTGGTTACATAGACTGACATGTTTGCCTACCTGACATTAGAGGTGGGAGAGAAATTAAAATCTGAACAATATCTCAAATTAAAATATCAAGTATATTGTCTAAAATGTAATTAAAACTAAACTATTAAAAAGAAGCATGCATCCAACAAGGGTGTAAAGTGATATTTCAGTCCTTTTGTGGTGTCTGCATTTCCAAAACTCAAAATGCTCTATTCTCTGAACTGCTCCAAAGCTCTGTCATGAAGCAGTAGTTTTCCAGTTAACAGCTACCTTTTCCTTTAGTTCAGATGAGACTGGAAATTCCAGGACTGAAATGATCCAAATGATTGTGAAGATGGTTGGAGAATAAAACTACAGTGGCGCACTTCCACAATGTGACAACACAAAGTGGAACGGAGTGATTAATCGCAGTTCGAGTGCAATTAATCGCGATTAATCGCGATTAATCCCATGTTATACGCAAAACCAATTAATGAATTAAAAAGTAGCGTATAGCGCACTTTTATTGGACATGTAAATGAAAGAGCCACACATTTGTCATGCAAACAGCATTTCTTTCAGAGGGGAACCAACCATCAGAGCCTTCAATGTATTCTGAAGGCTCAAGAAAAAATATTGAATGAATTTTTGTACTACTAATATATTTTTTCAGTATTTTTTTTAATTCAGTGAGTAATAAACACTACACTAGTAATAATATCTAGATCATAGTTATAAACTTGGACTGATATTTCTTGGGAAACAAAGGTTATTTACAAACTTTTATAAGTTAATATAAAGTAACGGAAATGGACCAATCACAATTTTTCTCTCCCAGCAGTGCTGAACCGGTGGCTAGAACGAAGTTTGAGATTGACAGTTGTCTTAACCAATCATCTTTCATTGAGTTATGGGCAGGATCATGTCACGAAATCTTGTAGACCTTCTTGAATACCCTGTAATAGCATTATGCAAGAGACCGCAGCAACGAAAACCGCACTGGACACCTTTATCCGGACGCCTCAGCGGCGTCTGGAAGAAGGAGAAGACAAAGACCCGTGAACCAGAGCACGACCCCCGGTCAGAGCTAGGAGCCCGCGGAAGCTCAGAGCGCACGGCTATATACATATACATCATATACATATACATATACATATGTATGTATGTATGTATGCAGTGTTGTGCAAGTTCACACTTTTCATGAACTAGTTCAAAAGTTCAGTTCACACTTGTTCAAAGTGAATAGTTCCCGTTCATAGTTCACAATTTTAATTTTGAACTAGTTCAAAGTTCAGTTCATTTTATATTTAGATGAGATCTGTAAATGAAAGGCTGCATTTATTTTTCAAACTGACTTCTAGTTTACAACAACTTACAACAAGATACACTGTTGGACAAGTGACTTTAAAACTGTAATGTGTTATTTATGACTTGTTACTGTCATTTCAAAGTCATTTGTTACATTACAATATTACTGTATTTAAAATGTAAAACATTACACGACTATTGCAGCACTTTTAATTTACTCTCACCAAAAGAACTGTTAAGATGCTGAACTTTTGCGCCGTATATGGACTGAACCAGGACTGAACCAGGACTAAACCAGGACTAAAGCAGGACTAAACCAGGACTAAACCAGAACTGAACCAGGTCCAAACCAGGACTAAACCAGGTCTAAACCAGGACTAAACCAGAACTGAACCAGGTCTAAACCAGGACTAAACCAGGTCTATACCAGAACTGAACCAGGACTAAACCAGAACTGAACCAGGTCTAAACCAGGACTAAACCAGGTCTAAACCAGAACTGAAGCAGGACTAAACCAGAACTGAACCAGGTCTAAACCCAGACTAAACCAGGTCTAAATCAGGACTGAACCAGGTCTAAACCAGAACTGAACCAGGACTAAACCAGGACTGAACCAGGTCTATACCAGAACTGAACCAGGACTAAACCAGAACTGAACCAGGTCTAAATCAGGACTAAACCAGGTCTACCCCAGAACTGAAGCAGGACTAAACCAGGACTGAACCAGGACTGAATCAGGTCTAAAACAGGAATAAACCAAGACTAAACCAGGACTGAACCAGAATTGAACCAGGACTAAACCAGGTCTAAACCAGAACTGAACCAGGACTAATCCTGGACTAGAACTTGGAATCTAGGACCGCCCCTAAGAGAACCCCGAGTGCGATCGGGCGTCAGCTGCGTTTAGTTCGGTGGAGCGCGGACGTCTGCGTCGGTCCTTTCGCTCAGGATCACGGTCTACGCGGGCGCACCTCCGGCGTTTCACCGCTGCTGATATCGCGGTGATTTTAGCAAATTTGTATGAATAAAAACGAAAAACCCACCATTTCAATCCAGGTTAAAAAAGCATTGTGACGCGCGTTACTGACATATGTGCCAAGTAAAATAATACGCGCGCGGAGCAGCACGTCCTGTGCGTGTAGATTTTCAGAAAATAGGATCCATCCTATTTTTTGACGCTCTACACGAGCGTAGGCGCGTATCCCCGTCAAAATACACAGAGAGCATGTATCTATTGTTGTATTTGTGCATTTACCATCAGCACATTGTGCTCCCTGGGCAGTTGTGTATCATGTGAAAGAGCCCAGATCCACATAGACTGTTAATTAGTGCTTTGAAATTTACTTTTGAAATCCTTGCGTTTGCCGTGGTCAGCCTGTACAGAAGGTAAATACAAGCAAGTAAACGCGCCCAGTCAAGTTTGATTGACTTCCCATTGAGAGACACAAGAGCCCGTACGTTCCGCTAAAGCTGCCGGTGGAGTCGCCTTCGCGTTGACACGCGGCTGTGGTTTCGTCAGGTGAAGTGCGAGCAGATCGTCACTCACGTCAGGTGAAAACAAATTCCGACGTTTAACTGAACCCCAACAGTGACGTACGTCGTTCATCACACATAATTTGAACAAATTCACGTTCAAGTTCTTGATTTACAAAAGTGTTGCGTTCAGTTCAAAGTTCACTGAAAAATGAACGTGTTCAATAGAACGCGTTCTTTTGCACAACATGTATGTATGTATGTATGTATATATATATATATATATATATATATATATATATATATATATATATATATATATATATATATATATATATATATATATATATATATATATATATATATATATATATATATATATATATATGTTTGTCAATGTGACCCTCTCCTACCTGACACTGTAGAGGATGTGGCCATCTGGATACACCCTCAGCATGATGTTCTCCATGGTGGTGTCATGGATGAAGGAGCGTTTGGAGTGGACAAAGAACACATCAGGAACCCAGATCTTCTTCACAAGCCGTGCATCAAAAGTCCGACTCTTGTTGCTGCTGGAGGGGAAGGCCAGGCGGATGTCCTGCCAGTAATGCCTCAGGTATAACGTCATGGTGAAGTCCTACAATTATATATATATATATATATATATATATATATATATATATATATATATATATATATATATATATATATATATATATATATATATATATATATATATATAAAATCAAAATCAAAACATTAACCGCACACACAGACAAGTCCAAGTAAAAGTTACTGAAGGTAGTTCAAATTTTAACCAAGGTGTCAGTTATAATTCTGTTATGATCAGCTGCATAACATGAAGCACTACACAGAATAGAGGGTTTGTTGTGACACTAGCACTATTGTATATTTTACTCTGTGTTGATATTCTAGTATTAAATTATGAATATTTTCAGTTTCTACAAATTTCTGGTGACCAGGAAGACATCCACAAGAGCCATAGCTTTAAACAAGATCTTAACCAAAAATGAAGCACTTGTAAAACATGTAACTTATTATGCCTTTTGGAATAATTTTTTTTTAAATTAAACCATAACATATTCTTTCATATTTTTTTTTTATTTTAAACCACAATATTTATCTAAAACAGATGAAACAGTTCTCTTTACTTTCTGTTCAAAACTAGAGAAGGCATGGTTCTACACATGAACATGACCCAGATTCTGAATTTTTCAAATAAGTACAGAGAATGCTATAGAGCAGTGGGCGGAGATAGGGGATATAAGTGAAAACTGAAATACAGGACAATGCAAGATCATTTACCATGTTGACTTCAGATATGCTGTCAATACTCTCTACCTGAACGTCTATGCCCACAGGGAGGGCTCCACCTGCAAAAGATTAAAGATAAAGTAGTGAGATTGCATTCACACGCTGAAATGTCATAGATGTTTATGTGTTAATCCTAAACTATATGAAATGTGTTTTAGAGACGGCAAATCTAAAGATCTAAAGAAAGAAGCATTATACTGGTCCAGTATGAATCATCAGCTTTACTATCATCCTCCTAATCCTCTGAATCATGTAGTTACATCACACACTGACAGCTATTGTTGCAACACTCAACACTTGTACTTGTTTAGTTATTTTCTCTTTTTGCCACACAAGAAGCTTACAACACAGAATGCATAGATTAAATATGATATATAGGCAGCTGTATGCCACAAGTAGAAAAAATAGAAGTATTCTGTAATCCTAAATTTCAAAGATTTTTTTTCCATCAATCTCATCCATCCATTTTCTTCTGCTTATTCGGGGCTGGGTCTTGGGGGCAGCAGTCTAAGCAGGGACACCCAGACTTCCTTCAGCCCAGACACTTCCTCCAGCTCCTCCAGGGGACCCCAAGGTGTTCCCAGGCCAGCCGAGAGACATAGTCCCTCCAGCGTGTTCTGGGTCTTCCCTGGGGCCTCCTCCCGGTGGGACATGCCTAAAACACCTCCCGAGGGAGGCGCCTAGGAGGCATCCGGAACAGATGCCCAAGCCACCTCAGCTGGCTGCTCTCGACGTGGAAGAGCAGCGGCTCTACTCCGAGCTTCTCCTGTGTGACTGAGCTCCTCACCCTTTCTTTAAGGGACCATCCAGCCACCCTTTGGAGGAAACTCATTTTAACCGCTTGTGTTCAGCCGATCTTGTTCTTTCGGTCATTACCCACATTACCCCATGACCATAGGTGATGGTAGGAATGTAGATTGACCAGTAAATCGAGAGTTGAGCCAAAAGGCAAAGCTCTCTTCACCACAACAGTCCGGTACAGCGACTGCATCACTGCAGATGCTGCACCGATCTGCTTGTCAATCTCACGCTCCATCCTCCCCTCACTCGTGAACAAGACCTGGAGATACTTGAACTCCTCCACTTGAGGCAGGGACTCTCCACCCACCTGCAGAGGGCAAGCCACCTTTTTCTGTCGAGAACCATGGCCTCGGGTTTGGAGGAGCTGATCTTCATCCCAGCTGCTTCACACTCTGCAAACCGCCCCAGTGCATGTTGTAGGTCCTGGCTTGATGAAGTCAACAGGCCATTCTATCCCTTACACCCTGATTTTTTTTTCTAATGCAAAGAGTTTTAAGGTATAATTGACATCTTAGTTGTTAATATGATTCTATGTTTTATGTTATATTATCGTGATGGGTGATATTTCAGTTCCAGTATCAATATCGGCCGATATTGACTCACTGTTATCGGTATCAGATGATAGTGTCATTCGATACTGATATATTTTGCACAGCCTCATTCTCTGAGAGCCCTATTTGAACAGATTAATGAGTAAAAATAGAAATAGTGTTATATAAAGCTGTTTGTAACAAATTATTTAATTTTCCAGATAAACACATTTTATTATTATTTTTACAAATGTGAAAAATGATCTTTACTGCAACTTAAGAGAAGGTTGTGGACCTTGCTATGGATTTTAGAAGTTAAATATTAGTTTTGGCTATAGCAGCAGACCAAATATCAAATAACTGTATTGGTGATTATTTAAAACATTTATCGTCCCATTCAGTCTTTTAAAATAGATTCCGCAAAGGAAAAAAAAGTAAAAAAAAGTAAATCAAAGATTCTGCTAATCTTGTGGCATACCAGCTGCCTGTATTATATGTGAGCAGGAGCAGTGCCCTTTTGTCCCGCTGCTGCAGAATAACACAGTGAATGTTTAGTGTGCTATAGACAGCATGTTCTCTGTGCCATTATCTAATGAAGATCAGAGGATTACAGCCATACAGATGTATTAAAAGCCTGTCCATTTTTACAAAGATGACTTGCATTATATATTACTGATCTGCCAAATTAGACTGAAAAATAGTATTTCATATGACAAAGCTTTGTTCACAGGGAAAGTGTGGTTAGTACTGACAGTAACATTTCAAACTAATATGCCTGAATTCAGTAACCTTTAGTTACTCCTGCTTATTCTCTGGATGTTCTAGTCTCTTCATTTTCCATTTTCTGTGTGTAATCTTTGCAAAACTTAAGCAGTTTTCTAAAACAGTAGCATTTCATTTCCTCCCCAGAGATTTAGACAGTTTTATCTGTTCTACTGGGTGCAATCATTGTCTCACACAGCACAAAATCTAGGTCACCGAGTTTTTCGGAGGCATAATACCAAAGATAACACGGTAACCTACTTTAACCTTATAGAGGTAGCCAGACAATACATACAATAAAAAAAAATAAATAAACCAAAACAATAAATAATAGGCGTGAATAATGGGCATATTTTCTACTTTGAAAATGTCTATGTAGGGCTGTGCAATAAAATAATAATAAATGAGATCAAGCTTCAGTCATTTCTAATAGTCAGTCATCCACTTGACTCTTTTTAATCAATTAATCCACATCCTATTCTTTATCAGTAAAGGCTTATGGTTTAAGCATTTGACTTAGACTTTTTATTTTGTTTTAAGTGGCAATTATTAACATTCTCTCTAGTTTATGTTAGGGAACTAAGCCATTTGTTTTTCTTAATAAGACAAAGTAAAATCAAATTGTAAATTGTGACTCCTGTGTCCACTTGTAGAGTGTTAAGAATCTCACCTCCAAATCCTGGTCGCATTGCAAAGTCATGATCCTCTATTCGAAGCAGCTGCTCAGACTTAATTAGCATTGACTTGGTGCTGTCGAGTTTTTTCATCTTAGGATCCACTCGTCTGCAAAACAAACAATATACGTTGTGGAACTTTGCCCCACTCTTTTGAATACACTTGAACAGACATCTGGTGTGGGAATTAGTGCTGCTTTATTGGACTTTAGCACTGTGATTAAAAGGAAAAGCCTGAAGGAAATTAAACATAGATACTGATCTGACAGACCTCTAACAAATTAGGGCAAGAACAATGTATCAGAAAACCATTTTTTTCCCACCAGCTTGCCCTTTGACTCACAAATTTTAACCAGTATCTGCCCTCTTTTAAGAACCTTTTGGAATAAAATGTAGGGCTTATATCAACACATTTTTAAACTGTCAGAGGATTTGTCAGTTTAATTTATATAACAAGTATGACACAACTTTCCCTCAAGAGACTTCAATTTTAATCTGCTCAGATCACAGCCTCACACAAATTAATTGTATGATGTGAAGTATAACTACATGCACTATTACATAAATGCCCTGGCAAAACATAATCAAAAAAGCTTTTTGAATTTGTAAATTTTGTTATTTACAAATTTGATTTTGTTATTGCTTTATCAATGGTGTCTGTGACCTTGCATGATCCTGTAACCTGTGCTGCCCTCTTCAATCCACTTTCACTATAATGCGAAAACATCTTAATTACTAGAGTTATGCAACCACATTGGCAGAATAGTAAAGGCGTGTTACACTCAGAATTTTAGGTGACTACCAACACAGATATCTAGTCTAGATGTCATCTTTGCTTACCCAGCATGCTTCTGCTTGACGGTGTCTCCCAGGTAGTGCTCCTTGTGCCTCCTCTTGAAGTGGCCAGTGTTGAGCTGCGTCACAGGCCACAGTCCAGCCATGCACATGAGTCTGAGGGCCAGCAAAACCACTCTCATGGTGAGGACCCAGAGCAACCCTTACACCTCGTCAGTGCCTATCCCAGGGAGGTGGCTCCACTGCCTCTGTCCCCTCACTGCGTCCATGTCCCATCAGCTGCGCTCATTCTGTCCCGAAACGCACACACACCAGCTCATTTTGGCTAGATCTGACTCTCTCATCTCCGCAGACATGCAGAACATCAGTTGTGTGTGCAGCGCTTAAGATCCAGGCATCCCCGGGTTCATGCTGATTGTCACTGTGTCATCCCCACATGCTTACGTCTCCGGACACAGCATGGCATTGTCCCCACCCCTCCATCTAAAACCAAATATCAATTTATTCCCATAATGACAAAGGAATACCATTAATTCTCTCTAATCTTCTTATCTGTGGTTGGTGAAATCTTTTAGTAACCTACAAACAGGAGGCAGCAGGGGGCGGGGAAAGGGATAATGCCAACGGTCGTTTCATCATCGTTCTGTATCTGCTGACAGTGGATCAAGTGCACTGGAGCCTGGTACAACTCTTAGTGAGGGAGGAATGACCAATCCCTTTCACTCAAGACAGATGTAGCACTGGCATATGCTATAGTCAGAAGACACTTAGACCGCCCACAACACATTCCTGACAGCCACATGTCTCTATTGGCAAAAACAGTATTGGATATTTCAACATGATGAACTGTATTTAATTTACCCCACTTTTATATATTTTATATATATTTTATTTATTTATGTACCATTATTACTGATATTTTATTAATATAGGTTTGTTGTTGTTCAGACCTAAACAATCATTTTTTTAATATTTCTGCCTCAAGGAGTAAAAAGTTTGATTTGGTGATTTGGCAATGGTTTCTGGTCCGTTGTCTTGAGATCCAGAATGTAATTATGAACATTTAGTAACATTTAGTAAGAATACAAAACAGTCTGATTGTGAATAAAATAAAGTGAATGATAAAATAAAAACACAATGTCCACCTGAGTTGTGAAATCTATATCATCTGGATTTAATCTGATTATAGAGGCAGAATATGAGCAGCTGCATCTTGAAGAATAGTTCATGTAGATCTTGGGTCTGTTAGACATGTGACCTCAGCACACAGGACCACAGCTGCTCATCTGTCTAATCTGTGCCTCTAGAGGTCACTATCTACAACTGTTTTGTTGTAGTACTTGTTTTTTTTTTTTTTTACTGTGGGCGCTAACAGCCCCTAGGTGCTCTCACCTTGGATAATATTACAGTGCTTCTATTTATAATATGGATTATAATATAATAATTGTTATATATTAATTATATATATATTAATTATAATTTATAACATTTATATAACAAATAAACATGTATATTCCCATTATTTAAACAATATATTATTTTTCTTAATTCAGAAATACTAATGGTAGAATCCACAGCACCAAACTAGTATTAGGATTAATGTGAATGAATGAATGAATTATATTCTAACAGAAAGTTCAACCAGAAAAAAAAGAAAGAAAGTTGATGTGAACAAGTTTCCCAAAAAAGTAAGACACAACATTGATTGCATAACAAATTAAAGTGACATAGGCAGAATATGCCTTGACTTAGGCAGTTTTTATCTAAGGGTATTTCCACCTCAATTTATCCCCCAAAAATGCTGTTTGAACTTACATTGTCCAAATGCAAAGAAAATAGGTGTATGGGTAAAACGGATAACGGTTTACGAGATATCGCAATTTCATTTTTTCACTAATTTTTTTCATGGTCGCTGAATAAGGGACACGCCCAACCTCAATGACACCAATAGAAAAAATGTAGCCCTATATGTCTACTACAATATATACAAAATCTGGAGGGGTTTTCTTTTTTATTTTCACACACAAATTTACCTAGAAGTTGATTTACCCCCATCCTTAAGACGTGCCAAATATCCATTCAGTGTATAAGGCTGACAGTCACATTAGAGTACCATCATTTTGTTCATGTCTCTTTGACACAGATGCATGTCAACAAACTCAGTGAACAGGCAACCCCCCCGATTTGGTTCAGTTCATCAAGCTGCAGCTATGATAACCTCTCATGGGCTGGTCTGGTGGAGGAGGTCTCAGAAGAATTCGTTGACTATAAGATAAAGTTCATGCACCCTCATGGACTAGCCAAGGCCTTCTACTGGCCATCCAAACATGATTCTTGTTGGATACCTGATTCAGACATACACTGTGTGATAAACACTCCTTTCTTGAAAGCATTTTGTATAATGACCTGTCCAGAAGTTCTAACCACTGTTTGAACTGGCCTGCAGATAAGGACTAAATATCCTGATTTCATTAAACGAAGACAGTTGTGACAGTTGTGACAGTTGTGTTTTGGTAGTGTGTGATTGACAGTTTTTCTTAAACACAGTTTCTAACCCCTTTGACTGACTGAAAGTACATTTATTGTTTACAAAGTTGAAGAAATATGAACTAGCCTACCAAATGACTCAAAGAGAAGAGCTAATGCTTCATTTGTGGTCATTGCAGGCCTCTGTGTCATGTGGTCCGTCATTTTTATTTTTATTTTTTACAGTTTTATTTATACATTTCGATAGCAAATTACAAAGTCTGTATACCAAACATCATATTTGTGCTTTTTTTTTTTTTTTCAAAAAATAACCCCAAGAAAAAAACAACAACATAATAATAATAATAACAATAATAATAATTATTATTATATTATTATAAATAAATAAATATAATATATATATATATATACACACACACACACACAATATATATATATATAATATATAGTGTGTGTATATATATATATATATATATATATATATATATATATACATATACACACACACACATATATACATAAATATATGTGTGTGTGTGTGTGTGTGTATATATATATATATATATATATATATATATATATATATATATATATATATATATATATATATATATATATATATATATATATATAATATACACACATATATTATAACAATAATAAATGAATAAACAGCAGATTATCCAAAGACAGATAAATACACAGTGACAGATTGACATTGACAGGAAAAAAAGAAAAAGAAAAAAAAGACATACACACAACCATGTTAAGGTATGGTACCCATTTTATATGTATCCATATATTTCAAAAATGGCTGCCATGTTTTTTCAAATTTTGTGGTTGAACCTGCAAGTGTTCTCAATGTGAAAGAAACTCATAAGATCATTTATCCACTGATCATGTGTGGGAGGGATCACTTCCTTCCACCTCAAGAGAATGAGGCGCTGTGCTATTGAGAACAATGCTCCGTGTAGATACACCAGGGGGCAGCACACCGAAGAGCGCCGTCAAAGCATTGGAGGGAATTTTGCTTTTATATGCCTCGAACAATGTATGGAACATTGATGTCTAATAGTTATTAAGGTTAGGACATGATCAAAAAGTATGAAAAGTGAGCCAGTATCTGACTTACAGCGATTACACAGCGGGTCTGTGTCTGGGTAAAACTGAACATTTTTTCCTTAGAAAGGTGCAACCGGTGAAGGACTTTAAATCGAAGAAGTCCATGCACACACAAACAGAAGAAGAGTGCACTCTACAAAGGATAGCTCCCCAAAGGTCATCAGTTATGTTCAACGCTAGATCTTTTTCCCAATGTGATTTCATACTGGCAAGAGATGGAGACTGTAAATTTAACAAAATGTTGTAAATTACTCTAATAGACCCCTTTTTATGAATATTTATATCCAAAATGTCATCTAACATTGTAGCCTCTGGTAGGTTAGGAAAGGATGGATATCTATTGCTCGCAAAATGACGAATTTGTAGAGAACGGAAAAAGTGTGTCTAAGGAACATTGAATGTGGTGGTTATATAAATATAACTAATGTTTAATACAAATATAAAGATGTTTGCATTTCCAGTTAAGCACTGATATTTTCATAATTTAACACTATATTTGTGTATCAGTGCAGTTACAAATTGTAGTGTTCACAGTAGCCCTGGTTAAACTTCTACCTGCCGGGTTAATTAGTCCGTGTTTGTGATGTTGGACAGGATGTTGTAGAGGTGTGCAGACACACTTGGGTGCATTCACATTCACAGATGCAGATTTGTGTTCCAGCTGCAGCTCTTTGGGACATGGCACCACTCTGGCCTCTGCTGCTTTTGTTCCTGGGAACTCTCCCACTGACAAACTCAAAAGGTACAGTTGGACTTTCAATCTGTGTAATTTACCAGTTATAACTGTCAAATCAATCACATGGCATAACATTGTTAAGAAAAACAAGATTTCTCAAGAAGTAAAGAACTATGCAAGTGAATAATTGTGTAACCAGTTTGGTATTGTTCTAAGGTGGGACTTTATTTATTTTCTAGGTAGCAGAGTACACATGTCTGTACATATATATGGGTAATAATGCATTTTTCAAGAGCACAACTTAAAAAAATAAAATGTGTATCTTTCTTCTAAATGCCTAGGTTTTAGTGTCCACACTGATTGTTATGGACAGCTGCATAAATACTCCAGCTTTTATAGAACTGGCTTGGCCTATTAAATTCTCAAGACTCATGTCTGTTTTTCTTGTTAAATTAAATGGAGATGTTGCATACGGTC